AGGCTGATGACAACAAAATTACACCTTGTCAGTCAATTAAATCCTTAATTAAAACCGTACTATGGTAATGAATTAAGGTCATCAAGATTTATATAGTTACAAGTTAAGACTGAAGCACATTCCTGTAGTAGTTGATAAGTACCATGTGTTCAGCTGAAATTAAGAAAGTATAACCGTGTTCTAGCCGTCACTATCACCAAGTCTGATCAGATGTAGGTGGGAAGGTAAACCACAATCTAGATAGATTGTTGTCTATGAAATAAATTGGTTTTTAAGTATTCCATTTCCTGATTCAAATCTATCAGTAAGATCATTAATCTTTAATGCAGTGTGCATGAACAATGACATTTATATTTATCACACCAATATGAGAGCAAACTAGAGTTCTGAAGCAGACTTTTCATCACAATCAGCCAGAGCAAAAATATTCACAGCTTTTCTACTAAAAAAATCAACACATAACATCCTAACACCCACCTACAAACGTAATAATTAATTCTCCTCATTTTTTATTCATGTTTTTATATCAAGAATTTTTTTTTTCTGAAGTTGACTCTTTAACCTCTGCTACAATGATGATAAATAGGAATCAAATTTGTTATTAAGACACTTATTATTATACATATAAATCCATATATGTGCAGATGCATCATCGCTTTACTTTTTTTTTTACCCAACACCCAATTCCAAATTGAATCTCCATTGATAAAAGACTTTCATTATCAAATACGTAAGGAATATTTTTCACTTTTTATCTCAAATTTATGACGATTTTATCACGGAAAAAAAAGTATAATGTACATGTACAAGTTGATGAATGTGCTAAACACTGATCTAGAAAGAACCCAGACTGAATTATCATGAAAATGATCAATGTATACCTGAACCCACGCAGATAAAAAATGACATCAACAAATTCTTTAACACAACTTGGTGTCACAGTTGCAATCACTTAGACTGGTGCTACATCTCAAGTTCAGTTATGACCTATTAGTACATCAACATGTCATTATTCTGAAAATACTTATCTATGTGTATTTAAATCATATTCTATAGAACACAATATATTACTTCATTCAGAACTTAGTACACAAACATGTCATTAATATGAAAATATCTATCTTAGGTGTATTTAAATTACACACTACATTGCATTATTTAGAATTAATCCAGCAATTAGTCCATGCCAGGTAATAGGCCCACTTATATTTATTGCTGTTCTGATAAAAAAAAGTACCAACTAATGGTACTTCATTGTCCTGTAATAAGCCCACCCCCTTATTTTGAATAAAAGGTAACATATTGCCTGTTTGGACCCAGGAGTTATTGCCCTGTAATATACCTGTTTAGACCCTGGGGCGATTGCTTGTAATAAGTCTAGTTAGACCCTGATATTATTGTCCTGTAATAAGCCCATCCCCTGACTTTGAGTAATAAATAATGCCTTGCCTGTTAGGACCTTGGGGTTATTGCCCTGTAATAAGCCTAGTTAGACCCTGAGGTTATTGCCCTGTAATAAGACCATCTCCTGACTTTAAGTAATAAATAATGTCTTGCCTGTTAGGACCTTGGGGTTATTGCCCTGTAATAAGACCATCTCCTGACTTTGAGTAATAAATAATGTCTTGCCTCTTCGGTCTTACTGCAGAATAATCATAAATGGTACCTGATATACAGTATACTACCTGAACATTCTATACAAAATATGTAAAGATTTACCATTTACTGAAATGAAATTTCTAGCATTTTATAGGATTAGCTACTCTTATGCACCAGTAGATACAAATTTTAACTCAAGGTTAGGACACATTGTATCTTTGATGAACAGCTGAGAGATATCTAAATTCTGACTAAGGGTTTAGGCTCATTGTATCTCTACTTATGACCAGTAGATATACCATTTCTGACTCAGGGTTCTGGCTCAATGTACTTTTACCCCTACTGGACACCAGCAGATATATCTCAATTCTGACTCAGAATTAAATAGGGCTCACTATATCTCTATATATATCACATTTTACCAAGAATATAATGCTGAGGTATACAAATAGTACCCATCTAAGCTGAAAATGTATATCAACAAGAAAATTAATTCTATAGAAACACTAAAACACATCCAGAAGGTCCATTTATTTAAAGACTGATCAAATTAATGAAACACGTAACTTTCAATAATAATATCTGTTTAACAATATATATCAAATTTTGCAACTGTCTTGTTCTCAAATATGTTTACAAGTCAGCTTTGGCAACTTCTGATAATTTTGACAGATTGTGATAATATGATATGTGAAAACTTGAAATCAATATGACTGTTAGTGTGACTGTGTTTTATATCTGTTGTTTATAATATTTTGTCTGTTCCCCACAAAGTCCTGCTTCAGTGTAGGAGCTTGCATCAAAAATGTGATGAGAAATGGTGTATGATGAATATAATAAACAAAAAAATGAATGCACCCTATAAAAAAATTGACAAAATCCTTGAAGTGAACTAATTAATAAGACCAAAACATAGAATCAGCAATTTGTTTAATGGCTTAGAGCTTGGCTTGACCAAATAACAACATAATAATTCTGACCTGCCTTTGGTGAACTTAGTGTGTCATGTGACTAGAGCTAAGTGATGTGACGTGAGCTTGTCCTAGTGACAATATAATAATTCTGAGGTGTCTTTGGTGAACTTAATATGTCATGTGACTAGAGCTGAGTGATGTGACTTGAGCTTGTTCTAGTGACAATATAATAATTCTGAGGTGACTTTGGTAAACTTAGTATGTCATGTGACTAGAGCTGAGTGATGTGACTTGAGCTTGTTCTAGTGACAATATATTTCTGACCTGCCTGTGAACTTAGTATGTCATGTGACTAGTGCTGAGTGATAAGTCCTAATGACAATGTAATAGTTCTAAGCTGTTTGGTGAACTTAACATGACATATGACTGAGTCCAGTGATGTAACTTGACTTGGCTTGACAGTGTAATAACTCTGACTGACCCCCTAAGACTTCATGCATAAAAATTATTCTGACCTGGTCTTTGATTTCATATGTCACTTGGTGTAAGGTAGACTCAACCTCTGGACAATCCAACAATCCTGATAAATGTATATGGTGATTCCCCTTACTAATCTGACTACAAGACATTTCTTGCAGTATTAATGAGTGTTGATCTAACCTGTATAGTAAGCAGTAATCTTCTTGTCCTAGTCATATTTGGAGAGCTATGATAAGTACCTGGTATGTGACATGAAATAATAACTACTAAATAAAAGGATGTTATCAACTCCTGTCCTTTATTGAAAGAACTAGCATTTTATAGATAAACATATATTTACTGGGTTACATAAAAAAAACCCAATCTGCAAACTGTAAACATGATTCATAATGGAAAACATCACCTTAAACTGTGAAACATACACATATATATATATATATATATATATATATATCTAGGTCCATTTATTGTGCTATTCACATATCTGGGGTGTATATATATACTTCCCTCTGGAATTGGAATGCCGAGATAAAGCTACAAATATATCTAGAGAGAAGCTATATTAATAGGTTTATATGAAACCTAAACCCAAATTGTAGTACACCCATCCACTACACAACACTTTAAAATAATCACACTAAGCTGAATCATCTGTACCTAAACTATGTTCCTTCACATGCATGTAAGTAAATAAGACATCGAAATAACAAGAAATTTGGTTTGTTACAGCTGACTTCACTACTCCATAGTTTTGAATGTTACCAAAACTCTTTACTATAACAAGAAATTTTTTATTTTTTTATATATTTATTTTAAATTTTTTAAAAAGAAGTACTGAACATCATCATATCTTATCTTTGTATGTTCAAGTTTAATGTTATTTGTACATTATATATAAGGAGGAAACAAACTAGAAAAATAACATTTAAAAAACTTGAATTTCCACTCTGTAATTGTAAAAGCAAAATTTATGCATATTCTTGAAAAAAAATAATAAAGTGAAATAAAACAATCAAACTGGAAACAAAATTACCGAAGAGAGACTACTGAAAAAAATCCTATGCATGCATACGTGTACATCCAATCAAGAGAATCATACTGTTATTAAGGAGCATATGTATAATCAGTTTGTAGATAGCTGTCAAAGTCAATTTCTATTTCTATATTATGATATAAATGTATTTGTGTGAATGCAAGTTTACACTTTCATGTATGTGTTCCATCCAAGTTTACACACAGACCATACCTGATGATCTGGTGTTTTATACTAAAACCTTATCATGTTGTTACAACTCCTAAAAATCACAAAAAATTTAAGTGTAGTGGGTGTAAATCAAATGAATGACATATCATGCTTAGTATGTTATACCCATGTCTGATTGGACCATTTTCTTTATTTCTTAAGCAGGGTTTAGGCCATAAAATGGGACACTCAATATTAGTTCAAGTACAGACTTCACTATTACTTGTTATCAATGATCACTGAATAAAGTAAAGTATAAATATTGTGAAAAAAATCAAAGGCCCAAATTTGACATGAAAACAAGGTAACTAACTCAAATCAATGAATACAAAGTCTGAGGAAAAACAGCATATTTGTTTAAATTCAGAAGACCTTGAAGGTGACATTTGTTTCCTTATTAAGAATTCAAGCCACTTATATTAATTAATGTTGTAGCAAGTTAACTGACAGTAGTAGCTGTCAAATCTCTGTATTAAACACCAGGTTTTGATCCGATGAACCAATTTATACACATTTTATCAGCGATGTACACACAGGGTTTTAACACTATAAAACGGATGCTAAGATCAGCTGGTACATCCGAAGTAAAGGGCCCGACACTGACGTGCGTTACTATACAGTACCTCATCAAAGACGAGAGCTCTATCTCTGCTGCAATACACAGCGTGTGTATTGGAACTTCACTACAGCGAAAGAAATATGTATAAGAAATATCTCAGGGTTATGAAACATGTTGCATTTAGCATGCATGGAGCGTTACCTACCTGTTGCTATTTTCCTCTCGGTTGGCATACTGCTAAATGACACCGTCTTCTTTCGTATTGGTTTTCTACTTCCATCCCTATTCATAAAACTACTTTTCCTCGGCATGACTTGCCCAGAGACATTTGTCTCTTCCTGTGATGTTTGTGTTTCATATTCTATCACTTTTGCACCTTCTTCACTCTCAGTATCGCCATTTACGAATACATCCTCAGATTTCTCAGCATAATTTGTTTCTAAGCTACTATCAGCAGTGTCGGCACCCTGTTCTTCCGCCATGTTGACATTTTCTATGTAATGGACTCGGCCTGAGACAGGGGAGGAAGGTTGTATTAATTTGTGAGTAAAATTCCACAAGAATAAAAGTTTTGGATAGTAAAATACATATTCGTTACAAAGGCTTCATAGTGCAATAGTCAGCAATAACCAAAGTCGATTTGATGAGTTTTTGCAAACCGAATATTTATCCCTAATTTTATTGAATGGACTAACCTTGCAGGAATTCTGGGATGTGTTTTTAAAAATGGAGATCGTGGGGTTTCCTGTCTTGCTTTCCAAGCAGAAATGAACAGCTTAAAATGCAGTTAATTTAAGTATGACCTGTTTTCAATATAAATTATTCTGAATTGTTAGTCACATTGGCTCTAGAATTGCAAGTAATTATAAGGTCATGGTCATTTATGGAGCTGATAATGTAGGCGAGATCCCAATATTCAAAGTAAGTCAAGTTTGTTAAAGATTGTAGACAACAAAAGAAATAACCCTTAATTGAAAATATTCAAATTGTGTTTATCATTAGATGTGGAAGGATGTACCGGACCTGTAACTAGCAGGTTAAAAATACACTCAATAATCTGTCACGCTGATGTACAAATCAAGTGCTTGTTACATTCACCGAGGCATTATCAATCGAAACAAACATTTGCTAACAAATAAATATGTTAGGAATATGATTACTATACAGTACTGGGTATTTTTGTTAACAAATTGATAAACCATCAAAAAGTAGTTTATCTTGATACAAATTACAATGTACAACCGAACCTGGCCACAAACATTGTTATTGTAATATAACTTGCAGAACAACACTGTGTTCACTATTTCATAAAGTCAGATTGGCTGATTTCAAGCTTTTATCTGACTACGCTTCTAAAACTGTGTAACTTAACTCTATAAAGCTTGTGCATGTATAAGGCTTATTCCGTATATATTATTGTACCTTTTGCTATTTGCAAGATTTTATTCTTGATCATTTTTATTATTTTCTCTATTTCTTTACTTCACTTATATTTCCTTCAACATGCAGACCTTTACATTCATAACAAATATTTAGATGAACATTTGATCAAATGCTTCATATCTTATACCTACCCACAACTTTTTACAACCACAATAAAGTGTTTGCTTGGATAAAGTTTATATGAAAAATTAATTTAAGTTTTCAAGATGGCAACTATGAAGTCAGGGAAGCCTAAAATATTTTATTTGCTATTATGTATTGTGCATACTTGAAATGTAACTTAAATTGATTTATGCATTTTTTTTGTAAACAAGGATTTATTTCATAACTGTTACAATTTTTAATTGTCGTTGATCATAATAAAATATTAAAATATTCCATTATAATTGTAATCATTGATAACTTTTTCAGTATAAATTCTTCATGGAAACTTGTTCTCATCTATCAAAATGTCGACCAAAATGGAGCAATTGTTCCATCATTAACCCCCAGAAATGGATGTGCTACATATGTGGCACAACAGAGAGTGTCTGGGTAAGTTTGAACAAGACTTTACAGAAAGATTATCTTATATAAGGCTCAATTTGAAACTTGATATTTCGCAAAGAAGATTTGGATTGAACTTGATATTGGTAGATTTCATTATCAGATTTGTTTTTCTTTCAAATCATATATTAAATTGACAAATGCTGACCTTGAAAACAAACACATGTATTTTATAGAATTTGCAAAATGGGACTTAGAATTTTTAGATCACCTGACCGTAGGTAATGATGACCTACAGCAATCGTTGTTCATCTGCCGTTGTGCATTAACTTTTATTTTTGAACATGACAACATAAGTAAATATGTACAGATTTTGATTAAATTTGGTATGCAGCCTTGTCTCAATAAGATCTTGTTTAAGTGTGACAATGGGACAGATTTGGTTGTAACTTACAGAGTTATGACCGTTTAAAGTGTAATTACCATGGACTTTGTGAACAAAATAACTTGAGTTCATGTGAATAGATTTTGATGAAACTTGGAATGCAGACATACTTTAATAATATCTCAAATGAGGTCAACAATGGGATGAATCTGAACAGATTTTGATAACACTTAGCATGCAGCCTTATATAAAGATTTTGCATGAGGCTAATAATGGGACCTATTCAGTTGTAACCATGGACCCATGTGAACACAATCACTTGAGTAAATATTATCCATATTGAAGGCCACATTGTCAAATTTGTCAAAACCTTCGAAGGATTTCTTGGTAGCCAAAAGGCCTAGAATCATAATATTTAGATGGTAGGTTTCTTGGATGAAGCCCAAGAAATGACCTTGATATATATTTAAGTTTACAAGATTCAAATTTGCCAAAACCTTCCAAAAGTTCTTCTGACATAAAAATGGCCTTGTTATCTTATTTGGCTGATAGGTTTCTCAAATGAAGTCCAACAAAGTTTATGAAAAGAAAAGACTTCTTCTAATTTGACAAAAGGCCTAGAATCATAATATTTGACTGGAATGGGCCTATATATTGGATGAAACCCAACAGTGTTTACGATAAGAAATTACCTCGACATGTATTCAAAGTTAAGGTCCTATTTGTTAAAAGATTCAAGCAATTTCTTTTGCTTAACTAAAAACTTAGAGTCTTGATATTTGGTAGGTTCCTGGGATAAAAGCCCATGATGTGAAATGCTCATTATTTGTGAAAGACATTGAATACCAGTTAGGTAATATAGGTCATTTGGTCTCTTGTTTTCTTTGAAAGTTTATCATTTTTATTAAAGATTGTTACAAATTGCTCCTTTTATTTATTGTACAATTTTTATTACTGTTAACCTTTTCTGTTTATTTTAGGCTTGTTTAAACTGTCCAAATGTGGCTTGTGGGAGATTTAACCAAGAACATGCCTTAAAACACTTCAGCGACAACAAGGTAGAGAAGCATCTACACAACATGTCTGTTTTTTAGTAATTGTAAAATATAGGTTCTCATTTTGATTATGTCAAACCTTTTTTTACTTAGAAAAGACCTTGAGGTAGGATTATTACCATGAGATAGGATTATGACAATGATATAGGATTGGGACCATGAGGTAGGGTTTTGACCATGAGGTATGGTTGTGATCATGAGGTAGGATTGTGTTAATGAGATAGTTTTGTGACCATGAGGTAGGATTGTGTTAATGAGATAGGATTGTGACCATGAGGTAGGATTGTGACCATGAGGAAGGGATGTGTTAATGAGATAGGATTGTGACAATAAGATAGGATTGTGACCATGTGGTAGGATTGTGTTATTGAGATAGGATTGTGACCATGAGGTAGGATTGTGTTAATGAGATAGGATTGTGACCATGAGGAAAGGATGTGTTAATGATATAGGATTGTGACAATAAGATAGGATTGTGACCATGTGGTAGGATTGTGTTATTGAGATAGGATTGTGACCATGAGGTAGGATTGTGACCATGAGATGGGATTGTGACCACGAGGTAGGATTGTGACATTGAGATAGGATTGTGACATTGAGATAGGATTGTGACATTGAGATAGGATTGTGACCACGAGGTAGGATTGTGACATTGAGATAGGATTGTGACCATGAGGTAGGATTGTGACATTGAGATAGGATTGTGACATTGAGATAGGATTGTGACATTGAGATAGGATTGTGACCATGAGATAGGATTGTGACCATGAGATAGGATTGTGACCATGAGATAGGATTGTGACCATGAGATAGGATTGTGACCATGAGGTAGGATTGTGACATTGAGATAGGATTGTGACATTGAGATAGGATTGTGACATTGAGATAGGATTGTGACCATGAGGTAGGATTGTGACATTGAGATAGGATTGTGACATTGAGATAGGATTGTGACATTGAGATAGGATTGTGACATTGAGATAGGATTGTGACATTGAGATAGGATTGTGACATTGAGATAGGATTGTGACCATGAGATAGGATTGTGACATTGAGATAGGATTGTGACATTGAGATAGGATTGTGACATTGAGATAGGATTGTGACATTGAGATAGGATTGTGACATTGAGATAGGATTGTGACATTGAGATAGGATTGTGACCATGAGATAGGATTGTGACCATGAGGTAGGATTGTGACCATGAGGTAGGATTGTGACATTGAGATAGGATTGTGACTATGAGGTAGAATTGTAGCTGTAAGGCAGTTGTATTGATTGGCTCTATCATATTTTTGTGTTTGTAAAATCTAATATGTGATTAACATTCACAATGTTTTCATGAAATTAGCATCAGATACATGGCATAAGATACAGTAAAAAGTCTTATTGGCAGTAGTGAAAGAGAGGATATATGTCAATAATAACATCTAATTTTCATTTTCAGCATCCTTTGTGTATAGAAGTGAATTCTAAGTATGTCTACTGGTAAGTAAATGTTGGAATGTTTTGCACTGATATATCAGAGCAGTATTAAGTAAAGTCAGTATATAGCCAACATTACTTCAGAATATGTCTGATAAAACATGAACAATTTGACATGCACAGGTAATAGTTAAAAAGTAAGAGAGAAATTGCATTATTGATTTTCAGTCCATTAGAAGCTGAATTGATTTTGTACTGCACCTTGTAAACTCACTGTGTATTCACAGACCATTCTTGTGCTTGTCGTGAAATGATTGACATGTTACTGACAACTGATTCTGTTATTTTTATTATACAGTTACCTCTGTGATGATTACGTTATTAATGATAATGCTGCTGGGGACCTTAGGACAATCCGCAGTGCTCTGAGTGCCATTGCTACCCAAACCTTCTGTGATGTGGAGACCAAAGGCATCAAATTATTGCGGTCCTACTCCCATACTGCCATAACTTCCACGTATGTGTTAACAAAGTCCATAAATAATTATGTTGTCTCAATCCATGTATCTTCCACGTATGTATTTCTAAAGGTCTCACACCTATATATCCTCCACCTATGTATTTCTGAAGGTCTCACACCCATGTATCTTCCACCTGGGTATTTCTGAAGGTCTCACACCCATGTATCTTCCACCTGGGTATTTCTGAAGGTCTCACACCCATATATCTTCCACCTAAGTATTTCTGAAGGTCTCGCACCCATGTATCTTCCACCTAGGTATTTCTGAAGGTCTCACACCCATATATCTTCCACCTAGGTATTTCTGGGGGTCTCACACCCATGTGTCTTCCAGTTAGGTATCTGTAGGTCTCATCATTCCATAACCTCGACCTTAATATATCTGTAGGTCTCACACAATGTAACCTCCACCTAGTAATGTGTGCTTTGTTTTCCATTATTGGTATCCTTTTGACACCTGTCTTCACATACCTTGGCTGATACAACATTGTTGAAAAAAACAAACCTTCACTATGATTTCTTCTCCACCACAGTGTATAGATGTTCTTTAGATATATTTAGTATCAAAGTAACCAGCCACTACATTTTACGGGATAGCTTACATATCCATAGATGAAAAATATTCAGTTGTTTACAATTTTAGCTTAAATTTTTCACATACCAGGAAAAAAAATTTAAACTCAAAACTTTGTTGCACCTTGAATATTGATATTTTGTTCAGGAGAATTTGATGATACTTTGATGGGATAATAAGAGATTCAGAAAAAGAGATTGTTTTATAAAAAAAAGGTGTTAACTATTACTTGAACCAATTGTTTTTTTCAGATACACATCCAAAGAAGATGACAAAATTGCTACAGCAGACTGGCACAGAAGGTGAGGAGACTGTACTTCATTACTTTTCTAAATTGTATAATTGTATGGTTTTAGCGATTTCAAAATTTTCAATCAATACAATTACAATTTAGAAGGCATATTTGGTATTTGAAAAGTTTTAAGTGTTGGAAACAAAAGAGATTACAGTAGATCTGCTCACAGGAATTCTTGTATAAAAACTGCTGAATTGTGTATCCGTTTCATTACAGACAAGTATCTTCACACACACTTTGTTTTGTTTAGCTTGTTATGCTTACCTCGTTACCTCTTGGTTAAAAGCTGAAGGTTTTCAATCCAATTCCATCTCAGTATTACAATAGATGATAACAAAGTAACTGTAATGTCACCATTGCCCTCTAGCCAAAGCTGATATTGAAGGAGGCTCTGGCCATTCATCTCTCCATACTTTTTCCAAACATGCTTTTAAAAAGACAGTAAGTATCAACATTTTCATGACATTACAGTCACTTAATTTGATAACAGACAGGCCTCCTGTATGTTGTTCATAGAAGTAGCTACCAGCTTCTGATAGGAGAGCCTGCCTTAAAATAACCCAGGCTGATCACAGGGCAATACACACAACAAACAAACAATACCTTAATGGACAGGCCTCATTGCTTCGTCACCTTCCCTGTTTACAATTTTGTGCATTTAGTCACATGAATCCTTGCGAGAATACTTTACTCAAGATTGGTTCATTTTTAGACAAAAGGTCCTTGGGAAGACTTTTGCAGCATGGCGAGCATTGATTTTGGAGGAAAAGAATAAAAAGGTATATATATGTGTGTAGTATTGATGTGCTAAATTATATATATAAGATATTACAGAGAAAAAGGAATACAGGATGGGTTTATCTGAGTAGTCATCAATAGACATAATGCTGTCACCTGCTTTGAGTAATTATTGTTTGTATTTTTCATTTTATGGTGAAAATGTCTTGCTATGTTCTGGAATAAAAGATATAGAGTATTGTGTTCAGAGGGCTAGAGTTAGTCCTTTGTTATAAGCGATCAGTGGTCAGTATTTAAGTAATGTATCTGTTTATAATGACTCAGTGATCTTGGCAGTAAAAATGTGAGAATGTCAGGAAGAACAATAACATATAGGTTGAAAAAAGTTATTTATACTGAACATTAATGTATTTCAGACCCCCCAAAAAAATCAACGCCAAACACATGTGTCTTCACCATTAAGCCCATTTCTACGAAAGCGTACACTAATCCCAGGAATTACTGGTCTGCGTAACCTTGGTAACACTTGTTACATGAATTCAATCTTACAGATCCTCAGGTACAGTATGACTGTTTGTGAATCTAAGGTGTGATGTGTACTTGAAGAGGTGAAGACATTGTTTTTTTACATGGTGACTACACAATAATATGTAGCACTTAGTTTCACTAGCAAAATGGGGAATAGGAATATTTAGTGTAGCTAGAAAAATGGAGGGTAGGAATATTTAGTGTAGCTAGAAAAATGGAGGGTAGGAATATTTAGTGTAGCTAGAAAAATGGAGGGTAAGAATATTTAGTGTAGCTAGAAAAATGGAGGGTAGGAATATCTAGTGTAGCTAGAAAAATGGAGGGTAAGAATATTTAGTGTAGCTAGAAAATTGAAGGGTAGGAATATTTAGTTTAGCTAGAAAAATGGAAGGTAGGAATGTTTAGTGTAGCTAGAAAAATGGAGGGTAGGAATATTTAGTGTAGCTAGAAAAATGGAAGGTAGGAATATTTAGTGTAGCTAGAAAAATGGAGGATAGGAACATTTAGTGTAGCTAGAAAAATGGAAGGTAGGAATATTTAGTGTAGCTAGAAAAATGGAGGGTAGGAATATTTAGTGTAGCTAGAAAAATGGAGGAGTGTAGCTAGAAAAATGAATTTAATGTAGCTATTTATTTAGTGTAGCTAGAAAAATGGACGGTATGAATATTTAGTGTAGCTAGAAAAATGGAGGGTAGGAATATTTAGTGTAGCTAGAAAAATGGAGGGTAGGAATATTTAGTGTAGCTAGAAAAATGGAGGGTAGGAATATTTAGTGTAGCTAGAAAAATGGAGGGTAGGAATATTTAGTGTAGCTAGAAAAATGGAGGGTAGGAATATTTAGTGTAGCTAGAAAAATGGAGGGTAGGAATATTTAGTGTAGCTAGAAAAATGGAAGGTAGGAATATTTACATGTGTTTAGTAATCAGACAGTATGGACTATTGTTTGTATTTAGCAATCAGACAGTATGGACTATTGTATGTGTTTAGCAATCAGACAGTATGGACTATTGTATGTGTTTAGCAATCAGACAGTATGGACTATTGTATGTGTTTAGCAATCAGACAGTATGGACTATTGTATGTGTTTAGCAATCAGACAGTATGGACCATTGTATGTGTTTAGCAATCAGACAGTATGGACCATTGTATGTGTTTAGCAATCAGACAGTATGGACCATTGTATGTGTTTAGCAATCAGACAGTATGGACTATTGTATGTGTTTAGCAATCAGACAGTATGGACCATTGTATGTGTTTAGTAATCAGACAGTATGGACTATTGTATGTGTTTAGCAATCAGACAGTATGGACCATTGTTTGTATTTAGTAATCAGACAGTATGGACTATTGTATGTGTTTAGCAATCAGACAGTATGGACTATTGTATGTGTTTAGCAATCAGACAGTATGGACCATTGTTTGTATTTAGTAATCAGACAGTATGGACTATTGTATGTGTTTAGCAATCAGACAGTATGGACTATTGTATGTGTTTAGTAATCAGACAGTATGGACTATTGTTTAGTAATATGTGTTTGTATTTAGTAATCAATCCATTGTTTGTATTTAGTAGTATGGACCATTGTTTGTATTTAGTAATCAGACAGTATGGACCATTGTATGTGTTTAGCAATCAGACAGTATGGACTATTGTATGTGTTTAGTAATCAGACAGTATGGACTATTGTATGTGTTTAGTAATCAGACAGTATGGACTATTGTATGTGTTTAGTAATCAGACAGATTGATTATATTTCTAAATTTGATCTAAATGATAACCAAACTTTGATCAAGTAAATTTGTTTTCAGCTAGTAAAATGAAATGTTGAATCTACATTAAAATAGTCCTACTTGATGAAAATAATGATGACAGTGATAAAATGATTACATTCTAATGACATTTACACAGTTTTGTTTCTAATTAACAGTAATTTAGAACAATTCCGCGAATACTTCATGCATTTGGAGACACCATCTTCCAAGAGTGACATGTCCTCCACCCCCACCTCTACTGCCCCATCTCCCTCTCCACGGGCATCAGCCAGGCTACTGTCTCGCCAGTCATCAATCAAAACACCTCACCTCAGTCGTCAGTCTACAGTGGAATGCTTTCAGGTTTGTCACACCACATGTCATTTATATGATCCCAGACAGATTGAGAAGTCGATGTAATGTATTGGCAAGCGCTTTTTTTTTATATAAATCTCATGCCTTATCCAGGGTTATATTTCTCTGTATCCAATTTGTCTGGTACCTCTCTGCAATATTTGGCACCAAGTGACGTCACAATCAAAAAGATGTCATTTTACATTGTTCTTCTGATGCGAATTGCTAAGAAAATTAAGGAAATTATTAGGACTAAATTATTTGACCAGTTTAGACGGAGTCCAGTTTACACAGTCCACTGTATAAGCCTACTAAAGAAAAATAGTTTTAATACATGTATCTCTCCGTACAAAATTTAATCGCAAAATAACAGTTAGAATTTTCAGGTAAATTTAAGATTTTTCTAAACTATCAATATTTGAAATTAATTCCTTAAATTGAATATTTTTTTCATTTACAGCATTTAATGACACCCAGCCAGTCTAAGAATAGCAGCACAAAGAAAGGAGGACTAAGTGGGGGGTCCACATCACGCATGTCTGTCCGACGCCAGCTTATCTGTACAGTGGAGGCCCAGAATTCTTCTGCAGACAAAATGTAATACCCTAGATTGGTAAACTTTCTTATACCATACAATATGTGTAATATGTTAAAATTCTGACATTAAATTACTAAAAAGATATTTTAATTTTTAACCAAAAATGAGTTTGGTACTTTGATAAAGGATTATATCCCAATTACTATTTCTAGTTAAAACCTAAACACCAATGGATGTAACGGTAATTCAGTTAATATACATGAAGCTTTACAATCCTTTATTCAATTTACACAGCTTTCTTCACCAAGAATTGAATGGTCTGTTCCGTGTGTTGTGGTCAGGACGATGGGCACAGGTCAGTCCTCATGCCCTTCTACAGGCTGTTTGGCTGGCCATTCCCACCTTCAAGGGCTATGCCCAGCAAGATGCTCAGGAATTTCTGTGGTAAGCACTGTTACTAACATCGCTTTCGTTAAACAGCATAATGCACTATTATCATTATGTAAATATGTTGGGAACTTTTTTAGGTGAAATCGGTAATCCTGTGCTGATATACATGTATAGTAAAAAGTGTTGAGAAAATACAGTCTAAAATATTAATCTATGTACAATTTTTAAAAAGATGACAGAAAGAAACTGAATTTAAGACTTCTACAATAGTGCATTGATCCCAATGTTTGTATAAGGGGCCATGGTGGTCGAGTGGTTAAGGCTTCTGACTGTCTTCATTACTAACCCTCCACCTCATGGGTCATGGGTTTGAGGCAGGTCAGTGGTTTTTCTCCAGGAACTAAGCATTCCTTCACTATCCTAACCTGGCACGTCGGTAGATGACTCTGGCTGTTAATAGGATGTAAAGCAACAATAAACTAAATCAATGTTTATAGGGACCTGGAGTTGTTGACAGAGACAATGTTAACAGAGGTCATTACCTCCTCAATACCTGGTGGCATGGGATCTCTGATTTACAAGGCCAAACAAGTTAATGAGAAATTCTCCCAAGCCAAGTCATTAGGAGATGGATAGTATTTTTCCATACTCCTTAGAGAAAGAATTTGTCCTTGAATCTTCCTAGTGGTAATAGTGACACATTTACATGTGTGCTACAGAATGAGAAATAATTGCTTTTAAAATGATACGGATTAGATAAAGAAACAAATTTGTCAAGTGGAGTCAGTAGAAAGGAATATTTCAAGTAAGAGATTATATGATAGATAACCAATTCAGATGAATTTCTATGTACAATGTATCTAATGACTGCTTTCATGAACATTCTTAATTCTTTTAGTGAACTATTGGACAAAGTACAACAAGAACTTGCTGTCATCAATGGTGCTGAAGATATTGTTAATGAAACATTCCAGGGAGAACTTGTCAGTCAGGTGAGTACAGCCATTGATTATTTCTTATGGTCAACTCATCAGCCAGGTAAGTACAGCCATCAAACAGCTCTTAAGGTCAACTCATTAGACAGGCAAGTACAGCCATCAAACATTAAAATGAAGAAATTTTTGTTTAGTGTGTATTTAAAACACCAATTCTCCATAGAGATCTTCTGTATTTTGTATGCTGGTTTTCTTTTTTAATCCTGATAAATCAGTGATAAACAAAATGAATAAGTTGTCAAGTAGACTAAAGTATTGTTTCAAAACAATGTTTTTATATCATTGTTTATCTTTTATTTTCAGGTTACCTGCTTAAAGTGTAAGAAAGTATCAGAAACCCATGAACCTTACATGGACTTGTCACTAGAATTTCCCGAACGTTATCAAATCACAAAGGAAAATTTCAAAGTGGCACAGGATATGTGTCATGTAACAGGTTTGTAATGAAGTCACCAATCAATTAAAACACTCAATTTGTTTAGAATTTATCAAAGTCATAAAAAAAAAACCCTACATTCACATTTCCGCTTGTCTCTGAAATAATAACTCACATAGAAACAATTAGTAGAGAACCTAAACATGTATATGTTTATTAAGATAAAAAAAAATTACTGATATACATACTGTTATAGGTCTCTACAAAAGATTAAGGTCTAATTAGAGAGTATCAAGTAGAAATGTGCTCGCTAAAAATAATTTGAGAAAAAAAAAATTGGTTTCCTATTGCTTACATGTTAAATGACATCTGCAGGCAAATCTTCATTAAACTTTGACCTAAACATGGCAATATACAGGAGTAGTCCACAAAACATGTAAGATAGATCTGGCCATTAGATATATCATTTAACTTGGAAATAGTGGGCTTGATCTGTATAGCAATTATTTCTGTAATTTTTTTATTCTCACCAGTTTGCGATAAAATGTTTTCGGTAAGATCAGATTGTACAAAACAAGAACGCATCATACAGCTTTTTCGTCCTTCAAGGACTTATCGGTGATTCAAAGGGCCAAAATTTTGAAGCATTGGAGGTGACCGAGGAAAATGTAAAGCGAGCAAAAGAAAAGTTTAAACCAGGTGGGGAGGAACGCTAGCCCCATAATTCAATAAATTTTAGAATTTCCATATATCTGATAATTTTTTAATAACATCAAGTATGTCTTATCGTATTGAATAAAACCATATCTACGAGGAAATTCACTTGGTCATGATAGTTGATTTTTGTGCATGTCCTGATATGCAATTATCACAATATAAAATACTCATAGATATTTGTTGGTTTACAGGACAGTGTTAAGAAGTTGAAAAAGCAGGGTTAAGTTTATGGTATCACACAACCATATCATTTTATATAACTGTCTTTGGATTTCAGAGATGTTGGCAAAGTTCACCGACATTGAGAAATTAGAGGGAAAGATTTATTCATGTGAAAAGTGCAATAGTAAGTATATTCTAACTAAATTTGTCTAGACTTCAACAACAAGACTATTTGTTAATAAAATCACTGACTATGTATTGAATGAAATTTTTAGCTCAGTGTTGTCTATAAACTTTGCTCAGTCAATTTTGGTGAAACTTCCTGTGAGTGATCAGTACAGGATGCTTATCCAGTTTTGGAGTGAAATGAAATTTGAAATGGTCACCATCTTGCCATCTTTAAATAATACTATTAAAATGATGCTGATGAAACTTTGTGCAAATTTATGAATGACCAGTAGTTAATTGGGGACAAGTTTTGCTGATATAATGTGGAACAGAAATATATGATGGTTAAAACAGCAATTAATGGATGAGTCATGAAAAATTACATATTTGTCTTGTGTAAGGTGTGACCTGTTTGGCCATGACTGTAATAAACTTACTGATGAGCATTAAGGCCTTTCATTGGAATCTGTTAATATTAAACTCAGTCACTGTTATTTAACATAATATCAATAGTATTTCTTTGACTAAACCATAATAACAGTAATTACACAACAAGTCACCAGACTCATGATTCCTGTCACACATGGCTATATCAAACTTTACTTGTGACTTTATGTGTTGTGAAGTTAAACAGTGATATGTTGATAATAAGACTTTTGCTTTGTTGTACTCACCAGAGGGCAGACGGGGTAAGAGTCCAACAAAAGTGGTGTATACAGAGGCCCAGAAACAAATCCTGGTAAAGAAATTACCTAATGTCCTTCGTCTTCATCTGAAGAGGTTCAGGTAGGTAGTTTCCAGTACAGAATGTTCGCAGGTCACACAAAGCCAGTTTACCAGGATGTTAATTTATCCGGTCTGTAGATATGAAAATGTGGAGTACCAGACAAAATTTTGATTGAACCTACATAAAACAAAAAATGTTGTGTCAATCAGAAATTTCTTTATGAAATAACAAAAAGATTTAATGTTTATATGTTGTGATGTGGCATCCATCGACCAGTGTCAACTTTTTCCATTAAACATTAAAACAACTTTTTTCTTTCAACAACTTTCTCTAAATGACCAATGGATCTTTTGTTGTGATATTTAAGTGGTATGTTCCTAGGATGAAGCAGAACAATGTTTGCGAAAAGAAATGACTTTGATTTATATTCAAGGTCACAGGGGTCAGATTTGTTAAAACATTTAAATGACTCCTTCTCATGAACTAAAAGACCTAGAGGCATAATTTTGGCTGGTATGTTTCCAGGATGATGCCCAACAAAGTTTGCGAAAAGAAATGACCTTGACTTATGTTTGTCAACTTTATTGAAACTGTGTGTCTTGTATCAAAATGAGGTTACCTTAACGTATATTTTGGCCTTTGACCTACTGGTACATCAAAGAAAGTGTTTGTTGGAACCTTATCTACTTCTTTATTTATCACTGGAACTTCTTAATGGGGGCATAGGTTTTCTGACATTGCGTACTTGGCATATAATCTCACATCCGATGGGGGACTTTAACTCACTGAATTGTCTTGTTTCATCATTATTGTGTCATTTGGAGAAACCTTCATGTACCAGATGTCGAAAAAAATTTCTCATTGAAACATTTTTTAATTTGACAAATCGAGACCGTCATATCTATGTGATGCTCATTGATAGTATCAACATGAAATATATCTATTTGTTAAGGATGTACTCTTCTGATGTTTTAACCAAAAGTAAGAAACAATTCAATATAAAATGAATAGCAACATATTATCTTTTACTTTTGTCTTTTTATATACTTTGTTGTCTTTAGTTGTACTTATAAGTTGAAAACAGGCAATTTATTGAAAGTTTTGAAGAAATTTTGCTCATAGACAACATTTTTTGATGACAAAGTTGACTGTATGATGTGGTTAAAAAGAATCATCAGTTCCAGTGTTTTCTGGTTGCAAGAGTACTTCTCTTGAGTATAACTCTTGAAATCCACAAATTGCAGATTTCGAATTTGTGAATTCCGACCATTTTTTCAGATATTGAGGACCTGGAAATCAGCATTTTAGCTGATTTCTTGATCTTGGAAAACTGGCAATTTTGGGTGAAAGTTGCAAAAAATAAAGCACAGGGACCCCCTTTTATTTAATCATGAAACATATCTTCGAAAATTTTTAATACTAGAAGATGGTCAAGTAAAGGATTAATGTCATTTTGGAACATTTTCAGTTTTCAGTTGCTATACAAATTATGGCTTGTTAAATCAAATGAAAACACATTATTTATTTCTTAATATTCAAGTATCATACCCTTACTTTGTAATGAAAGACTAAGTTTTTTCTGAAAATGTTGTCACAAAAATAATAGAAAACTCTTATTCAGGAAAAAAAAATAAAACTAATTTGTAGAAATGAATTATTTCATGTTACACAAATCTTGATGCCTGTACTTGAGAAAGTAGTGCAGCAATTTTTTTGCTTTTAATCTTCTTTCTGAAATCAAACCTTTTGAAAAATCAACACCAGAAAAAAAGTTGAATACTAGAATAATTTTTTTTTTGTCAGATGTGTACATTATACATTAAATTAACTATCATCTCGTGATTTTCAGGTGGTCAGGACGTTTCCATCGAGAGAAGATTCTGACACATGCTGCTTTTGACGAGATGTTAGACATGAAGCCATTCTGTGTCTCTGATGAGGAAGGGAAGGACAGCTACCAGTACCAACTACAAGGTGTGGTCATTCACCATGGAAAGGGCTTCGGCTGCGGACATTATACATCCTATTGTTGGAGTGTAGAAGGAGGTCAGTGTTTCACTATCAAGAAATATTACATCCTACATTCTGAATTGTGCCCAGTTGTTAATATAGTAGTAAAATATGTTGCCATCAGTTTATTTTCCTAAAGATCAAACAGACATGATTTTAGTGTACATGCATCAAGAAGTTAATAGTGTAATTGACCTGTGTATCGTAAACTGTGAATCGTAACTAAAAATGTCATTCAGTTATGGAAACAACCTTTATGCAATTAGGTGTAAAAATCCTTTACCCAAAAATAATGTCATAAGTTATTTCAAATGCTTAAGTGGTTAACAAATCCCTTGTTCAGCACATACACTAAACAATAATTATGATTTCGTTTTCACATGCTATCTAAGTGTAATATTCTAAGTCATGAGATTTCTTTCTGAAACTTGGACTGTTTGGATTTATTGTGGAATCAGCAGAGGCTGTATACAATTTACACTTGGTAGTTCTTAATTATTACAAAATAGTGCTAAAAGTATAATTAAAAAGATAAGCAGCAGAATTGTTTAACATAATGGTGGCAACTCAAAGTCTTAGACCTGATTTTAAAGGCAGATTCTCTGGTATTTGTAACACAACTGAAAGATGTGAAAGTTTCATGACATCTAGGACAATTATATATGGGAAATAGGAAAGCAATCAGTATGTGTTGTGTAAGGGAAACGATTATATCTTATAACACAGATATTAGTATACCCTAATATCTCAAAAGTGAGTCTGGCCTGAAAATAAGCCTGCAATTCCATACAATCAAATTACATGTCCCGTAAGTAAGCCAGCCATAAAAATATGCTTTCGATTTCTTCAGTCAATTTTCATTCAATATAAGTTGGACATCAGTATATTTTATTGTTTCCAAGTTGTTATGGATCAATGAAGAAAAAGTATTATTAACCATGTTTATATTTATAAATACATTAAATAGCTATTATCTTTAAAACATATTTTAGATTTCAATTAAGTTATATAAAGGTAGCATATATATATAGCATAAGAAATCTTAATAATTATGATTGTGAATGTCAGGGTCTAGTCAACATGTCCTGAACGGTTTATAAAATATCTTGAAAATAAGCTTTAAATTCCTGACAAAAATTGAAATAAGCTGTGGCCTATTTTCCAGATTTTAGGATATTAAAGTAGCAAACTAATAAATCATTGCCATATAGCCAGCCTTCAATATATATAAAACATTTAAAAATATGGTTACTTTTGCAGATTCTTGGGTGGACTGTAATGATGCTAGAATGCGACTTTGTCAACTAGAGGATGTTCTGCTAAGTCAAGCTTATATACTAATCTACACAAAAGTTGAGCAGACAAACAACAATGCTTGTTCACTGGAATCACAACTCACAGATTCACAAATGACAGACTCACAAAGCACAGTGACCTCAGAAAGTACAGACATCTATAGTCTTAATGGAAGTGAGTTTACTCCTCCTCTGAGACGGCTCAACTCCTCACAAATAATAGACAAGGAAATAACTTTCAATTTCCTGACACCCGTCATCAACTCAGGAGCTCCAATCTCTGTGGGCATAAAACGAGCAAGTCGTGACAGTGACCAGAACATCAGTAAACGTGTGGTTAAAAGGCGAAGATCCATGTTGTGGTGAAGAGTCATGACAACGACCAAACATCATGAATGTGTGCTTGAAAAAAACAACGATCCATGTTATGGTGAAAAAAGTATTTGATCGTGGAATAAAGAGATAGTTGTTCTGGGTCATTTAAATCATTTGATATTCCAGCAGTCAATGCAATTGTCTTCAATTTTACACGTGAGTGTATTCTTAAAATCAAAACAGTGATGTTGTTCTGATGATTTCATTACTGACTATGTACACAAATATCAGTAATTTTAACTCTTTTTAGATGCAAGTGAAATTTTATATTAAAACCCATCGCAGATTTGGATGAAAATGATATATGTCCTCAAAAAAAATATCTTATTTATAAATTTTTATCACATGTAAGAAGGTTGTATTTCTCAAGTGATGAAGGTTGATAAGTACAATAAAATCATTCATTTTCAAAGGGCTCATATTTTGTGATTTTCCAAAAACATATTGACACTTGATTTTGTAGATAAATCTTGCACACAAAATCCACTAGCACAATAATCCATGTCAACTTTTATCTCTATTGTTTTGTAGACATATAAATTTTTTGGATTTAAGAATTTCCATGAATTCAAGAAAAACAAAACCTCCATGACAATTAATGATTTAACAATATATATAGAAAATTCCAATATCAAAATCAGTAAGAAAATTTCCTGATAGTGAAATAATTCTATATTCCATGAATAGGTCAGATATGTTGATTGCAAATTTGACAGGCTGGTTATAGTGTCTTGAGACCCACAAAACTAGCCAAATTTTTTCACCTTTTGCAGCACTATAATCCTGATAGGTACAGATATAATGATATGGATAATAATTCTGATTTCTTTTAGTATTGAATATTTGATTATTAATATCTATATTCTGACTGAAAATAAAACCCATTTCTTGCCAATTGTCAGGTGAATTTTAGTTGATAAATCCATTTTCAGCACTTCTGGTGCATTTTACGTGATGTTCATTGTTCTGGGAAGATAGTGTACACATTTTTAATTTGTGTCTGTTAACTCTTCACATTAGGGTCATATCAAATGTCAAAACAAATTCCAGAATCTTATTACCATTTGCAAATATATTAGCTGTGGAATACTTTTCAAATGACAGGAAGTTAAAAAAATAATCAGTCATTCAATGATGATGTAGATGTAAATTATAGCCCTTAAGGCAAAACCTCAAGTTCAATCTGAAAACTATTATGCACATGTTAATATTTCTCTTTCTGCATTAAATAGGAGTTGACATTCACTAGTAAATCCGAATAGGTACTAATATCAAAGCATGTGTGTATCCCACATGCCAGGGAATACAGAGTCCATTTAATTTAGGGACAGGTCTTCCACTCCTTTCAACAGTTCAGAACAATTACTACCTAATCCAAATTCCAGACCACACAACTTTTCTCAATCACCTGGTTCATCAGTCGACATTAAGTTTAGATAGTCTGCAATATTTTCATGACATTTGTTATCTTTGTATTTTAAAAGTTTAAACAGACCAATATTTTTGTGAAAATAGTCTGATGATTATCAACAAACCAATCAATTTGTAAAAACAAGGCACCTAATTTTCTACTGCTGATTTTGAAATTGTTATGAATTAAATATACATTCATTTTCAAAATGTCTTAAAAATCAGTTTTTTTTTTTTTTTGGTACTGTTAATCATTTCATTCGTTATATCTGTTGGTTTCATTTATCACTAAGAAGATGACTGGTTTTACTGATAGTATCTATCATCTATACACATTAAAAGTTCATAGTCTGGTGAAAGTCTTTGCATGAAGTACGAAAGATATTGTTTTAGTGAAACTTTTATGAAGTGCTATTCATGATGAATGATAGGGCGCAAAATATTTCATATCATGGTAGCATGTTGACATTCTGTTGTATTCAGAATTTTAGTGTAGATGTGACATGTTGTATTTACCATCAACATGTGGATAAGGTAAATTTCATAAATTGCACAATCATCAATGTATCTTCATGTCCTGTATTCAAATGTCCTCGTGTGTTGAGATGCCAAATGATTTTCAATAGCAGTGAAATTAGTCCATTTATTTTTGTACAGTATTTGTATGCATATTGTCAATCAATAAACTCTACAAATTTTGTGTGGTTGAACGTTGTAGTTGGTGAATTTTTCTGCCCTCAGTATCACTTGTCCATAACAGTACTGAAGTACAACGATATTGTCAAACTATAACACTTGTTATGACAATGTTTTTATCAATTGAAGCACAAGTGTTCTTCATTAATTGCAGCATAACTGTTCTTTATCAAGTAATGTGTGGTATAAGTGGTCTTTATCAAGAAGTGTACTATGCAGCATAAATGGTCTTTATCAAGTAATGTGCAGCATAAGTGGTCTTTATCAAGTTATTTACAGTATAAGTGGTCTTTATCAAGTAATGTGCAGCATAAGTGGTCTTTATCAAGTAATATACAGTATAAGTGGTCTTTATCAAGTAATGTGCAGCATAAGTGGTCTTTATCAAGTAATGTGCAGCATAAATGGTATTTATCAAGTAGTATGCAGTATAAGTGGTCTTTATCAAGTAATATGCAGTATAAGTGGTCTTTATCAAGTAATATGCAGTATAAGTGGTCTTTATCAAGTAATATGCAGTATAAGTGGTCTTTATCAAGTAATATGCAGTATAAGTGGCCTTTATCAAGTAATATGCAGTATAAGTGTTCTTTATCAAGAAGAGTACTGTGTAGCATAAGTGTTCTTTATCAACTAATGTGCAGTATAAGTGTTCTTTATCAAGAAGAGTACTGTGTAGCATAAGTGTGCTTTATCAAGTGCATTACTGTGCAGCATAAGTGTATAAGAATACAGAGTCCAAATTTGCCAAACTGTCCCATTTCAGCATTTTCTGTCTGGATGTGGTGAATTTTTTTCTTAAAAAAGAAGTTCAAAATCAAAAGTCATCAATCCCATTTCTCAGGTAGCCATACAAGATTAATGTCAAATTTCAGGTTACTTATACCATTGCCTGACACTGAGTATGTAAACTCCTGCAGAGGACTACCAAAACAAAGATAATATTTACCCAGACGTTCAATCTTTTTCATTGTCATATGATCACAACATCATTTTACTCAACTTAAAAAAAGGAAAGAAAACAACAAGCTTTATAAAATGTGTATTTTGATGTGATTTGATCAATAGTAAGAGTGAAAGTCCCTTTCTTTGTACAATGATTGAAACAGCAGACAACACAATAAGGAGGGTTTGGTGGCCGACTACTCTCAGCTTGTCTCCATAGATTCCGCCGCTGCAGAAGTAAAAAAAAAAAAAAAAAAACATTAAACCTTAGTTGCCAATCATTAGTACAGGGGAACTTGACCCTACAGGAATCGGATAAATATTGTAATTATTTAACAAATTCTTCTAAACCCTTTAGGTACGCCTGCATTATGTTCTGTTTTATTGTTCTCCATTCTAAACATACACCAGTGTAACAGGTCATTTTCCTTTACTTTTTTTATATAAATGAAATATGAAATTTTTGTATACATAAAATCTATATGATGCTTAACTGACACCTGTGGGGACATAGATATGACTAAATACAGAGATATACTTGACTCTTACCTTACATCAGGTGGGACGTAGGTATACATCTATATAAAGATATACTTGACACTTACCTGACATCTCGTGGAACATAAATTCCTGCTGGTATTCCTTTAAGAACTGTGTAGATCGTGACTCGTCCAGGAATAATGAATACACTCGTTTAATATCGTCTACATCCACCTCAGATCCCTGTGTGAGAAAATGTAAGTAGTTGATAGAGAAAATGTAACTACAGTTAAACCCTGTTGATTCAAACATCACTGCAGGTTCTTCTCCTTGATTATCACAGTATTTTTCTTGCAGAAAGTCTTATCTAATAAACACTAATGTTGATATGGAGTGCCCTATCATCGAGCTTATACTTGCCTTCCTCTTGCGACACACTAAACTGGCGACTGTGATGAGCTGAATGGCATATCGAAGAGATGTCTCCATTCCAATCTTTGTCAATACTGTCAATGCATCATCTGTCATTTCTACATCCTCCTCTTCACATCTATCAATAAAACATATATTATACAATTATAAGCTGCAAAACATGAGGCCCACAACATCAGTCTAATCAGAAATTTTTATCTGCCATTCTACCATCATGAACTTTACAATGGTTTGTCTATACTTGTTAGAATTCTATAACTAAAATGGTCGATGGAGAGGGAAACAATTCTATATCTAAACTGATGATGGAGAGAAGGGAAGAGTTCTGTAACTAAATTGATGATGGAGAGAGGGGGAGTGCTCTGGAGCTAATTGGTTGATGGAGATGGGGGAAGAATTCTATAACTAAACTGTTGATGGAAAGCTAGGAAGAGGGGAAGTTCTATCACTAAAAAGGTAAAGAGTTCTATAGCTAAATTGTCAATGGAGAGAGAGGATGTGTTCTGTTAAATCCTGATGAACAGAAGGAAAGTGTTGAGTTACCTGATTTTGAGGATCTGTTTGATCTCTTTTTCTTCATAGGGAGTTGTGGCGATGATCAGCAACCTATCCAGCATATCTATTGGAATACCATGAGGACTCTGGTAATTTGTGCCTCGGATTCTGTGGAAATAAATAATTTTTTTCTGTCATTCTGATTAGATTGATACACCAAGTTCTTGTACATTGCCCAAAAAAGATGTTAATAGATAGTGTGATTATCTACAAGGAACTATAATTTTTTACTGACATGACTCAAAATGTGTGTAGACCTGGCAATACCACTGTTGATGGTAACACCATGTTAAACTGGGCAGAGTTTTACACTGTATTTGTTGTTACCTGGTGATGCCCCTGTTAGTGGCCATGATAAGAATGGGAGCCATGTCATCTTCCAACGCTCTATTCAGGAAGGAGAAACACTCGATGTCTAACATATGAACCTCGTCTACAAACAGCACCTGAAATAAAGTAGACACAATATAACAGATACCACTCCAGAAAAAGTTTAATTTTAGTAGTGTGTGATGTTACTAAGCTTTAAAAATGTTCCTTTTTTCCACACAGACGCAGATACATTTGAAACTATGATGTTAAGATTAGCATATTTATCTAAAATGACTTTCCATCAACATTTGAACCTGAGCAGAATTAACTTACCCCAGGTACAATCTCAGCTTTGCCTTCCTCACGCCACTCTGCCACTTTACTGTTGATCTGTTCTCGAACCTCACCTTTAATTTCTCCAGTGTCACCTATCCAACAAAGTTATTTAACACATTACACATGGTATCTCTCTAACAACATTTGATATTCTATCAGTAATGTATCTAAACAAGGAATGAAATTGATATATTGCTCAACATTTAATATATGAAACAATGTCTTATACATTGTAATTACCAGTACACTGAGATAATGAAAATAATTATGCCAAGGAAACAATTTAATAAAATATATTTTATATGATACCAGAAATGCTTATGTCCTTGTGTTGATTATAATTAGTTGCGAGCAGAGCAAGGAATCCTAGAAGTCCATTGTAAATACAAATTAACTTGGGAACAAAGCAAGGAATTCTTATGGCCTACTGTCAGTGATAATTTACCTGGGAAGATGCAAAGAAGCCTTATGACATACTGCAAGTGATAATTTACCCAAGAACAGAGCAAGGAATCCTTATGACTTCATGTAAGTGATAATTTATCTAGAAACAGAGCATGGAAGCCTTATGTCTACTGTAAGAAATAACTTACCTGGGAATAGAGTAAGAAATCCTTATGGCCTATTCTATGTGATAATTAATCAGGGAATAGATCAGGGAATCCTTATTACCTACTGTAGGTGATATATTATCTGACCTTATAAAAATTTACCTTTCTTTTGCATGCTTTTAACAGGATGCTGAAAAGGGAACAAATTTTATTCCCGATGTTGGAGGAAAATTTACATGGTAAACAACAACTAAATCAGCCATGTTCTACCACCATCAGTGTGTCATGAACCTGTATCTAGAAGGAGGTTCTGAAGCTTACACTTAATCACACACATTATGACAGTTATACTGTAAATATATTAGCAGTCATGGATACTGCAGCACTGATGTAGATGACACTTCACCTGAGAAATATACCAAAAACTACCATGGATGATAACTTACCTGAGAAAAGTGCGAGGAACCCTTGTGTCCTACTGTTTATGACATCAATTTCATGTAATGTGACTGTATGGACCACTTCTTTCCTCTTTTGAAGCTCTCCCTCTGGACATTGTACAAATTTTGTCTGAAAAAGAGGAAAAAAACAACTGATTAGTGTGTTTGCTACTGGTAGGTAGAGTAGATGATTTATATCAGTGATATGAAATAAGAACATTTTTCTCGTGTCAACATCATTAACTGCCTTTGCTGTCATTCTTTTTTTGTTATAGATTGATTTACCAGCTGAAGTTATTTATTTTGTTATTAACCCCATGTTGTAAGGTGAAGTCAGAAAGATTTAGAATTACAAAACTAGTCAACCCATATTCATAACAATAGCATTTGTTATCATAATTTTTTTCTCATGGCACACAAAGTAAAAATCCGACTACCTAAGCTCTTGAGGGATCTCTTACTAAAATACCCTTTATATGAGCTTCCATGGCACACTTGGTCAAAATACACCATCCAAGTTCTAATGACACATTCCGTAAAAATCCCCCAACTTGAGCTCCCCTGGCACAATTGGTAAAATTAATTTACCTAAGCTTGCATGGTAAGCCTTGCTTAAACCCCTTTACCTAAGCTGTCAGGGGCATACTTGTTAAAAACTTTCCTTCTTGAGCTCCCATTGGTCCACTTAGTAAAACTCTCCTTCCTGATGAAAACATGCTTACCTGAGCTCCCATGGGCAAACTTGATAAAAACATGCTTACCAGAGCTCCCATGGGCACACTTGATAAAAACATGCTTACCAGAGCTCCCATGGGCACACTTGATAAAAACATTGCTTAAAAAACATGCTTACCAGAGCTCCCATGGGCACACTTGATGAAAACATGCTTACCTGAGCTCCCATGGGCAAACTTGATAAAAACATGCTTACCAGAGCTCCCATGGGCACACTTGATAAAAACATGCTTACCAGAGCTCCCATGGGCACACTTGATAAAAACATTGCTTACCTGAGCTCCCATGGCATCATAATCTCGTGCTCGTGTAAAGGATCGTCCCAACTTTGTGATCTTTCCTGTGGCTTTATCTATTGTAATGATGTCCCTGAATCAGAACAAAAGTAATAGTGGCTTTATCTATTGTAATGATGTCCCTGAATCAGAACAAAAGTAAGATTATTCTCATACTAGCAGTGATCTTGTTCTACTACAGACAAACTGGTAAGTAGAATGTAAAATTCTGAAACTGTATAGTTAGCAATGTGCCAATTAGACAGTGTTATTGGTAGCATTATAAAAGTATTGAAAAGAAATTAGGAAATATTTCTACCAATCTTCATCTCATGATAAATACATCATACCAATTAATGATAGTGTATTCTTCGACAATGCATGGGGTTCTTCTACTATCGGAAAATTAGGTAAAATTCTAACTTTTCATTTGTCAGGTTTATTTCTGCATTAATTATCATATTTTTCCTGGATGGTTCATACTTTTGACTTAGAATTTTAATAGTTCAGATATAGGAAATCTACAATCTACAAATTACCATGTAGAACATTTTTACATTCACAGAAAAATATCACCACTTAAAGCCAGTTTGTACCTACCCAGCTTGTACTTTTTCTTTTGTTAACGATTCTATCATCTTCTGTCCCAGATCATATATTGTTTCCATTTCTGTAGTTTTCAGTGTTAGTTTTCCAACTTTGGCACCCTTCAAAATAAACCACATGCGCTTAAGAGTATTCCATTAACCCAATACATTCTGAATATCTGAGAAAAACTTATGTCTTCTTTCCTTAGGATCTAGACTTGGATAAATATATCTATAATCAATGAGAACCAGATCTATATCATGATTGTTCAGGTTCAGCACATCACAGCTGACAATTACCGAACATTAAACATAAGTATTAGGTATCATCCGACCACCGAAGACAGACATAACCAAACTTACCGTTCCTGTAGCTGGTCGGTCTATTTGTATTTCCACAACTTCTCCTTCTATTATTTCAGTCTCTTCCCTACAAAGATTCAAAAAGATAATGAAATCTATTCTCATTATTTTGTATACAAACCACTATGAAATCAATTAAATTTGTGTTATGTAGAAATTATAATTATCCAAATAAATGCAATCAGTCTACATCCTTTTATCCAGTGGATACCAAAACGACCTAAAAATATCAAATATATATAATAAAATAAGGAAAGGGTTATGACTTTTAATTTATTTTGTAAAGCATTTGAAACTACAAAGCAAATTTCAACACAATCTATCTTGAATTGAATAAGTAAATAAAGCCATAAAATATTGAAACACAGATGGACAGTCTGGTTTCGATAACTACATCCCAATCTCAGGCACTTCTAAAGTTGTATTGCTAACTCTGAACTATAAGAGGAAATAGTTTAAACCCAAAACAATATTTAGTTAAAGTTTGGGACATAAAACATGAATCACTCACTTAATTCGAACACCGATGGATTTTCTGAATGCTTGTGTCAATGCTTCTGTTTTGCTCATTTCCAGAGAAAATATCTCACTGCCTGCTATACTTGTGAAAGGTGTATCTGTTCCCAAAGCCTGAGCCATAGCTGAAATTACACAAGATATATTTCAGGTAGATCCTAATACTTAACTATATGTTTCACTATCACAAAACTTCTTATACATTACAATACAGTCTACCATTATCCTGTTCTTTTGTGCAAGATCATGAACAGTCTTACAGTTTCTAGCATCAGTTGTAATTTTCTTATGTGATTTCAAATATGTCAATTAATATTTAACCTCACAAATCAACAATTTGATAAGGGTTATATTTTCATTTTTTCCCCATTGTTGATATCTAAATGCGAGATATTTTACATGTCTAGGAGTCAAAATCAAATAAGTTTATTCATTATTCCCTTACCCATGGCTATAGCTGTCTTCCCTGTACCAGGATGGCCAGCAATGAGACATGCACGTCCAGCAATCTTTCCTTCCTGTCAAAAACAATTTAATCACCAATGTCAGGTTACAAACACTTACTGTAGATATACACATTTTTAGTGGTTATCTTATTTTAACACTTTCTGTATTGATAGTATTGTAGTAACATATGACTAATTCAGGTTCTGTCTATTGTCTATATAGTTAGAGTTGTGGATGTGCAAATTCCTTACGGATTCAATTTGCCAAAATATGATAATACCCTAAAATTTGATGGCACCAAATTAAGTATGTTGACAGTACACAAGTGATTTCTGTAGAATTTCATCAGTCCTGAACACCATTTCCAAAATTTTGAGTTCCAATTCTGTACTCAAAGATGTAATGGGTTCCTGAAATTTTAGTGCATCCCATTAGAAAAGTACAAGTCCAGGACTCAAATATCTAAGTCCCAAATATCACTAAGTATACCTAGAAGTCCAATCAAAACACTTAGAATGCAACACTTTATAAAATGATCTTCTGCAGTTTGGTGAATCAGAAATTATTCAAATATATTGATACTAATATGCAACTGGGATCAGATGGAAAATTAGAAGTTTCTTGAGGAAACATGCATGCAGTTATCATTAACATGCGAGAATACAAAATATACATTGACTTTAATAACACATGTATATTGTCTGACATCAAAAACATGAAGTTAATTTTTGAAAAGTTCAGAATTTGGCTGTAATGTAATGAGTGATAAAATATCTGATCTATTAATGATATAAGTCTTGCAAGTAACAAAAGTCTTCCTATATACCAGTATCTGCATGGGCTAATATAGTCATATTTGTTTATACTTTGTAATAGGAATATATACCCCAAATTTGCAATAAATATACCTGAAAACTGAATAATCCAAAAATTTCCCAAAGGTATTGATTACTAAAAAAATATGTAGTCTTTCACTAGCTAGAAAAACAATGAAATTCACTTTTTGTTCTTAGAACCCTTCCAAACTTTATTCAATTGCAATGGTAACATAAAAGCAGTAGTTTTAGTACAATGTTCAGTTTTAAATGTATTGCTTTTTATAAGGCTGTTTATTCTTTCATAGTAATTGAACTTCTGTATAAAGGCCACTTTCATCTGCTTCGTCTAGTGACTTTTATAGACAGACTGGACTGTACATGGATTCTGATAAAAAATTGTACACTAAATTTTTTTCACTGTGAGTTTACTTCCACTGTTTGGCAACCATACCTTGATCATCTCCAAAATGACTCCTGCTGCTCGACGAGCCTCCACCTGTCCCACCATTCCCTGGGAAACATTTCTAGCATCCAAAGCATCATCAAGACCAAGACCTCGAATGTGGGAATGTGCTCCTACAAAATCCAGTACAGCATAATCATCGTGGAGACATATTTATACAAGTTGATAAATTTCTTCTAAACAAATTACGATGTAGTTAAATGTATATTGGGGATTGTATATGTAAATAACTAACTGAACTAATGTTACAAATTGCTAACTAATTAGAGGGCATGGTTCACTTGGTGTGGCATGCTGAAAGGTTATGATATCAAATCTTCAGAAGATACAGAAAATTTCCATCTTTATCACCTTGTTAGTAACTTACCAATTCTCTCAATTCTTGTTACTTCTCGTACTTCCTGGACTTTCTCTACTGTAGGCTAAAAGGACAAAACACACTGTCAGCAATGCTATCTCAAGTTTGAGGATGAACAGCACATTTTCACAATGAACTTACAGAACATTTTCAGAATTAACTTAAAGCTTTTAACTTTTGAAGACAAAAAATTATGTCTGTTTAAAACTGTATAAGTCTTTGTGACTGGGATTCATAGTTCACATTTTTTACAAATAATAGTTCATAATCTTTCTATTCTTACAGTTTTAACATTTCAACACAATCATATAATAGATCTATGATATCATTATTTCTAATAATAGACTGCTATCTGTTTTCACAATTCAAGCTTTATCTGACATCTGTCAATCAAACATCCAATGCATCATCATAGTAGATATCTATGAGCAGCTCATTGTTTAGGACAACTAGCCTACTTCTCATACATATATATATATAATCTATTTTTTATGTTCTCTGTGTATGCTTTTAAGATCTGTCACTCTACTGGTCTAATGCTAATGCTATAGCTATGCTTATGTTGCTTTTGTTTAGCTCTGCATGTTGTAAATAACTGTTTACTGTTTTGTCACAAGACTTGCTCTACAGAGCTAATGTTTACTTCTATCATGCAAGTTAAAATATTTTTGTATCTTGAAGATCATTTTTTTGTCAACTACATTTAATCTACTACATTATGTGTGAAAGAACAGGGAAAATACACATTCCTGTAAAGTGCCCTGACCAGGAATCCAACTAAGTCTCCAGTGTGATAATCAACTGACTCTACCAACTGAGCCAAGGAAGCAGGCTCCATCAGTTGATACACCAACCAAACCAACTCGCTCCTTTTACACTACTTCCCTTGTTTTTTTTAGGTTTCCTTAATCTCAACCCAAGACTTCAAATATCACATCTTGTGAAAATTCAATGTGAAAGAACAGGGAGAATATACATGTACATTCCTGTTAAGTGCCCTGACCATGAATTGAACCCAGGTCTCTGCACGATTGTCGGTGGACTCTGTCAACTAAACCATAGAAGCATGCTCCATCAGCTGAGTGACACACAGACACACTTTTTTTTCAAACATATATATGACACATATCTGCCATATCTATTTATCATTGTTTCTTTTATTATTATTTTTATATGCGAGTATGGATACACAAATTGGTAGATGGGTCTGTCCGAATAATTTAATCAGCTACTGGATATAATCATGGGGTCAGGACTTGAATAAACTTAAATGTATTCAGAAAAACACCCCATTTCTCTTTATCTTCATCATATCTAGTACATGTAAATTAGTCATTTAGTTAACACAATCGCCGAGGTTAACATGAAAATATCTATACAAACAATGCCTATGAACTAGGGTTGTTCAAACATCAGAATATGCTAAATATGTTACAAGAAAACACATAAAAAATGGTAATTTGACATAAGACAAATAATAACTCGATTACACATACTCGGGTATGTCTCTACTTGTTGATGCTTGCTAATGCTATGACAATGTTTACAACTGCGTAACAACGCACGTGTTTTTTGTGTGTAGTAAAAAACAAAATAATGATATATTTGTATGAAAATCAATGGTCAGTCATCATAAGGAGAATGATATCTCAAAGCACCATACAAGACTTGTATCATTAAAACGCCAGCAACAAAACTAAAGACAAAATTTACAAAGAGCTCCACATCTAGTTTACTTACCGCCGCCATTGTACCGGTATGCAATAACAGCGCCCTCTCGTGACAAGGGAAGGCACTCTCGGCTAAATTAGAGTTTTCTAGAAATGCATTAGGCATCAAGTTGAAACACGTACAAAACCAAAAGCTGAAATCGATATCATTATGACACGAGGAAATATCATGACATGGGGTAATTAGAAAGCGCAAATGGATAGAAACAAGGGAACAAGAAAGCTAATGTTCAACAATACGACAAATAAATCAATAAATGTTGATTATTTTTTAGCACTATGTTGTAGATAGATGCACATTGTATTACATAAAATAACTTGCATTACTACATTAACAACAACTTTGGCTATTATACTTCCTTTTAGTATTTAATTAGTCTAGTTCAGTTTGAAGGATAACCATGGCCAGCGGCTGGCAAGGTTAAGGCAACACCTATCATTTGATCAGATCCACTAATTGGTTTTAAATACACTATACTTGATAGTATGTCGTCATACACAAGATCAAGAGAAAACGTAAATGACATACAATATTTACACATAAAGGGAATAAAATGTAAATACAGATATAAATACAGGTTGAGGGAGAAATTATTCCATATGAATTCCTTTACTGATTTCTGAAAAGATAAAAGTGAAATACTATTTCTCAAGTTATTTGGTAAAAGATTCAACTTAAAAAGCTAGCTTATATCTTTTTAAAAAAACGTTTTTAAAATGTTCGTCTTGTGGGGTGGTAAGATAAAGTCGTAGACGAAGATATTGTAGATTTACTGTGGACATCAGACATGTAGGTAAAACCATGTCAGTTTATCTAGAACATTCGGAGAAATCGTAACAACATCCCTTGAAAAATTTTTTTGATAAGTTCTGCAGCCATGTGTGTTTCTTCCCAAGTACTCTGTATTCCAAGTGATCCAAAATGCTTACTAGTCTGACGCTCAACCAATCGAGCTAAAGAGAAGTTCTCTCTAGCCGAGTGGTATATTGCGCCTAGTATTTTACCAGGGTTTCATCAAGAAACTGATTGAAATATAATTAATGCTAATTACAAAGAAATTGAATTATCTAAAGCTTATGTAGATCAGGTCGCAGGATAAAACGTTTCGTTAATTAATATTTTTAAAAAAGTTGTTAAACATCCCGAAAAGGCGTATTAGATTAAAACTGTAAATTAAGAATCAAACATTGGCGATACTTCAAGTATTAAAAAGAACGCCGGTGTTAGGATCAGCACATCCGTGAAAGTGATAAAAGTGGTAGTGATATTTTGATATAATAATGTCTATACCGTTCCTAATTTGTGTTTAAACATAGCTGAAACTGAAAAATGATTATTCCATGTTTTAGTTATTCCTGTTATACCATCATATAGATATATACATGCTCAGTCAGCTGAGTGACAGAAACCGTATTTAACATTGCAATGTTTGTACACTACTCCCACTCTGTTTATTGGGAGTCATTGTAACAGAACAAGGGAAACATTACTATCGAATTTATTAACTGTTTTACACCACTATCACGGTCTTTCAATGGACAAGATCATTCGAGCGTCTCGTCAGGAATCGAACCCGGTTATCCGACATGATAGCTCCATTTACACACAGTGTTTGTCGCATCGTTAGACTATTTATCACCGGAACACTTCAGAACACCATGGTCTTATTCCTATTTCTTTTTAAATACCTCTAATGCGTTCTTTCATTTTTGCTCACATTTTAACGATATATCATGTTGTAAAGAGCAGACGTTTCTACGATTGGCCATTTGAAATACTTCATGATGTTAGTATGATCCCGTATCCGGTATTTAGTCGGTACCTTAAGCGTCACCGTAACGTTGATCAATCAAGAACATGCCAACGACAATGGCGAACGTAAACAATTTTTTGAAAGCGTCATGATATTCAAAAGGTAAGAAGAACTCAGGCGAAATGTTAGCGAATTAGCACACATCGTTTTTATGGAAAACATACAGATTCTCTTAGCAACAACTTTGTATTTGCGGAGGATTGCTTCAAATGTGGACATGTTTTAAAATGGTGTACAGCATCGGCCGTCGATCTGTCAAAATGTACAAGTAAAAAAGAGATCATTCAATCCAGTGGGATTGAATTAGTTCATGTTTTCAGACCCACAATATGTAAAGCGAATATATCGTAACAACCCTTTCAACTACCCGATATAAATTGATCCGTTAGACGAACTTCAACATTTATCCAGATATAATTTTTTTAGATATGTAATAGGAGCAGATTGGTGTGGCTTGTATATGTTTTTAAGTACGGTATCTTTCACACAGCTAACGGAGCATGTCGCTTTGACTCAGTTGGTTGAGCCGGGCGATTATCACGCCAGAGACCTGTGTTCAATTCCTGGTCGGTCCACTTGACAGGAACACGTATTTTCCTTGTTCTTTCACATTGGCACCCAACAAAATCCCACGAGTTGTGGTATGTGGAGTCTCAGGTTGCGATAATGAAAAGTCTCAAGAAAAACAGAGGAGTAGTGTAATAGGAGTGGGTTGGTGTGGTTTGTATAAAGTGTTAGATACAGTCTTTATCACTCAGTTGATGTAGCATGCTTCTTTGGCTCAGTTGGTAGAGCCAGTGGATTATCTCACCAGAGACCTGGGTTTGATTCCTGGTCGGGGACAGGAACGTGTGTTTTCCCTGTTCTTTCACAAATGCATCAAAAGTATTTGTTTTAAATGAAACAATGTTGACGAACACTTGTACCACAAGTCATGTTTAAATCTTATGATTTTCTTTGTGTTATCAGTGAACAGGCAGTTGATCATCTCCTCATTCAACATGTATATCTAAGTGTTGGGTTTAAAAATAAATGAGTGATGATGACGAAAATAATATTTCTGACTCAGCTCTAGAAATTTGCTGTTAATGTTTTGAGTATGCAGGTAAGTTTTGTTTCACATAATCTTGGAGAAGAACAAAATATTACACACTATGATCTATAATTTGATATTTATCAATTCAAAGAAATTACAAACTACCTGGTAAATAAATTGAAGGTGAAGGGCTTGTTGAGAATATTAGTGCAAGGTATTAATCAAGAACAGCTTTTTTCCGTTTCATATTTTCTAGATTGATCAATGGCATGATAAGAAGGGAGTGCTTTGACACAGGTGCTTTAGTATGCCCCCATCAGGTGTTAGTGGTATGATGGATGACGAGGCTCTTATAGAGGCAGAGATTCAACAGCAACTGCAGCAACTTGACAATGAAGATGATAATGATCCTGGTCTGTGGGATGAAGTTGCCGATAACCCAGGACTGCAGGATGACCGAGAGGCCAGTCCTCATGAGGAAGTCATTGTCAGTAAAGATATCTCATTTTGTTAAACACTAAGCATCTTAATTCTCCTAATATCATAATCTAGACTAAGCCATCACTATCCCTACAATGTTAGAGGTTTACATGGCATGAAACTTATGACAGGTACGTTGTAGTCAGCAAAAAAAAAATCAGAAAAAAAAAAATTGACCAACCAGTGGTCACTTATGTTAAAGGAGTAACCAGTCACTAGACTTTGTTTTGTGATTAAGTTTACATGGATGGTATTTTCTTATTCTTCTTAGGTCCTGAATTGAGTTTGATAAAGAAATTTATAATCATAATACCAAGCAATTTATAATGGTTTAAAACTCTTTAATATTCAGTACTCACAAGTATGTTATACATATATCATATGAAATAATGTTTGAAAAAATTAAAGTTAAAATAAAAATATTATTTGACTTCTACCTAAGAATCCATGACATCCTTTTGTGTTAAGGTTGTAGCTTTCAGTTTTTATTCAAATTGTAAAAAAATTAAATTAGATTAAGTGTTTATCTTAATCCTCAATCTTAATCCAGGTTTTTGTACTCATAAATAAACTCTTGTATCCAGGGCATTCCAGCAGAGATGGATGTTTACATCAGACTTCTGAACAATCAGACAAAAGCATTTGAAGAAGAGTTGGAGGAGTGTGATGACCTCATCAACTATAAACATGGACAAAGTAAGTTTTTTTGTCTACATACAAACTGCAGCATACGCCTGTCCAAAGAAACAAAGGAAGTGGCTAATAATTCCAGAAAACATGGTAGCTTAATCATAGTGTGACTGAAAAATGGACAGAGTCAGTTGATCACTGATAGTGTGACTAAAACATGGAGAGAGTCAGTTGATCAGTGATAGTGTGACCAAAACATGGAGAGAGTCATTTGATCAGTGATAGTGTGACTAAAACGTACAGAGTCATTTGATCAGTGAGAGTGTGACTAAAACATGGACAGAGTCATTTGATCAGTGATGGTGTGACAAAAACATGGACAGAGTTGTTTGATCAGTGATGGTGTGACAAAAATATTGACAGAGTCATTTGATCAGTGATGGTGTGACAAAAATATTGACAGAGTCGTTTGATCAGTGATGGTGTGACAAAAATATTGACAGAGTAAGTAGATTAATGATAGTACTACTATAACAACTCATTTTCTCATGACATGATACCATTGTGTGACGGACCTGAACATCAGCAAGTCGAGTATCATGGGCATATGGTATAGTGATTACCAGACCAGCAGTGTTCATCATTCCATAGACACAATCAGCAAGTCGATCTGTCATATCTTTCTGTAAGAAGGTTGTATATGTTTGAGTTCCTCAGTTAATAAATACATTGTAAAGCAATGCTTATTCATGAAATCAGGAAATGAAAGCTGGCACAACCTTTACAGAAATGTCAACTATAAACTGTCACTATTATCATAGGTCATCGTGACTAAATTGTTTGTCAGTATGTTGTAACTCAGATGCCATACTATTGAAAAGCTAGGTGTAGGTCATTTCATGTTTAATAATTGTGGACAAACCAATAATGAAATAACTCTTCCCATTTTAGACTCCAAGTCCATTATGGCTGTAGAAGACTTTGAGTTGTTGAAGGAGGCTGCTTACGAACAAGGCCAAGACCCAGAGGAACTTCGGAGGAAGGTAACTATATCTCCCTCCATGTTTAACAGCAATTCTTGTTTCACAAAATTGATATTGTCTCTAAAGAATTAAGGAATTCATTATTCAAGCTCTAAAAAGGGTATTATGTAGTATATATTATGTATTGTTGTAAACATCAGATTCTGGATGAGGTATCGAGGGCAACAGAGAATATGACAGGTGCTGACCTGGAAACAGAACCAATTGTGTTGGCTGGTGTTGGCGATGGGCCAGGGGACCAAGGACCAGGTCAGTTGTTATTCCTTCTACTGTGATGGGTGGGGGTGATGTGCCAGGTTACCAGATAATCATTGTTATACCCTCCCTAAGGTACCAAACTTCCTTTATTGTTGTGGGTAGGGGGTGATGTGCCAGGTTACCAGATAATCATTGTTATACCCTCCCTAAGGTACCAAACTTCCTTTATTGTGGTGGGTAGGGGGTGATGTGCCAGGTTACTAGATAATCATTGTTATACCCTCCCTAAGGTACCAAACTTCCTTTATTGTTGTGGGTCGAGGTGATGTGCCAGGTTACTAGTTAATCATTGTTATACCCTCCCTAAGGTACCAAACTTCCTTTATTGTTGTGGGTGGGGGTGATGTGCCAGGTTACCATATAATAATTTTTTTACCCTTCCTGAGGTACCAAACTTCCTTTATTGTTGTGGGTCGAGGTGATGTGCCAGGTTACTAGTTAATCATTGTTATACCCTCCCTAAGGTACCAAACTTCCTTTATTGCTGTGGGTAGGGGTGATGTGCCAGGTTACCATATAATCATTTTTTTACCCTCCCTGAGGTACCAATTTGAATTTAATAATAATTTATAATGATTTGTCATTCCACATTTGCTTTTTTGGAAGTTTTCTGTTCTGATAGAGAAAGATCAGTCAGGAAAAATTTGACAGATGTTATATCCAACCTTGATATTTCATATCATTGACTTTGTTTGAAGTTATATTTTTTAGGGGGAGATATAAGAATCATTAAGGGAAGGTACACCCAGGGCATTACCCAAGACACCATATACTGTATTGCTGGATATTTTTGCAGGATGATATTTTCACTTTTTCACTGTACATTTAAGTGATCATGAAAATTTAGCGCATGAAATAACAAGACATATATGATTAAGATGTCTTTTTGCATCTGAAAGTGAAATTTTGATTCCTTGAAATATAATTTGAAAAAGAAATCATGAAAATTTTGACCCATCAAAATTACCAGTTTTACATTAGTTTATATAAAGTCTAGTGTTGACACATCCTTTCCACTGATGTAGAACTGTTTGGGATGAGATAGTGGACACGCCCTCTGATATACAGAGTATTTAAATTTGACAAAAAAGACTGAAATCTAACCTGATGTTTATTTCTTCAGGCATCGGTGATGAAAAGGCATTAGTGTTGGTTGATGAAAGACAGCTAGCTTTTCAGAGAGAGATGAAGGAACAGATGGATAATGCAGAGAAACAGTACAGAATTAGGGAAGAAAAGCTAAAGGCTGTACGTATATAAAACAAATATACCGGGTAAACAGATAACACAGAGAGACATTATAGAAACAAAGAAAAGAAACTAAAGGCTGTATGTACATAAAACAAACCTGGGTAAACATATAACACAGAGGAACAGTACAGAATTAGGGAAGAAAAGCTAAAGGCTGTTCATTTGTATATACATAAAACAAATACACTGAGTTAATAGATAATACAGAGAGACAGTACAGAATCAAAGAAGAGAAACTTAAGGGTGTACATATTTTAAGGTCACAATGTCGTGAATACATGTACAAACAGAATTCAACAATAAAATTGCTTTGGAAAACCAAGCCTTTGTGCATTCTTCAAAAAATGATTTGATAGGAGAAGGTTTTGATAAAGTTTCCTCTTCCAACATCATTAATAGGCTTTGGAGGAAGAGAGGAGGAAATCTGAAATATTGAACCGAGAAACAGAGGAACAGCGACAACAAAAACGTCAACAGCTAGAGAGAGAGGTTACCACTTTAGCTAAGGAGAGATTGGTGAGTTTTTAGTGTCACTGGGCTCAGTTACTATTCATGTCTGAGATTTCAGATTTGTCTGATTTACAATACAATTTGGTAAAATATTTATCCAGTGATAAACGCATGTCTGGTAACAACTCCATCTATATATGTATAAATACTACTTCACTGTCCTACATTAAGCCTTCTCCCTAACTCTGAGTCAGAGATTAGTTTGATGTCCCTGGGCTTATTTGAGAATATATTTTGTAATTGCTTTTGTCAAGGATAAACATATAAATAATACACTGGTATGATTAAAGGTGGAGCAGGAAAGACTGGAAGAGGAAGAACAGCAAACCTATAAACAACAGGAGGCTGCACTTCAACAACATGAGGTACAAGTTAGTTGTAAATCTGTCACTGACTCACCACCATATATCTCTTGTCTTAGTTCTACATCTGTCACTGACTCACCACCATATATCTCTTGTCTTAGTTCTACATCTGTCACTGACTCACCAACATATATCTCTTGTCTTAGTTCTACATCTGTCACTGACTCACCACCATATATCTCTTGTCTTAGTTCTACATCTGTCACTGACTCACCAACATATATCTCTTGTCTTTTCAGACTTTCTTCAATTTAGATAATTATGTACTAATTTAAGTAAATGTCATCTTATGTTATACTTGTTCTTCAAACTTTCAATTTGTAGTCACACATTTTATAGCAGTGATTAATATTTTTAAAGACGATGACTGAAAGATGAAAATATGTCCTTAATAAGTACAATATAAACTTTTCTACTGTTTTCAAGGAAAACTGTCAGGACTCACCAACATATATTACAACACAAAACATTCAAGACTCACCAACATATATCTCTTGTCTTAAAGGAAACAAAAAAGGGACTGACTCACCAACATATATCTATGTTTAGGGGTTACAGGTTAGTGGTAGTGAGAAGACAGATCCAGTCTATGTTTAGGGGTTACAGGTTAGTGGTAGTGACTCACCACCATATATCTCTTGTTTAGGGGCTACAGGTTCACTGGTACTCACCAACATATATCTCCAATCTTAGGGGCTACATCTGTCACTGACTCACCACCATATATCTCTTGTTTAGTTACTACATCTGTCACTGACTCACCTCCATATATCTCTTGTTTAGGGCTACAGGTTAGTGGTAGTGACTCACCACCATATATCTCTTGTTTAGTTTATATCTGTCACTGACTCACCAACATATATCTTTTGTTTAGGGCTACAGGTTAGTGTAGTGAGAAGACCACCATATATCTATTGTTTAGGGCTACAGATTAGTGGTAGTGACTCACCACCATATATCTCTTGTTTAGTTCTACAGGTTAGTGGTCAGTGACTCACCACCATATATCTCTTGTCTTAGTTCTACAGGTGTCACTGACTCACCAACATATATCTCTTGTTTAGTTCTACAGGTTAGTGGTAGTGACTCACCACCATATATCTCTTGTTTAGGGGCTACATCTGTCACTGACTCACCACCATATATTCTATGTTTTGGGGCTACAGGTTACTGGTACTCAGAAACATATATCAGTCTATGTTTAGGGCTACAGGTTAGTGGTAGTGACTCACCACCATATATCTCAATGTAAAGGGGCTACAGGTTAGTGGTCTCACCACCATATATCTTTTGTCTTTTTAGGGTTCTACAATCTAGTAATTATGTGGTAATTTAAATAAATGTCATGTTATGTTATAGGGGTACTTACAACTTAGTGGTAGTCACACATTTTATAGCAGTGATTAATATGTTTAGGGCTACAGGTTAGTGGTAGTGAGAAGACAGATCCACTCAATGTAAAGGGGCTACAGGTTAGTGGTCGTGAGAAAACAGATCCATGCTATGGTTAGGGGCTACAGGTTAGTGGTAGTGAGAAGACAGATCCAGTCTATGTTTAGGGGCTACAGGTTAGTGGTAGTGAGAAGACAGATCCAGTCTATGTTTAGGGGCTACAGGTTAGTGGTAGTGAGAAGACAGATCCACTCAATGTTTAGGGGCTACAGGTTAGTGGTAGTGAGAAGACAGATCCAGTCTATGTTTAGGGGCTACAGGTTAGTGGTAGTGAGAAGACAGATCCAGTCTATGTTTAGGGGCTACAGGTTAGTGGTAGTGAGAAGACAGATCCAGTCTATGTTTAGGGGCTACAGGTTAGTGGTAGTGAGAAGACAGATCCAGTCTATGTTTAGGGCTACAGGTTAGTGGTAGTGAGAAGACAAGACAGACACAATAATACAAATTGTCTTTATTGATTAATTAATGTTATAACAAACATGGAAATGAGTTGATAGAGCTATTCCATTGGTTTTAAATGGCTTCAGGATAAGTGATAACAGAGGAGGTATTAGAGAGCTGATAAATACTTAATCTGTCTTTAGCCATGATAGGTCAGAGGACAAAAGATATAAGACCTGAAATAGAAAACATGAAATGTAATGAAGACAGATAGTTTTAACAAAAGGCCAAGGTTATCTCCTACTGATCCTCCCCTAGTTAATTTTGTAAGTGACTTGAAACTCTGGGACAGTGATATTTCTTGTATATCTACTTTATCCCTGTTCCCCTGTCCTAATTTTTTTACTCATCAATTTCTTCTCAACAACCATACAGATTAGGCCCATTATTATACTGTTATCCCATGTAGCTTGCTGTAGTGTAAGTCTATCATCTTTGTTTGAGAAAAATCAAAGTGACATATATCCAAATTAAAAGTGTAATAAATGTATTACTATTTAGTAAACTTCTGAAAATCATGAGAATGGAGGTTACAATACTTGTCCTGAAGACGGCTGAGGTGAAACGTTATCACGGTTGTTTGGTACTATAGTAATTATCTCATTGTGTACCTTTTTTATTTTTATCTGTAGGTAGTCATCAGTTGGTATGGATGTGTTAGTTATCTAAGATATTGGCATTACCAATCATTATCAGATCACATGATTGGTATACAGACAGTAGGGAACACAGAGGTTGTGACCTTCATTTCCATTGATCACATGACACTTCATGTTGGTCAAACTGGATTTTGTATACTGGTATTACATCACTGTACTGTTTGTTCCAGTGTACGCAAAGAAAACAAAGCTTTTAAAGAAATCCTTGAAGAAAAAGTGGAGATTAGGAAAAAAAAGATGGAGGATGAAAAGATAAAAGTGGCAGAGCAGGTGATTCAACAGCGAAGAGAAATAATGGAACAAGAAGAAGAAACAAAGAGGTAGAAATTTTAACTTAGTGTTAAAAAAAAGTGATTTTCAAAAACTTCAAAGCTTAAGCAAGTCTATTGTGACCCAGATTTATCTAACCTCATATTTTCATTTCTATATATGTGGCACAAGATCATGGTTGGATGTCATCAAAGATTAGATCTCTTGTTTTAATTCTTACTTTTCAACTTCATAGATATTGTTCAGGCACATTAGTCACTGGCAGTGGAAATTGAAAATTCTGTAAAGTATAGTTACTGATTTATATTACATACAGAACAATTACTGATCCATAATATGCAGGCAAGTTTTTATCAATGGTCTACGTTAATACTTGTTTTGTGCTAGGTGTTTTTTTCATCAAGTCTATTAATTATCTATATCAAAAGTATTTACAATTCTTTTTTTCAGACTTGAAATGGAAGCAAAAGAAAAGGAAAAAGAAGAAAAGAGGCGAAAGAAAGAAGAGGAAGAAAGACAGAAGGAGGAAAAAAAGCGCCAAAAAGAGGAAGAGAAAAGAATAAAAGAGGAACAGAAAAGGTTAGAGAAAGAGAGAGAATTGGAAGAGAAAAGAAGAAAAAAGGAAGAAGAGGAAAGAAAAAAGCAGGAAGAAAAACTAAGAAAGGAAGAAGAAAAGAAACGTCGTGAAGCTGAAGAAGTGAGAAAGAAGGAAGAAGAAAAGAAACGTCGTGAAGCTGAAGAAGAGAGAAAGAAGGAAGAAGCAAGAAAATTGGAAGAACAGAAAAGACATGATGAAGAGAAAGAAAAAGAAAGAAAACGTCAAGAGGCATTGCAAATAGAGGAGGAAAGAAAAAAGGCAGAAGCAGAGAAGTTTGAGATTGAGAGAAAACAGAAAGAAGATGAAGAAAGAAAACTGCAAGAGGCAAGGGAACAAAAAGAGGAGGAAGAAAGAAGGCAGCAAAAAGGGGAGGAACAAAAAATTAAAGAACAAACATTTGGAAAGGAAAAAAGAGAAATTGATGAAATTTTGAAGGAGAGTATTGAGTTGACAACCCCAAGAAGTAGTAGGAGAGATGGTAGGATAAGCAGTAGATCAAGTAAACATGATCAGCTGAGCCAGTCTACAGATCAGGAGAAGGAAAGGTAACTCTGATGGTTCAAGGGCTGTAATCCCTTTGTGTACCCAGTGTTTTACTGTAAGTTGTCCCTTTTGTACCCAGTGTTTTACTGTAAGTTGTCCCTTTGTGTACCCAGTACCTTTTTACTTGGCCCGTTCCATTACAAGTCAAGATGGTTTAACCAGATTTGTGTTCTTACTAACCAAAAGCTGTAAGCTTAAAGGTTTCATTTTTTCACAGAAATTATGATTAGTTAGCTAGCTAGTTTTTAATTGATTTTGTTAGCTGCCGATCTTCAGGTGACTGTCCTGGATTTTGACAGATGAAGCTGTTACTATTTCTTAAGAAGAACTTGAAGGGTATGAAGGTTTCCTTTTGCCCTTTGTTGTGCTTGTTCAATTTTGAGTATGACCTTGAAGACAAATGGCCGACAGATGACCATCATGGATATTGACACCTGAAGATTGTTACTGTTATTTCTAGAGAAGTACGGGAATGATATAAATTTTTCTTAATTTCTGGTTGTGTTCACACAGTATTGAGAATTACCAACAAAAGAAAATGGCTAACAGACACGTTCAATGTTGAGTCAGATCAGGAAGATGAAATTTCCGACTGTTAGCCATCATGGATTTAGACATTTGAAATCTGTTCTGGCTTTTTCTTGAGAAGTAATGGAATCATCTTTCCAAAACATAATGTACTGATTTTCCTTTATCTCTGGTTTCACTCATTCAACATTGAGTAGAATTTGAAAAACAAAATGGCAGACAGGTGGTCATCTTGGATTTTGACAATGAAAGTTCACTGCTTTTCTTAGGAAGTACTGAATTAATCTTTCTAATATTTGATATGTAGGTTCCATTTGATCCCTAATTGTACCTTTTGATATTGGTACTGATCAGAAATAAAAAAAATGGTAGGGAAATGCTTGATGAGTCTTTCTAAAATTTCTAAAACAAGATTGCCGAGAGGTGACGGTCATAGATTTTACAGTTTTCACTATTTAGGGAAAGATCCAACTTTTAAGAAATGAATAAAGATCAAATGATGGTTGGCAATAAGATTCCTCTGTGATCTCTTCTTTTCATACTATCTTTATCCCATGATATTATTCTATCCCCTAAACTAATGAAAAATCCTGTGTAGAATTCCACAAAAATCCCAGGTAGAAGCCCTCAAAAATCCCAGGTAGAAGCCCTTAAAAATCCCAGGTAGACGCCCACAAAAATCCCAGGTAGACGCCCACAAAATCATTGATTTTCATCAATCAGACCATGATAACCTGTCATGTTGACCTCTTATTGTTTATTAATTACAGGTAAATCTGTCTTAAGTGTAGGAAGCATATGTACACCTGTTATTCTCTGAAAGTAATCACTTTGATTACTGATGAAAGTTACAATACGTGCTGCAGCATGCTAACTGTACCTTTGATACCTGGACAATAAACAGGTTAGGGTACTTTGAAATAAATTGCCCAAAATGAATATTCCAATGAAATGTTAAAGTGTCAGGTAACTAGTGTGACTAGACATGTAGTGATAAATTGTGATGTCATGCTTGTGTTCTCTATGCAGGAAGAGAGATCAGAAAGCGATGATGCTGGGTCTACCAGACAGAGCTGAAGTACGGAGGCTTCAGTGGATCAAATCCTGTATCCCATGGAGGTAAAGTTTTATAGGTTTTAGTCATGATGATGGCATTCCTGTAAAATGAGTGTTGATTGCTAATGTACACTGACAAACAATCCTTTCTTTTTCATAAGTGATCATACCAATAAGGCATTCCTATTACACAAGATGGTGACATAAAGTGAATAATGAGATGTATGGATGGTGATATCAAGTGAATAATGAGCTGTATGGATGGTGACATAAAGTGAATAATGAGCTGTATGGATGGTGACATAAAGTGAATAATGAGCTGTATGGATGGTGACATAAAGTGAGTAATGAGCTGTATGGATGGTGACATAAAGTGAGTAATGAGCTGTATGGATGGTGACATAAAGTGAGTAATGAGCTGTATGGATGGTGACATAAAGTGAGTAATGAGCTGTATGAATGGTGACATAAAGTGAGTAATGAGCTGTATGGATGGTGACATAAAGTGAGTAATGAGCTGTATGAATGGTGACATAAAGTGAGTAATGGGCTGTATGAATGGTGACATAAAGTGAGTAATGAGCTGTATGGATGGTGACATAAAGTGAGTAATGAGCTGTATGGATGGTGACATAAAGTGAGTAATGAGCTGTATGAATGGTGACATAAAGTGAGTAATGAGCTGTATGGATGGTGACATAAATTGAGTAATGAGCTGTATGGATGATGACATAAAGTGAGTAATGAGCTGTATGGATGGTGACATAAAGTGAGTAATGAGCTGTATGGATGGTGACATAAAGTGAGTAATGAGCCTTATGAATGGTGACATAAAGTGAGTAATGAGCTGTATGGATGGTGACATAAAGTGAGTAATGAGCTGTATGAATGGTGACATAAAGTGAGTAATGAGCTGTATGAATGGTGACATAAAGTGAGTAATGAGCTGTATGGATAGTGACATAAAGTGAGTAATGAGCTGTATGAATGGTGACATAAAGTGAGTAATGAGCTGTATGAATGGTGACATAAAGTGAGTAATGAGCTGTATGGATAGTGACATAAAGTGAGTAATGAGCTGTATGGATGGTGACATAAAGTGAATAATGAACTGTATGGATGATGACATTATTTTCTTATTACTTGTAACAGTAAAGTGAGTAATGAGCCATGGAAACTGAAGACCAGTACCACAAAGAAGCCATCTAGACGACCCTCTTCCGCGAAGAAGTTAGAGCCGATCGATAAATATATCATCACATCAGCAGCTCAGGTTGACACACTCCGTCAGGTACATATGTACATGGTTCTTATGATAAATTGTCAGAATTAATTGATTTATAACTCTGTAAATTAGAGAGGATATAGGAATGTTACCCTACTTCCCAAAATAGTCAACACCGTAACAGCTTGATTACTTCAAAGGACTATGATATCCTGCATGACCTCTCGGTTTGTTAGGTCAAGGTCACCATAACTGTAGAAAATTGTTGTCAGCACTCTAAAAGCTTTCTTTCTTAAGGGAATTTATTCAAACTGTACACATTTAAAAGGACCATTATATCTCCTACGGGTTTGTAGGGTAAAGGACACAGAAATATTGGTGACTTCATTCCGTAAGGGATTTGGATTGATGTATCGGGCGAGGAGATTTGTAATGTTTGTGATACCTTCTCTTAATCATGATATTTAATTCTCAATTAATTAATGATTTCAATTATTTTTCCATGTCTTTATATTTATCATCAACCAAAAAAGTCATTTGTTAGTATTGTATAACAAGATGTTTGGCATGTTAAAATCGAAAGAAGAAAAAATAATGAAATTATAGTTTAATGTAAATCTGACTAACTTTTGGTTATATTACCTGTCTAACGTTTGGTTATACTAAATACTTTAAGATGTAAAAATCAAGCAACAAAGTTTATCATACATGTTTAATCTAAGAATGTTGAATGTGACATTGTACACTGATTTTTTTTTAGGTGACCACAGTCCAATTACAGGACTTACCAGGCTGCGATCTGTCAACCCTTGGTCAGTGCTGGGGCCTTAAGTACCTGTCAATGACCAACTGTAACCTTGTGGCTGTGGATGGTCTACACTCATGTAAACAGCTTCAGCTTGTTCACTTCAAGGTAACTAATAATATACTGTGTGTAAAATACACAGTTTCATTCACTCACCTGTTCCAAAGGTCCCAAATTTTAAACAACTTCTTCTTAACCTCTGGTAGAAATTTAACTTAACTTGCAGGGAGGCATACCAAGGGAAACAGTCTCTGACTATAAGAAAGGGCTGAACTTATCATAGGACAATGAAATCTATAAACACAAAAAACAGAGCTGTTTATTATGTCATTAAAGCATGGTGTATGTATTACATAGCTCAGAATTATGTATTTATTTATGATAATTAATGATTTATTTGAATTTAAAAAACATAAAGATAAAAATCATATTGCAAATGCAGATTTAGGAAATAGAAACTTGATTTCATTTTCAGCACAACTACATAGAGTATGTAGACCTAAAGGATCTTGGAAATCTTACTTATGTGAATATATCTCACAATAAGTTAAGTGTTATACATGGACTGGAGGGATGTGGAAATCTACGATGGTTAGATTTGTCCTATAACAGGCTTACAAGGATTGGTATGTATGCACAGACATGTCATAATATACAGTTACTGTAGGGATGTTGTATAAAGGCTGGATGTGTGTAGTATATAGGCTGGATGTGTGTAGTATATAGGCTGGATGTGTGTAGTATATAGGCTGGAGGGATGTTGTATAAAGGCTGGATGTGTGTAGTATATAGGCTGGAGGGATGTATATAAAGGCTCAATGTTTGTAGTAATTTTCTTTGAGTAAAAATTGAAGGACAATATAATTTGCACATTTTCAAATTATTTCTGCATGTAACCCTTACACTGTTATGTTTCTAATGCATTGGTGGATGTTTTTATTTTAATACCATTTTGTAACGATAATTTTTAATTTGATGCTGTTAGTTTTGAACTCTGGCATAACTTTCTGTTCTACTTATGGTTAATAAATTTTCCTACAACAGGGGGTATGTACTCACTGAGACGCTTACATACTGTCAACTTGTCTCACAACCAGCTGATTAGTACTGCAGGTTTGGGGGACACACCCACTATCCAGAACCTAGACCTATCCCACAACCATCTTCAGGATTGTCAGGACACCAGTAGGCTGTGTCTCCTCCAGGTCCTCAAACTCTCCTCCAACAATCTTCTTCAGGTAGGTATTATTCTTATCTAGGTCCTCAAACTCTCTTCAAATATCATATACAGTCAAACCTTGTTATCTCAAAGTAGCCAGGATCATGGGAGAACTTCAGCATATCTGAGTATTTGATATAAGTAAGTTAAAACATTCATTGTGAAGTTTGGCTAGGACCAACATATAGGGTCTTCAGGTTATAAGAGTTCGAGTCAACAAAGTTCAACTGTTCTATGTTACACCTGTAGTACCTACCTTGATAAGTATATTGTCTATGTTACACCTGTAGTACCTACTATGATAAGTATATTGTCTATGTTACACTTGTAGTACCTACCTTGATAAGTATATTGTCTTTGTTACACCTGTAGTACCTACCTTGATAAGTATATTGTCTATGTTACACCTGTAGTACCTACTATGATAAGTATATTGTCAATGTTACACCTGTAGTACCTACTATGATAAGTATATCGTCTATGTTACACCTGTAGTACCTACCTTGATAAGTATATTGTCTATCTTACACCTGTAGTACCTGCCTTGATAAGTATATTGTCTATGTTACACCTGTAGTACCTGCCTTGATAAGTATATTGTCTATGTTACACTTGTAGTACCTACCTTGATAAGTATATTGTCTATGTTACACCTGTAGTACCTGCCTTGATAAGTATATTGTCTATGTTACACCTGTAGTACCTACTATGATAAGTATATCGTATATGTTACACCTGTAGTACCTACCTTGATAAGTATATTGTCTATGTTACACTTGTAGTACCTACCTTGATAAGTATATTGTCTATGTTACACCTGTAGTACCTACCTTGATAAGTATATTGTCTATGTTACACCTGTAGTACCTACCTTGATAAGTATATTGTCTATCTTACACCTGTAGTACCTGCCTTGATAAGTATATTGTCAATGTTACACCTGTAGTACTTACCTTGATAAGTATATTGTCTATGTTACACCTGTAGTACCTACTATGATAAGTGTGTTATCTATTTTACACCTTTAGTATATTCCTTTGTTTCAGCTTCCTGATCTAAAGAACCAGGTGCTACTACAGACTCTGTGTGTAGAGGATAACAGTCTTGCCAATATAAAGGGACTTGGGTTATGTTGGTTTCCTCTGCTACAGAAACTTGACCTTAGTCAAAACAGGTAAGTCATTATCTGTTGGTTACAAGTAAGTAATTACCTGTGTATAACAGGTAGGTCATTACATGTGTGTAATATGTAGGTCATTACCTGTGTGTAACAGGTAGGTCATTACATGTGTGTAACATGTAGGTCATTACCTGTATGTAACATGTAGGTCATTACCTGAATGTAACAGGTAGGTCATTACATGTGTGTAACATGTAGGTCATTACCTGTATGTAACATGTAGGTCATTACATGTGTGTAACATGTAGGTCATTACCTGTATGTAACAGGTAGATCATTACCTTTGTGTAACATGTAGGTCATTACATGTGTGTAATATGTAGGTCATTACTTGTGTGTAACAGGTAGGTCATTACCTGTATGTAACAGGTAGGTCATTACCTGTAACAAGTAGGTCATTACTTGTGTGTAACATGTAGGCCATTAACAGTATGTGACATCTATATAGGTTGGTACATGATTGTGCAAGGGGTATATTATTACCAGTGTGTTACATATAGGGAATTACCAGTGTGTTACATATAGGGAATTACCAGTGTGTTACATATAGGGAATTACCAGTGTGTTACATATAGGGAATTACCAGTGTGTTACATATAGGGAATTACCAGTGTGTTACATATAGGGAATTACCAGTGTGTTACATATAGGGAATTACCAGCGTGCTTTTAAAGCTTTCAACAAGAAATTGGGCTTAGTTCTACCACAGTGAAGTTTTGTATTAGACTCTGCATGTGACACAGATTGTGCAGAAACAAAGTGCCCATCTCTTGATTCCCCAACAATGATTGTTCTACTAGTCCCAGATGACATAACTTACTGGTATTTAGTGTTGATAACAGAAAATCTACTATTCCTCTGCCCTGTTTGTATCCACCAATATCATCTTTTTGGGCAGGTGTGGACCTGACAAGTTTTATTCTGAGAAGTTATCATCAACACATATTTTACTTAGCTAATAGGCCTAATTAAGTTTACTTCTTTATTTACGTAGGTAATTGGGAAATAATAAATAAAATATATTTATTTTACAACAATTGCAAAACAAATATTTTTCATCTTATATTAATCACTCTTGTTGACCCACCAGGTATTTTACTCATATTGTTGACACAGTGCATGTATATTGCAGCATTGAACATCTAGTCAACTGTGAAGTGTTCCATTTACTACGGGATGTGGATGTTGGGAGCAACCAAATTATTGGTGAGTAGGTATTACAGATGAAAATGAAATATGAGTGGTACTTTAATAGGTGTCTGTAAGATATGTGAGAAGTGTTTTATGGTCGTCTGACTTTTGAAACTTCCTCTTGATTTCACTGATGCCATTGACCTGAAACTGTATTTTGCAAAACTGAAATGAGAGAATTTCTTTTGTCTTTACTGCTAAAATATTCCAGACAGTTTAAGTCATTTAATAAATAACTGTTTTTTCTATCCTTTCTACTGTTGTATATATGTCTTTTTAGTCAGATGACTGTTAAGGTCTATTGGTCTCTTGTATACAATCAGAGTCACTGAAATATCAAGGATACTTTGCTAGGAGGAGAGCCGGGAGATATGAGAATTCTTTGTTAGGAAGGCCGTCTGTGAGATATGAAGGGGGCTTTGTTAGGAAGAGTGTCTGTGAGATATGAGGGGGGTTTGTTAGGAAGAGTGTCTGTGAGATATGAGGGGGGCTTTGTTAGGAAGAGTGTCTGTGAGATATGAGGGGGGCTTTGTTAGGAAAGGTGTCTGAGAAATATGAAGGGGGCTTGTTAGGAAGGGTGTCTGTGAGATATGAGGGGGGCTTTGTTAGGAAAGGTGTCTGTGAGATATGAAGGGGGCTTTGTTAGGAAGGGTGTCTGTGAGATATGAGGGGGACTTTGTTAGGAAGGTCTATGTTACACTTGTAGTACCTACCTTGATAAGTATATTGTCTATGTTACACCTGTAGTACCTACCTTGATAAGTATATTGTCTATGTTACATTTGTAGTACCTACCTTGATAAGTATATTGTCTATGTTACACTTGTAGTACCTACCTTGATAAGTATATTGTCTATGTTACACCTGTAGTACCTACCTTGATAAGTATATTGTCTATGTTACACCTGTAGTACCTACTATGATAAGTATATCGTCTATGTTACACCTGTAGTACCTGCCTTGATAAGTATATTGTCTATGTTACACCTGTAGTACCTACTATGATAAGTATATCGTCTATGTTACACCTGTAGTACCTACCTTGATAAGTATATTGTCTATGTTACACCTGTAGTACCTACTATGATAAGTATATTGTCTATGTTACACCTGTAGTACCTACCTTGATAAGTATATTGTCTATGTTACACCTGTAGTACCTACCTTGATAAGTATATTGTCTATGTTACACCTGTAGTACCTACTATGATAAGTATATCTCTATGTTACACCTGTAGTACCTGCCTTGATAAGTATATTGTCTATGTTACACCTGTAGTACCTACTATGATAAGTATATCGTATATGTTACACCTGTAATACCTACCTTGATAAGTATATTGTCTATGTTACACCTGTAGTACCTACTATGATAAGTATATTGTCTATGTTACACCTGTAGTACCTACTATGATAAGTGTATTCTCTATTTTACACCTTTAGTATATTCCTTTGTTTCAGCTTCCTGATCTAAAGAACCAGGTGCTACTACAGACTCTGTGTGTAGAGGATAACAGTCTTGCCAATATAAAGGGACTTGGGTTATGTTGGTTTCCTCTGCTACAGAAACTTGACCTTAGTCAAAACAGGTAAGTCATTATCTGTTGGTTACAAGTAAGTAATTACCTGTGTATAACAGGTAGGTCATTACATGTGTGTAATATGTAGGTCATTACCTGTGTGTAACAGGTAGGTCATTACATGTGTGTAATATGTAGGTCATTACATGTGTGTAACATGTAGGTCATTACATGTGTGTAACATGTAGGTCATTACATGTGTGTAATATGTAGGTCATTACCTGTGTGTAACAGGTAGGTCATTACATGTGTGTAATATGTAGGTCATTACCTGTGTGTAACATATAGGTCATTACCTACTATTCCTCTGCCCTGTTTGTATCCACCAATATCTTTTTGGGCAGGTGTGGACCGTACAAGTTTTATTCTGAGAAGTTATCATCAACACATATTCTACTTAGCTAATAGGCCTAATTAAGTTTACTTCTTTATTTACGTAGGTAATTGGGAAATAATAAATAAAATATATTTATTTTACAACAATTGCAAAACAAATGTTTTTCATCTTATATTAACCACTCTTGTTGACCCACCAGGTTTTTTACTGTGGGAGGTGTTCACTATTTCCACTATACATATTGTTGACACAGTGCATGTATATTGCAGCATTGAACATCTAGTCAACTGTGAAGTGTTTCATTTACTACGGGATGTGGATGTTGGGAGCAACCAAATTATTGGTGAGTAGGTATTACAGATGAAAATGAAATATGAGTGGTACTTAAGTAGGTGTCTGTAAGATATGTGAGAAGTGTTTTACGGTCGTCTGACTTTTGAAACTTCCTCTTGATTTTACTGATGCCATTGACCTGAAACTGTATTTTGCAAAACTGAAATGAGAGAATTTCTTTTGTCTTTACTGCTAAAATATTCCAGACAGTTTAAGTCATTTAATAAATATCTGTTTTTTCTATCCCTTGTACTGTTGTATATATGTCTTTTTAGTCAGATGACTGTTAAGGTCTGTTGGTCTCTTGTATACAATGAGAGTCACTGAAATATCAAGGATACTTTGCTATAAGGAGGGCCGGGAGATATGAGAATTCTTTGTTAGGAAGGGCGTCTGTGAAATATGAGGGGGCTTTGTTAGGAAGAGTGTCTGTGAGATATGAAGGGGGCTTTGTTAGGAAGGGTGTCTGTGAGATATGAGGGGGACTTTGATAGGAAGGGTGTCTGTGAGATATGAGGGGGGCTTTGTTAGGAAGGATGTCTGTGAGGTATGAAGGGGGCTTTGTTAGGAAGGGTGTCTGTGAAATATGAAGGGTGGAATTTGTTAGGAAGGGTGTCTGTGATATATGAGGGGGGCTTTGTTAGAAAGGTTGTCTGTGATATATGAGGGGGGCTTTGTTAGGAAGGGTGTCTGTGAAATATGAGGGGGGCTTTGTTAGGAAGGGTGTCTGTGAGATATGAAGAGGGCTTTGTTAGGAAGGGTGTCTGTGAGATATGAGGGGGGCTTTGTTAGAAAGGGTGTCTGTGAGATATGAAGGGGATTTGTTAGGAAGGGTGTCTGTGAGATATGAGTTGGGCTTTGTAAGGAATGGTGTCTGTGAGATATGAGGGGGATTTGTTAGGAAGGGTGTCTGTGAGATATGAGGGGGGCTTTGTTAGGAAGGGTGTCTGTGAGATATGAGGGGGGCTTTGTTAGAAAGGGTGTCTGTGAGATATGAGGGGGATTTGTTAGGAAGGGTGTCTGTGAGATATGAGTTGGGCTTTGTAAGGAATGGTGTCTGTGAGATATGAGGGGGATTTGTTAGGAAGGGTGTCTGTGAGATATGAGGGGGGCTTTGTTAGGAATGGAGTTTGTGACATATGGGGAGGGGGGCCTTGTTAGGAAGGGTGCTGTGAGTTATGAGAAGTGCTTTGTTAGGAAGGGTGACTGTGAGATATGAGGGGCACTTTGTTAGGAAGGGTGTCTGTGACATATGAGTGGGAATTTGTTAGGAATGGAGTTTGTGACATATGGGGAGGGGGGCCTTGTTAGGAAGGGTGACTGTGAGATATGAGTGGGGCTTTGTTAGGAATGGTGTCTGTGAGATATGACCTGCAATATCTGTGTTCTGTGTTTCATGTTGGTGTAAGCTAGAACTGTCCTGTATAAATAATTATCCAATACAAGTTGAGGGAGAAGTAAGTGTTTTATAAGGAGTTTACAATTTATATTTTGTGATGCTGTAACGAAATAAATGACTCTAGAAATGTTTTTTTCAGATCATGAGGTGCTGACCAAATGTTTATGTGACTGTGTGTATGTAGAGAAACTAGGAGTTATAGGTATGTTATAAATAACCCATCCTGGAGTTAGATCCTGATCTTAGGTATGTTATAAATAACCTATCCTGGAGGGAGATCCCAATGTTAGGTAGGGTATAAATAACCTATCCTGGAGGGAGATCCTGATCTTAGGTATGTTATAAATAACCCATCCTGGAGGGAGATCCTGATCTTAGGTATGTTATAAATAACCCATCCTGGAGTTAGATCCTGATCTTAGGTATGTTATAAATAACCCATCCTGGAGTTAGATCCTGATCTTAGGTATGTTATAAATAACCTATCCTGGAGGGAGATCCTGATCTTAGGTAGGTTATAAATAACCTATCCTGTAGGGAGATCCTGATCTTAGGTATGTTATGGCAAATGTTATAATTTTTCAAATGTGGTTTAAGGTGATGATCAAATTCACATTGTCCAAAAAGGTCTTGTCACAAGGAACACACATGCAAAATATGGAACCCCTACCTCTTATAGTGCAAAAGTTATGGACAAGGTTAAAGCTGACATCAGACAAAGAGATAGCATGAAAAAAATATGGCCCCAATCCCTGGGTCTGGGGGCATAAAAACTTACTAACACACTTGTTTTTTTCCATAGATGATTCAGGTGTTGACATGTTGATAGTATGGCACTTAAAACTAAAGTTGAATAGATTTATTATGTGAAACAAAGATAGTTTACAAAAAAGATTGTTTGATAAAGTTAACACAAGTTAGAACAATGGGAGTAAAGTTTATAAAACGCTGGTAACACGAAGATCCATATACATGGAACAATGGAAACAATATTGATAGGGTCACGACAGTAGTTCATGATCAGATGACTGAAAGTTTGGAAATGCAACGTTTGGATATGCGACGTTTGGATATGTGAGGTTTGGAAATGCAACGTTTGGATATGCGACATTTGGAAATGCGACGTTTGGATATGCAACGTTTGGATATGCGTTGTTTGGTTATGCGATGTTTGGATATGCGACGTTTGGATATGCGACGTTTGGATATGCGACGTTTGGAAATGCGACGTTTGGATATGCAACGTTTGGATATGCGTCGTTTGGTTATGCAGTGTTATACCATAGTTTGTGTCTTATTTAATAATACAGACCTATAATATTTTGGTGGTTTTTCAGGTCTAAACTTGCAGAGATGTTTCCGAGGCTGTTATCACTTGACAGTGCTGAGTATGTAGGATCACATGACAACGTTTCACCTATCAGACCACGCAACAGTTTTGAGGCCATGTGTGTGATACAAGCAAAGGTTTTCCAGGATGCCACAAACAAGCTGGATCAAGACCTCATGTAATGTCATTTTGTAGGTCACAGTCTAGAACAAGGTCATGTTGTAGCTCAAGGTCATAATGTGGTTCAAGGGTATGTGGTACTTAGATGTCACAATGTCTTGGACTGAAGGTTTTCAAAATTTTAGGGCTGTGCTTGAATTAGCTGTTCTTTTTCTGTGTTTTATACACCAATCTAACTGACCAATATATACATGTATATTTGTGATATTAGATTGAATGCTTACCTGGAAGATAAAGGACTGAATAACCTTTCTATTATACACTTCAAGTTCTACAGAAGGACTCTATTCATTTGAAATGAACCCCACATCTATGAATATTCAATACTTACAGTTTTTGTGACATACATTGTTATCTAAACCCAGGGAACATTTTACTGAGTAAATCATGTGCCTTGTGTTTTGTAGGTCCCTGGAAAGTGATGGTAGTGTTGATTTGGCTTATATGTGTGAGATACACTTCAAGTTTTGTGATAAAATGTATCAAGTAGCTGTAGAATATCGTAACTCTCATGAATATGGTGAAGTGACGATGACCATGCCTACAGCGCCATCTACGCCAAAAACTGTGAGTCATCCTCGGTCTGGAAGGGCCAGACCTGTCCCAGCAATCCGGGAGGATCAGTACATTAGTCCCAAGGAGATGTTTGAGAGAGCTCTTCAGGGTGGAAACAGCTCTGTCAACAACAGTCAGGGAGGAGGCATGAGTACTGGCCGGGAACCAAAGATTACTGCTGATATGGTTGGGAAGTTTCTAGAAAGAGACAGAGATTCTGAAACATACAGGTAAAAATGTTTGTTACACCATGGTGAGTTTATTCAAGGTATTGGTTACATGAAGTTGTTAAGACATATTTATAATTATTGTGCTTAGCAGTAAGATCATGTCTAGTAATAAGACCACCCATTTTTATTGTCCTTTAAAAAGGTCACCCCTGATATTTGTTGTGAATTAAGCTTTTGGAGTGTTACATCTGTGCATGAAATATAGGTCGCTGTGACCAACATTGTCTACTAAACCAATTTTTATTGGATTTTGTGGTAAGATGGTAAGATTAATTCCTGTAGAACAGAAATACATCTTTTACAAACATTTTCTAGGAACCAATTAAAAATCCAAGGTGGTTAAGGAGAAAATGATATAGATACAAGTAATGAGCTAAAGTGATCTACATACAGTGCCCAAGAAAGAAAGAGGCATCGAATTATCTTAGACAAGTTTGAGTTTCAGGGTTGTTAGGTCTAGTTTAGTGTTACTGTTTTAAGAAAATCATTGTTAACACTCCAGTGGCTTCATTCTATGAGGGATTCTCATCAAACTTCCCACACTTATAAAACACTGAAATGTCTTGAACAAGGTCAGCATTACTATTTTTAGAAAATCTTTATCAGTACTCTATGACTTCATTCCTTACAGGAAAGTGACCATAACACATTGGAACAAGGGAAACATTGCATTTGTTTCATTAAAATTAGTTAAAAACTGAATTCTTCTCTTTTTTTCTAATCAACATTGAAAAGCATTGTCTTTATAAATCATTACAATATAATCATCAGTAGTTAATAGAAGGGTGGTGTACAGGACCTGTATTGGTTAAGCAATACTTATTATGCTTGTTCTATACTAGGCTGCAGAGGGAGAAGTCAGCCATTTTGATCCAGGCTGCCTGGCGAGGCTACTGTGTGAGGAAAAGACTTTTAGCGGAGGGCTTACAGGTCAAACAGCAAATGTCTGACATAGATTACGAGGTGTTACAGGAATTACACAGAGCAGCTACCAAAATACAGGTAATAACAATAAAGAACAGGCACCAAAATACAGGTAATTACAACACCCAACAGACACCAAAATACAGGTAATTACAACACCCAACAGACACCAAAATACAGGTAATTACAACACCCAACAGACACCAAAATACAGGTAATTACAACACCAAAATACAGGTAATTACAGACACCAAAATACAGGTAATTACAACACCCAACAGACACCAAAATACAGGTAATTACAACATCCAACAGACACCAAAATACAGGTAATTACAACACCCAACAGACACCAAAATACAGGTAATTACAACACCCAACAGACACCAAAATAAAGGTAATTACAACACACAACAAACACCAAAATACAGGTAATTGCAACATCCAACAGACACCAAAATAAAGGTAATTACAACACACAACAGACACCAAAATACAGGTAATTACAACACACAACAGACACCAAAATACAGGTAATTACAACACACAACAGACACCAAAATACAGGTAATTACAACACACAACAGACACCAAAATAAAGGTAATTACAACACACAACAGACACCAAAATAAAGGTAATTACAACACACAACAGACACCAAAATACAGGTAATTACAACACACAACAAACACCAAAATACAGGTAATTGCAACACCCAACAGACACCAAAATAAAGGTAATTACAACACACAACAAACACCAAAATACAGGTAATTACAACACCCAACAGACACCAAAATAAAGGTAATTACAACACACAACAAACACCAAAATACAGGTAATTGCAACATCCAACAGACACCAAAATAAAGGTAATTACAACACACAACAGACACCAAAATAAAGGTAATTACAACACCCAACAGACACCAAAATACAGGTAATTACAACATCCAACAGACACCAAAATACAGGTAATTACAACACACAACAAACACCAAAATACAGGTAATTGCAACATCCAACAGACACTAAAATACAGGTAATCACAACACCTAACAGACACCAAAATACAGGTTATTACAACACCTAACAGACACCAAAATACAGGTAATCACAACACTCAACAGACACCAAAATACAGGTTATTACAACACCTAACAGACACCAAAATACAGGTAATTACAACACCCAACAGACACCAAAATACAGGTAATTACAACACCCAACAGACACCAAAATACAGGTAATTACAACACACAACAGACACCAAAATACAGGTAATTACAACACCAAAAGAATACTTAATTTAGGCTATTATAATCACAACACTCAACAGAGACCAAAATACTGGTAGTCATAATTACAACACCCATTAGACACCAAAATACAGATGATTACACAACATGAAAGATACTAAAACAAAACCCAAAACTGAAAAAAAAATGTGTTAAGGATATGTAAGAAGTGCCCATTCTGAATTTATAATATTATATAATGTACCTCCTGATAAATCTTTATGATCGTAACTGTTGTGTTTGTTTTAGGCAGTTTTTAGAGGATATAACCTCAGAAATAAACTGGAGAAGGCAATAGAGTTTGCGCGCCTTGACGATTCTGAAGAAGAGGACTTTGGTGAGGTGGATTTGGGGGATTTTAACTTTGATGAGGTAAGTTTACTGGAATAACATATATGTCAGTTAATCTATACTATATAAATGTTTGTGTATTGACATGTAACAAAAGAAGGATATTATAAAGACATCGGATACTTTTAAAGGGTACAGTCCAAAGTATGTGATCTGAGGTGACAAAGTTCTGTCAAAAACATTTCATCTGAGGAGCTGGGTTCAGTTAAAAATTTAGGTATGCTGGGGTACAGTAAAAAATGTTTCATCCAGGGGTACTGTCAAAAAATTAGGTATGCTCGGATACAGTCAGAAATGTTTGATTGAAATGGCAAGGGTACTATAGAAGATCCGGATATGCTGGAATAGTCAGAAATATTGGATTCAAAGGGCAATGATACTGTCAATAATCTATTGGTATGCTGAGGCACAGTCAGAAGTACTTGATCCAAAGAGTAATGGGAGTTGTCAATAATCTGGAAATGCTGGAATACAGTCAGAAATATTCTATTCAAAGCACAGGAATACTGCTGATAATCTATAGGTATGCTGGGGTACAGTCAGAAGTAGCAAAGTAGTGTCTCTGTTAAAAACCTCGGTATGCTAGAATACCGTCAGAAAGATTTGTTTTAAGGTGCTAGGAAACAGTTGTTTGATCAAAGATGCTGGGGACAGTCAGAAATATTTGTTGTTTGATCAAAGATGCTGGGGGACAGTCAGAAATATTTGTTTTAAGATGCTAGGAAACAGTTATTTGATCAGAGATGCTGGGGGACAGTCAGAAATATTTGTTTTAAGGTGCTAAGAAACAGTTATTTGATCAGAGATGCCGGGGGACAATCAGAAATATTTGTTTTAAGGTGCTAAGAAACAGTTATTTGATCAGAGATGCCGGGGGACAATCAGAAATATTTGTTTTAAGGTGCTAAGAAACAGTTATTTGATCAGAGATGCTGGGGGACAGACAGAAATATTTGTTTTAAGGTGCTAGGAAACAGTTGTTTGATCAGAGATGCTGGGGGACAGTCAGAAATATTTGATCGGAGATGTTGTTAGCTGATCATATATTACATTAAATATGATCATCTACATACACCTCAAGTCAAATATTTTAACTATATATCATGTCTTTTATGTACAATATTGTACAGGTATGTAAGTATTCCTTGTAAAGTTATGGGTTTTTCATGATGATAGCAAAAATTAGTGTTTTTCTTATTAGTTCAACTCTTCAAAGAAACAGGAGACCTATTGTTGTCAAAAGGCATCAGCATCGATGTTGATATCTATACAAGTGTAAAAAGTGGTCTGTACATAACTTTGTAGTTGTACAGGGGTACTGATAACTTTATAGTTGTACAGGGGTGCTGATAACTTTATAGTTGTACAGGGGTGCTGATAACTTTATACATGTAGTTGTACAGGGGTGCTGATAACTTTATAGTTGTACAGGGGTGCTGATAACTTTATAGTTGTACAGGGGTGCTGATAACTTTATAGTTGTACAGGGGTACTGATAACTTTATAGTTGTACAGGGGATACTGATAACTTTATAGTTGTACAAGGGTACTGATAACTTTATAGTTGTACAGGGGTGCTTGTACAGGGATACTGATAACTTTATAGTTGTACAGGGGTGCTGATAACTGTATAGTTGTACAGGGGTGCTTGTACAGGGATACTGATAACTTTATAGTTGTACAGGGGTACTGATAACTTTATAGTTGTACAGGGGTACTGATAACTTTATAGTTGTACAGGGGTGCTTGTACAGGGGTACTGATAACTTTATAGTTGTACAGGGGTACTGATAACTTTATAGTTGTACAGGGGTGCTTGTACAGGGGATACTGATAACTTTATAGTTGTACAGGGGTACTGACAGGGGTGCTGATAACTTTATAGTTGTACAGGGGTGCTGATAACTTTATAGTTGTACAGGGATACTGATAACTTTATAGTTGTACAGGGGTACTGATAACTTTATAGTTGTACAGGGGTACTGATAACTTTATAGTTGTACAGGGGTGCTGATAACTTTATAGCTGTACAAGGGTGCTGATAACTTTATAGTTGTACAGGGATACTGATAACTTTATAGCTGTACAGGGGTGCTGATAACTTTATAGTTGTACAGGGGTGCTGATAACTTTATAGTTGTACAGGGGTGCTTGTACAGGGGATACTGATAACTTTATAGTTGTACAGGGGTACTGATAACTTTATAGTTGTACAGGGGTGCTTGTACAGGGGTACTGATAACTTTATAGTTGTACAGGGGTGCTGATAACTTTATAGTTGTACAGGGGTGCTTGTACAGGGATACTGATAACTTTATAGTTGTACAGGGGTGCTGATAACTTTATAGTTGTACAGGGATACTGATAACTTTATAGTTGTACAGGGATACTGATAACTTTATAGTTGTACAGGGGTACTGATAACTTTATACATGTACAGGGGTACTGATAACTTTATAGCTGTACAGGGGTGTAGATAACTTTATAGTTGTACAGGGGTACTGATAACTTTATAGTTGTACAGGGGTGCTGATAACTTTATAGTTGTACAGGGGTGCTTGTACAGGGATACTGATAACTTTATACATGTACAGGGGTGTAGATAACTTTATAGTTGTACAGGGGTACTGATAACTTTATAGTTGTACAGGGGTGCTGATAACTTTATAGTTGTACAGGGGTGCTGATAACTTTATAGTTGTACAGGGGTGCTGATAACTTTATAGTTGTACAGGGGTGTAGATAACTTTATAGTTGTACAGGGATACTGATAACTTTATAGTTGTACAGGGGTGCTGATAACTTTATAGTTGTACAGGGGTGCAGATAACACTTTATAGTTGTACAGGGATACTGATAACTTTATAGTTGTACAGGGGTACTGATAACTTTATAGTTGTACAGGGGTGCTGATAACTTTATAGTTGTACAGGGATACTGATAACTTTATACATGTACAGGGGTGTAGATAACTTTATAGTTGTACAGGGGTGCTGATAACTTTATACATGTAGTTGTACAGGGGTGCAGATAACACTTTATAGTTGTACAGGGGTGCTGATAACTTTATAGTTGTACAGGGGTGCTGATAACTTTATACATGTAGTTGTACAGGGGTGCAGATAACACTTTATAGTTGTACAGGGGTGCTGATAACTTTATAGTTGTACAGGGGTACTGATAACTTTATAGTTGTACAGGGGTGCTGATAACTTTATAGTTGTACAGGGATGCTGATAACTTTATAGTTGTACAGGGGTGCTGATAACTTTATAGTTGTACAGGGATGCTGATAACTTTATAGTTGTACAGGGGTGCAGATAACACTTTATAGTTGTACAGGGGTGCAGATAACACTTTATAGTTGTACAGGGGTGCAGATAACACTTTATAGTTGTACAGGGGTGCTGATAACTTTATAGTTGTACAGGGGTGCTGATAACTTTATAGTTGTACAGGGGTGCTGATAACTTTATAGTTGTACAGGGGTGCTGATAACTTTATAGTTGTACAGGGGTGCTGATAACTTTATAGTTGTACAGGGATACTGATAACTTTATAGTTGTACAGGGGTGCTGATAACTTTATAGTTGTACAGGGGTGCTGATAACTTTATAGTTGTACAGGGGTGCTGATAACTTTATAGTTGTACAGGGGTACTGATAACTTTATAGTTGTACAGGGGATACTGATAACTTTATAATTGTACAGGGGTGCTGATAACTTTATAGTTGTACAGGGGTGCTGATAACTTTATAGTTGTACAGGGGTGCTGATAACTTTATAGTTGTACAGGGGTGCTTGTACAGGGGTACTGATAACTTTATAGTTGTACAGGGATACTGATAACTTTATAGTTGTACAGGGATACTGATAACTTTATAGTTGTACAGGGGTACTGATAACTTTATAGTTGTACAGGGATACTGATAACTTTATAGTTGTACAGGGGTGCTGATAACTTTATAGTTGTACAGGGATACTGATAACTTTATAGTTGTACAGGGATACTGATAACTTTATAGTTGTACAGGGGTACTGATCTTTTCATCAGGATCCAGGTGGGTTTTTAAACCATCCCTTCCTTGAGTTGATTCAAAAGATTCTCGGCTGGGAAAGCCCAGCTTTCAGACATGTTTTCTACTATTATCTTTAAATAATAAAAATTTGGTGCAATTGTTGAAAGGCTTTGGTACACCACTATATGATTGCACATGGGTCCATATGGAGTTACCTTTCCTTTCCATACACCCGAAGGAGTATTTCAGGGAAAACGTGCTTTTTGACATGTGATAGTATTCAGTAATTATTAATACAACATGGACAACTAGCTTTGCAAACAAATTCCATTTAGAAAGTGCATATCAATGGTAATATCACTAGACAATAAACTAGATCTGTAACATTTTTATCAACAAACATTTCTGTAACAAGCTCAGCACTTCTGCAACAGCCCTTGTATCATGATTACGATAACAATTTCTATCCAGTAAAATAAGAACTTTTTTATTTTAAATTTTCTGGAATTTAGATTTGCCTGTTTATTTATAGATGGATAGTAGCCAGAGTGATACAGGAACACATTTTCACATGATTATTTATTTAATTCAATAAAAGTTGTAAAATAATGTATGTAGTTACATTATTTTCATGATAACAATACTATTCTTTATCACATTTAGAACATGCTGGATGACTGGAAACCACCAGAGACACCCCAGATCCCTGCAAGGTCAGACTTCTACTATACACCTAGAATACTATTGTGATTGTGTTGAAATCTATATGGTCGGGATCTCTGTTAGTATGGACATTATCAGTCCACACTTCATATAAAATATTGTTACATCTGACAGATAAAACTGATGATACAATTTACATATGTCATAGAAATAACTCCACTGGGCTAATTGTTGTTACTCACAATACAAAATCAAACTTCTTGTTGTAAAATTTGAACCTGTTTTAGTGCATAGATTTAGGATTTTGTAAATACTTATAATAGTTATCATTTTAGTAAATTTAGTCATCTAAAAATTTCTTCATATTGTTTCAATTTGGTGAAAGAACTATTGATTCAGAGTAGTTTGTTAACTTGAAACATTCAAATATCATTGCTACCATCAGCCACGCTGTCCTAGGAAAACCTCCATCAGGAAAACTGCCACCTTCTGACCACATCCCATACTTAGACCTGGGAGACAAGCCCCACCCTCCAGGACAGCCAAGGAAGGCGTGGCGAGGAATGGACTCGCCCCTGTCTGATTTACAAACCTCTCAGCGCCATCCTCGACCTCCTTCCTCTCTAGCCAGTGGTACAATCACTGGAATGGACAGTCATCGCTCAGTGTTGTCCAAGAAAGAGGAGAAAATCACACAGGAGTGGTAAGTGTTTCTGTTAGTGGAGGAGAAAAGGTCATCATCTTTCTGATTCACACAGTATATTGTGATGTTTCTTCAATACCAAAGGGTTTAAAAAATAAAAACTCTGATTTTGTTATCGAGACACAAATTATTGTTGATCTAGATAATAAGAAAAAAAATTGTTTTGCAAAAGGAAAGATGTTATCACATTAGATGATTTAACGTTTGTGATGCTCGGAGTATCAGAACTTTGTAACAAGTTTACTTTTTACATATGTATTTATGATTTTACAGGGGTTTCAAAGATAACCAAACAGCCATTTTGATGATGCAAAGAGCCAAGAAAATGAAGTATAATGCAGAACGGAGAAAAAAGTTGGGCAAATTAGGTATGATCATTTAAAGCTAGGTAAATTGGGTATGATCGTGTAAATCACGACAAACAAGGTATGATCGTTTAAAGCTGGGTAAATTAATTATAACAGTTTTTAAGCTGGGTAAATTAGGTATGACCGTTTAAAACAAGGCAAACAAGGTATGATCATATAAAGCTAGGCAAATTAATTATAACAGTTTTTAAGCTGGGTAAATTAGGTATGACCGTTTAAAGCAAGGCAAACAAGGTATGATCATATAAAGCTAGGCAAATTAATTATAATAGTTTTTAAGCTGGGTATATTACGTATGACCGTTTAAAGCAAGGCAAGTAAGGTATGATCATATAAAGCTAGGCAAATTAATTATAATAGTTTTTAAGCTGGGTATATTACGTATGATAGTTTTAAAGCTGGGCTAACAAGGTATGATCGTTTTAAAGCTGGGTATATATTAGGTATGATGGTTAAAAACTGGACAAATTAGGTATGGTAGTTTTAAAGCTTGGAAAATTAGGCATGGCATTTTAAAAGCTGGTCAAATGAGGAACAAAGAATTAAAAGCTGGACAAATTAGTTAGATAGTTTAAAGCTAAGCAAATTAGGTATGATTGTTTATAGCTTGGCAAATTAGTTAGATAGTTTAAAGCTAAAGCTAAGCAAATTAGGTCGGATAATTTAAACCTTGGAAAGAGTAAGTATGACAATTTTATATATGGGAGGATCAGGAATGGCAGTTTAATAGCTGGGCAAATCAGGAATTGCAGTTAAAAAGCTTGGCCAACTAGGTATATGGAAATTAGGTATGACAGTTTTAAAGCTAGGCAAATAAAACATGTTGGTTAAAAACTGGGCAAATTAGGTTAGGTTTTAAAGCATTGCAAATCAGGATTTAGACTCCAATTAAGTCCAAGGTACCAAATTAAGAGCCTTGTATGAGAAATTATATAAATAATCCCTAGATGGCATACTCTTGTGGTTTACTGGTAGTAGATATATACATTTGTAAGCTGATAGTCATTTCTCATTCCTCCTTAGATCCCAAACAGAGGCTGGCACTGTTCAGGAAGTTAGAGGAAACGACTAATATTAGGACGGTTGTCCAACCATCCAGGAAAACCCTGCCACGTAAAGAATACTTCCAAGGTGAGTAAAATAAAATTTTAAAAAAAGGAGTCCTTTTGTGTACTTATTACATAACTTTTACCTAACTGAGTGTACTAACACCCATTACATATATATGGCCCAGTACAGCTGTGATTGATTTGAAGATCCCATTGTTTCGTGACATTATCACTTCATAACATCCCTAAAGAAACAAACATTAAAACTATTGTGCCGTTAGATTGTCTGATCAAATGTAGTTTTTAGGAATTTTTGTTTCAGTAGTTGATTGGTTAAGTGATAAACAGACTCTTACATGAGTTTCCATTTCATATGAAATTTAATAATGAAACTTATCCCAAATTTTTCATAAATCTGACAGAAAATAGATAATCATGTAAAACCATACGTATGAGTGCAAAATGAGCTTGCACATTTAAGATACTATGTAACATTTAAAATTTCATACTTGTACCAATTGTGTATTAAAGAATTTTCTTGTAAAATTATACCCTCCCTTATCTAATACATTTCAGTATGTCCTGTAATAAGCCCACCCATATCTATAGCTGTATTTCTTGTCCTGTAATAAGCCCACCCATATCTATAGCTGTATGTCTTGTCCTGTAATAAGCCCACCCATATCTATAGCTGTATTTCTTGTCCTGTAATAAGCCCACCCATATCTATAGCTGTATTTCTTGTCCTGTAATAAGCCCACCCATATCTATAGCTGTATTTATTGTCCTGTGATAAGCACACCTATATTATAGGTGTTCAGTAGCTTTTCCAACAAGAACTATTTCATTGTCCTGTTATAAGCCCAACGATATCTATAGAAGTTAAGTAACTTTACCTATACAAACTCTTCCATTGTCAAGTAATAAGCCCACTCATATATAGCTGTATTTCATTGTCCTGTTATAAGCCCACCCACATCTATTGCTGTTCATTAGCTTTACCAACAAATACTTTTTCATTTGCCTTGTAATAAGCCCATCCCTGACTTTGAGTCAGAAGCAATGTGTAGTCCTCCCTTAAGATTCTATAATAGTGTCCACCCCTTCATTGATGTGTTGACACTGTGGGGTTATTGAAGTCTATATATGGTACATAAGTCAAAAACATTGTGGTATGATGTTCCTGGTATCTGCAGCACGTCAGCAGGAAATTGAAAGGAAGGACTTGGACAAGAGAGTAGAGAATCACAACCGTACCAAGCGTACATTTGAATGGATACACACGCAGGTTGGGGATTATGAGGTGTCGGACTCTCGTATTAACCCTACACAGCCACACAAGTAAGTTTGGAGTGGGTGGACTATGTACTTCAATCAATTAATATTTCACTTGACATGCTTGTTACGTATCATGTATAAACCAGTGTGTGTGTGAGGTAATTCATGTCTATTCAGATGATGATGAAGAGAATACAAGATTATTATGTGATACAAGAAACGTAAAAAGTCATGTTAGCTATAATTATCAGGATATATATAACCAGCAAAATTTCACAAAATTTCCTTGAAGTGAAAATAAATTGAAAACTGTAAAATAATTAAAAAAGAAAAATAAAAGATTAATAAGGTCGTTAGGTGAGGATTTTCCTAGGTTTATTTATGAAAACATTAAAGTTAAATACAGTGAAGGAGTTAATTGAACTCTTGGGGATGAAGTGAGCTTTGTTCAGTGTCAGACTTTCTGTTTCTGTTGGAGTCTGAAGAAGAAATTTTATATAGTATTTGACCTTTTGTTTCAGTGAAAGTTTGCGAAAGATCTATGGCAGTGAAGGAAACCTACCTAAAATGACTGCTGAGGTTACATCTGGACGCCCTGTCAGGCTCATGGTCAGTCTATGGGTAGTTTATAAAGAGCGTTATTGTCTTCAATACAAGTGCTTGTAACCATATCAATTAATTTTCATTAATCGTCTCTGGAATCTTGTGATACCTACAGCAATCAAACCCAGAACATAGCTAGCATTACATGGTCCATGTTGACACTTCAAATGACACATCATTATTTGGTATTACTGTAAATTAACTAGGGTATTCTTTCAAAGCCACTAACTCCTACAATTTCCATATTGCCACAAGTTTGACATAACAAACCTTTGTTAAACACTATTTAAGTGGATTTCATATTTAATTGCTGTCAAGTAAATAGTTATACCCAACAAATACAAAATACAAGATTATCCCTGTGTTTACAGTGATTAATTTTCACAATCTCTTTCCATCGTAAAATTCACAGAAGTACGGTAAATGAAACACAATAGAAAATTATTTTACAGTACTCTAATACAATATTTATATTTCATAGAGTCCTGGGCTGGATATTCAATCAGTAGACAGTGTTAGCAACCACGGTGATCCAGTCCGAAACCCCCGACGATTCTCTGCAGGATCTGATGCCAGTAAGTGACTTGTCCTCTCCAACGTTAGCTGTGGTCCTCTTGTCTAATTTAGTCCTAGGCTTCAGCTTAAAAGTCAAATGTGTATTCAAAGCAAAGAGAGTTCTTTAGAATGTTTGCCTTTCAGAATAAAAAAGCAGCATTGCTGCAAGGTTACAAGTAACACAGCTATATGTCATATTTATTGCCAAGAAATTTATTTAATGACAATATGGATTTCAGGTTCTACCAGATTACCACCCATCAAGACAGGCTCTGCTCCGTCTGTTAGAGGGAAAGAGAAGATGTCATGGCGTAGAAAGGAGGTCAATAAAAGTATTGGATGGGGAGGTGGCAAAAAACGTAGCCACGTAAATTGATAGTTCTCTGGGGCTTAATATTAGGACAGGTTGACACTGGCATGTTTACACTTATAGTTTTTTTATCTGTGTAAAGTTTCCTCTACAGAACAATACATAAAGAATATGCCTAATTGTAATACACTTATGACCATGACATGGCACATGGCTTTCAGCAAATCCCTAAAGGGCATGGTTAAACTTCCCTAATGGGCTTATAGCTTGCTTTTCAAGAAAATGTAAATTGGACTTTCAAAATGAGTCCAATTTTGACTGTTAAAAATTCAGTTACAGTAAAGATGAGAGAATTATTGCATGTGTTTGCTTCAGTACAATTTATGCTTAGTATATATTTGTAATATAGGAATTGTTCCCAGCTTTGCTATCAGTAGGTGTGTATAGTTAAAAACATCTGATGTATTGCATTATAGATCTGTGACCCAGTACACTATACCTATGCCATGCACAGCCAATTATGTGAATTATATCTGATATATACTGCACGATGTGTTTCATCTACAACAAATCAAACTAATATTTCATACACAATGTTGTAAATTACTTCTCTTTATTACAAGGTGATGTTATGTTTTACCTTAAGGGTGTATGCTATAAGTCATTGCTAGATCAATTTCCTTTCTATAGATTTCTGCAAGTGTATGTAAACGTCTTAAACGACATGTGGTTTGGAATACCTAATGGGATATATAACTGAAGGTACGGAATAGTTATCTAAACTAAGGGAGATAACTCTTGTAAAACACGTAACAGACTAACTCACAGCCTTCCTAGTCTTCCATATCTTCAAAGGACATGAATAAGACTTAAATAAGGAGGAATTTTTTTTGTCACAAACTAGCAATTTTGGTGACGTTCTGTATCGAAGACATTAAAAATAATCAATTTCAGACCTAAATTTAGTTTTTCTGAACTTTGCATAATTAAATCTTATCAGATGTAGAAAAAAATAATTTATCAAAAGCTAGAACTATCATGGATGATTAAATGGTGTACCTTATATTTGTCATTACATTTTGTAGAAAATGTGTTTGTTTGTAAGAATCTTAATTATAAAAACATGTTTGACTTACATATGCCATAATAACGGTTGTTCCAGTTCCTCGATGTTTGAATTGCTATGCTTTTTTACTATATTTCTATTTGCATAATCTTGTTTCAATATCTTAACCTTGGATCTGTATTTAAAAGAAATCGTGAATATGTTTTACGATGGTAGTGGAAAGTAGATGTTACATTTCTGTTGGTATAGTGGTGAATTCAGTATTAGGAGTACAGAGTTCAGAAATATTGTCAAAATGATTTGTTTTTGTGTATAAGGAATTATTGCTAAAAAATATGTTATTTATTCATTTATCACCAAATGTGTTTATTCAGCATTTCACAAATGTGTTAGGTAATACAAAACTGCTTAGTGAACTTTCGTTTGAGTGTTTTATTATGTCCCTCAAAGGAAGTGGTGGACTCACTGGTTTTACCCTGTTTCTTATCATTATTATGATAAGCTAAACAGTATTAAGTAGTTATGTATCACTTTACTATATAGAAAATTATCTCATTGATAAAAGTGTTATTTTTCACTTCGTGAAAATTTTCACTGCTGAAAAATTTCACTGGTGAAAAATAACATTTTGCAAACTTACACCAATGAAAAGAGAGCACACAAATTATCTGATAAAATTGACAAATCATAAAGCCTGGAACAAAAAACACAAAACCAGAAACCTGAAGGGGTTGTTTACTTGTGACATAACCTTCAATTCCATGGTAAACATTCATTTCCATGAAAGTCAGCAAACAATGCAACACAAATTACCTTATCAGAGATCATACCCAATCCTCAACCGAACGTCTTGAATGTGGAGCTAACATGTTAGACATTTCAAGGGGATTCATGTCATTAACAGCGACAACTGTCGGTCGCATAGTAACTTGTCACAGGATAAACTCTCTTCAAACATTTTACAACAAATTTTGTCGCTAAGTAACATGAACAAGTAGTATTTTCTATGTAATGAAAGATCAAAGATTTAAAACAGAAACATACTTATTACCTATGAGCTGTTTATGTTTGTATTTCCAAAATATCAATTTTTGTAATTAATCAAGTGGAAATATGTTCACAACTACCATGATCTGTCTTACCACGTTGATGTTCTGGGATGGCAAAATTTAGGGTGGGTTAGCACTAGGGGTTCACATCACCATGGCCATGATAAAGTGAAGCCCCCTACCTAAATCTGAGGAACATAATTAAGTAAATTGATGAATTTTACCGTAATGGTGAAATGAACTGTGGTTCACTTTACCATGGGTTTCACTTTATCATACTACACTGGTCTTTCCTGTTGTAGTTTTGACCTTGCATAAAATACTATATCCCATTTGTTCTGGATGGATACTATGGACCTCCTGTATGTTGTTCAGTGAGGCAGCCACCAGCTACTACAAATGGACCTTGCCTAAAAATGATTTTATGCTGTAGACAGTGATAAAGCCAGCAAACAGAGACTCTTATTGTAACCACCAACCTTTTCAGCATTATGTTGAAACTAAGTTGGATGTTTGTATTTTAGAAGTACAGAGCGAATGCTGAGAAACACAGAACAAGACTGATTATTGTTTGATCTTAAGGAAATATCCCCTGAAGAACTAGTAAGTTTCCTCATGTGTAAATGCCTAAAAGACTTCAGGAAGAATTACCATAAAGAGACAAAGACACATCTGGATATAAATATGTTAAACTCTAAACAGAGGAGCGTGTCATGAAGGTAGATTACCAGGCAGTCTCATTTCCACTAGCTACAGGCAGATGCAGGATATTCTGTTTAGAAACCTTACTTCAGCCAGGAGTCCTTCTATTCTCTTTGATAAGAATCACAGATTATTCATACACATAGATCAATCATTCCTTTTTGATTGGCAGTTCAGAATCAAATTCTGGATTTGTATGATTTGTCATTCCAGCTGCCACATGAATTTGACTATCCTGCTCAGATGACCCTTGGTTTGAGGGTAGTACTGTCGAGTGAGTTTTTTCCTTCTTCTTGACCCAACAGAGAATCTCAGCTATGAGAATAAATATCAGTAATAGAGCTAGGTAGCTGTACCAGAGTGACCAAATCTCAGTCTTTGCTATTGCGAAAAACAATCCCAGACTAATGTTCACCACAGCCAACACAATTGCTATGTAACCACTGAAGTGATGGAGGATTTCCCAAATCTTACGACGTAAAGTTTTGATCTCTCCTTTCTCTGGTCTCTTGCCGCGACTGAAAGAAATTTGAAATATTTACTCATAATCAATATTCATTGGGGTTTTATTTTCGGTTACAGTAAAAACCCATGTAATGTATGCAGTTTTTTTTATTAAATAAATGTCCAAAGTTGGAGGTACGCACATTACGTAGCTATAGGATTTTCAAGGCTTTTTTTTCATAAATAAATGTCCAAAGTTGGGGGTACGCACATTACGTAGCTATAGGATTTTCAAGGCTTTTTTTTCATGGAAAAATTGGAGATTCTGTGGGACCACCATCATTGTTTATCAGGATTATCTGGCACTTAAAACCCCCCAAAAGAGGATTTGACAATTTCTTTATGAACAAATATAATAAACAAGATAATTACTGTATATATTAATGCAAACTATCAGAGTGAGTATCATACAAAACCTGGACGAAGTGTTTAAAAATGTGATAGCAACTAGACAGACAGAAAACTAACAATCAGCAAAGACAGTGGTCTGTTTGGGACAAATCAGTTGGTATTTCATGGGTACTCTCAATCCTCCAATCCATATATAACACCAGGAAATGTTGAAATTTGTGTTCATAGATTTGAGATATATTTATCCTTGAAATCAAGTATTCACAAAACAGTAAGTCAGATTAAAAAAATACAAAAAATTTAACCCCATGAAAATGTGTGATTGTACAGTATTTGTCATTGTGGTTATGTTTTATCTCTTTCATAAGGCAATTTTTTAACGAAAAAGGAACCTATCAGCTCAAATGTTTTTGTAGTCTTATATCTGGAGTGTCATTGTCTCAGTATTTAATCAGTTTACAGAAATCACAATTACCTAATCATGTAATGTGGAAGAATTTGCAAACAGGAAACTTAAAAAAATGAGGGTAGAAAATGAGAAATGAAACCTTATGAGCATAAAAATATAGTGTAAATAGAACCAATCTGATACTTACAAACATGCATTGACTGGCTGTAGAAAGCCGAGCAGCATCACCAACAAACCTATAGCTCCATGGGCAAACATAAAATGTTTAGACTGAACTGAGATGACGGCAAACACAACACCAACTGTAGCCAGCAGAAGTCCTGACACCTGTCGGGTACAACACAGGTAGTGAGAAATCTGTGTAGATAGTGTTGTATGGGACATAGATTTACATAATTTTCCCTAAAGAGCTGAAGCACACTCCCTCACCTTGGGACACTGGTGTACATCTCTTCTCCTTGCCAAGAGTACTTCAGCACACTTCCTCACTATGGGCCATTGATTCACATCCCTTCCCCTAGAGTACTTCAGTACACTCCCCCCACCATGGGCCAATGATTCACATCCCTTCCCCTAGGGTACTTCAGTACACTTCCACACCATGGGCCAATGATTCACATCCCTTCCCCTAGAGTACTTCAGTACACTTCCCCACCATGGGCCAATGATTAAAATCCCTTCCCCTAGGGTACTTCAGTACACTTCCCCACCATGGGCCAATGATTCACATCCCTTCCCCTAGAGTACTTCAGTACACTCCCCCCACCATGGGCCAATGATTCACATCCCTTCCCCTAGGGTACTTCAGTACACTTCCCCACCATGGGCCAATGATTCACATCCCTTCCCATAGGGTACTTCAGTACACTTCCCCACCATGGGCCATTGATTCAAATCCCTTCCCCTAGGGTACTTCAGTACACTTCCCCACCATGGGCCAATGATTCACATCCCTTCCCCTAGAGTACTTCAGTACACTTCCCCACCATGGGCCAATGATTCACATCCCTTCCCCTAGAGTACTTCAGTACACTCCCCTATCATGGGCCATTGATTCACACTCCATCCCAGGCTGTCGCCCTGAGAATACACACTCCTCCCAATGGGATATCCATCCCTACTAATTAAAGCAGTCTCTGTCACCCTGAGAATACACACTCCTCCCACTGGGATATCCATCCCTACTAATTAAAGCAGTCTCTGTCACCCTGAGAATACACACTCCTTCAATGGGATATCCATCCCTACTAATTAAAGCAGTATCTGTCACCCTGAGAATACACACTCCTTCAATGGGATATACAAGTTCTGTTATTTTTTGTTATATAAATCATTGAAAACTTTTCATAATGAGATTGATCAAGAAGATATCTAATTGGATGATAGTAGTATATAAGAGATGTAAAAACAATGACTATCTTTTAGAGTAGTCTGAAGGTTTCCTTTTGTCAACCAAGACAAAAAGTTTTATCACAGACAGTCAGAACCCTTTGGACTACCTGAAAAGATGTAGCAAGAATATTCTTATAGTTACCTGAAATGACACATGGAAAATAAACCAAACTTTGCCTTTGCCGTTGAAATATCGAGCGATGATGGCCCCCCAGATGAGAAGGCAGCCCCAGCCCAACATCATGAAGATACCATGTAGAAGGATCCAGTTGGCAAAGTTCTTGGCACAAGGTAGCACTTCAGCCGTCTCTGTGTCCACAGCCGTGCCACTCAGCAACCAGAGGTCATTAGTAACATCACCACTGAAACAGGTGTCTGATATTGAGGTCATTAGTAACATCACCACTGTAACAGGTGTCTGATATTGAGGTCATTAGTAACATCACCTCTGTAACAGGTTCCTGATATTGAGGTCATTAGTAACATCACCTCTGTAACAGGTTCCTGATATTGAGGCTGTTAGTAACATCACCTCTGTAACAGGTTCCTGATATTGAGGCTGTTAGTAACATCACCTCTGTAACAGGTTCCTGATATTGAGGTCATTAGTAACATCACCTCTGTAACAGGTTACTGATATTGAGGTCATTAGTAACATCACCACTGAAACAGGTGTCTGATATTGAGGTCATCAGTAACATCACCACTGAAACAGGTGTCTGATATTGAGGTCGTTAGTAACATCACCTCTGTAACAGGTTCCTGATATTGAGGTCATTAGTAACATCACCTCTGTAACAGGTTACTAACATCACCTCTGTAACAGGTTACTGATATTGAGGTCATTAGTAACATCACCTCTGTAACAGGTTCCTGATATTGAGGCTGTTAGTAACATCACCTCTGTAACAGGTTACTGATATTGAGGTCGTTAGTAACATCACCTCTGTAACAGGTGTCTGATATTGTGGTCATTAGTAACATCACCTCTGTAACAGGTTACTGATATTGAGGTCATTAGTAACATCACCTCTGTAACAGGTGTCTGATATTGAGGTCATTAGTAACATCACCTCTGCAACAGGTGTCTGATATTGAGGTCGTTAGTAACATCACCTCTGTAACTAGTTCCTGATATTACATTAAACCTCTCTTCTGTAGATAATGTTTGTATTCAACCTAATATCAGAGGACCAAGAAGTTTGTTTCAAAGAGAAGAAAGGGGGCCTATTTAAGGATGCCAAAGTTTTTATGTACATTTTTACTTAGTCCGTTAACTGTGATTTGGCTTATTACCTACCGATCTGTAAAAAATACTCGAAATGGTTTATTTGTTGTAGTATTTGACAGACATTTGATATGGATTTTGGGTTTTTTTTTTTAAAAAAACGAAATGCCTAACACTTACAAATTACATTGTATATACATATCTCAGGTGGCTGCAGATGTGAGAGGTTTTAAATCCTTAATGCCAAACTTCAAGGTAGATTCTCCTTTACAAACAAAATGACAACCCCAATATGATTCCCTTCACTTATAAAACAAATGTTTCAGAAAGATATCCATCAAATTTTTACATCAAATAAATTCACACAAAGCACCATAGAAAACAATCTTACGATTCTAGTAGAACCCCTCCGAACATGTAAACACCAGTGGATGCTGTTGCCATGGAAGCAGATGCTCTCCATGCTGGAGGAGATGTCTGAAACAAGATGTAAACTGAGGGGGATAGGATTTATCTATCTAAACAACAATGAATAAGATAAAACAAGCACACATGCTGTAGGCTGACCAGAAATTTTTAAAAAATTAGTTCTCTCTCCAAACAAGAAAAAAAACAAATATAAAGGCATAAAACTAGATCTCAGTTTAATAACAACATGGTTTTTGTGTCGAGTTCATTATTAGTATATGGATGTCATTACACCCTTCAGATCTAGGTAAAGTTTTATCATCCTGTAATTAGCCAACCCCTTACATTCAACCATGGTTTTTGTGAAGGTGCCCAAAGCCTTATATTACAGGATTACTATAAAATGTTTCAATGTCTAAAAAAGTTAAGTTTTCAAATCTGTACAAAACCAGGACAAATACACTGTATTTAGTGGTTTCTACCATACCAGAAAACACATGAAAATTTAAACATACAAACCTGGTACTTGGTTTTTTGACGACACCATACCAGATTGTCTGGGTCTAAAACAAACACTTCATCAACTGCAGAAAGTGTTGTCTGAAAAAAAGGTCAACAGCTAATATTCTACCTTAAAACCTTTGGAATTAATGTTGTGACATATTTCTGAAATATTACAAGGTGGGGACAAGACCCATGTTGACACAATTTCAGGTGAAGATCCAAGGGGTGTCACATAGGTTTCACAATCCCCACTTGGTTTGTATTTCAGAGGAAGTTATGAAATGGATGGGTCTGTGCTGCCATAGCTTTGTCCTTGGGCAAGACACTTTACCCCTAATGCTTCAGCAGTGAGGTAGACACCAGCTACTACAAAGAAACCTCGCCATAACATGATCCTAGCTGAAATAATCCTCCTTCATCAACCATAAAATCAGTGTTTGTTCTTTCATGTCATTACAATAAAATTCAGTCCAGTAATTTTTGTGCAATTTTATCCTAGTGATTTCAGAACACTATTTCCATTTTTCCATGAGTCCAGTGACAAAGATATTTAGTGGGTTCTTAAAATTAAGATGAGTTTCACAGGAAAAGTCCAGGACATTTTTATTTCATGCATCATTACATCAACAAGCATTCTACGGACTCTAGTTGAAAATGACCACTGCATTTAGAAATAGTAATGTCTTCTAGCAAAACCTCAGTGTCCCAGTTTTCTTCTCATCTGGGAAAAGCTAAGGTCCTTGTGTAAGGTATACCTGCCCTCACCTAAGAACATCTCTAATGTTATTTCAATCCAACTGGGCACTTACAGATGAGTGGCCATTTCATGCAAAACCAAAATTTCCCTCATTTTTACCCCAGTTCCCTGCCAACCAGGATATATCAACTTATTTATATACACTTTGCCCTCCCCTAAAGATGATTCACACTAAATATAGTTTCCTGAGGAGAAGTGACCTTTTCAAATAAAACCCTCTTGTGGATCCCACCTATCCCCATCTAGAAGAGGCAAACAACTGATTTCAAAACCAAATTTGTTTAAAAAAAAAGTGACCTTGGTATCAAGGAAGATTAGCGTTTTAAAGAAAAAGTTGAAGGACAGACAACAGGTAATACAAATTTTGTCCTTATGGGTTGATAAACCCAGTAACAAACGGCAACACACTGTCAATAACATTGTTGTTTGTACAATGGTAACAATCTGTCACTGACCTTAATGACCTGACTGTGCTCCTCTTTTCCACCATAAAGGACAAGTCTACGCTTTCCTCCAACGCTAGGAACCATGGCCATTGTTCCATAAATCCTGTAACAACAATAATGATAACTCAAAAAAAAAACACTCTAAATATTCAAACTAGCGTAGTACCCTTTGCTATCTGATTTCAAAATAAATTGAAGCTTGGTATTGAATTTAGTTCCCTTCTCTATATTTAATTACCTCTGAGACACACACTAGGGTACATTTAATAATGTGCATGTCAGACAATGATCTGGTTCTTGCTAAATGTACTATCAAGTATAATTCTTACAATTTCTCTGAAATTTTGAAATCAAAAGTTACTTTATATCAGAAACATAAATTTGCACACAAAATGAAACACTTAAACACAATTCTACAAACAAAACTGTCTAGTTATCGAGCACTATGAGACTGACCTTGGGGAAGGGCAGCCATCTATCTGTTTCCAAGTTTTAGTTTGACTATTGTAGATCCAGGAATCTCCCGAGGGACAGGGGCCACCTGTTAACCCTCCACTGAAACAAACAATGTTCTGTAAATAAGGTTCTTCATTCCTTTCCAATGGGGCTTGTGTTCCTCAGGAAACTGAGAAATTGACCGGTCTGTGTTGACCTGGTTGTGTCCTTGGACAAAACGCCTACCCTAATTGCTCTGGACGGCACACCACAGGCACCTCATGTGTACTGTGAGGTAGACGCCAATTACTACAAGGAAACCCTGCCTCAAAATGATTGTTAGTGTCCATGGGTTGATAAACCCAGCAACAATCAGCACCAAACTGTTAATAACATCATGGTTTGTACAACAGTATACATACATACTTGTTGCATGGAATTGAAAAAAATATCCACATCTTTAGGCCAGACACAACAGGCTTTATATCATTTGTGTTAAATCATTCAAAGTTGGCCTTTTTATTATGTATTTGTTAGTTCTGCTGGGTCCAATCAACAGCCAGGGTACTGGTATTGGCTGGAGACTACCACACTGAACAATGTGTGGGAGGACCACTGTATGCCATCCAAAACAATTGGGGTAAAGTGTTCTTAATAATGATGCAGTGTATTCATTCTTAGGTTCCATTTGGTTTCAGTTCCCTGAATCACAGCTGTACAAAATGGGAAATATTTGATAATCAAACAACAATATGAGAGTACAAGGCCCCCATAATCCAAATTCTTATGATAAACATATATTTTGATCTTAATTCTACATATTACTGTGTCACTTAGTTGTATGAAACTTACATTGATACTATAATATATATGTATTTGAACAGCTCACCTCAAACATCCTCCAAAGATGACGAGTTGGTGAGGGGCAGCCATTGCTCCAGCATGCAGACACCTGGCATGGGGGTAGCTGGGATTGTAAGGGTTACATGTGTACCCAGCACAATATTCTGTGGATATTGTCAAGATATAAATATAGAGACAAAACATATATCATCTTCTAGCCTAAGCCAATCAGAGGTAGAGAAAAATAGATATTGACAATCAAATCTAACCAATTAAATGTAGAGGCACAACAGATTTTGTCTATAGAACCTAACCAATCAGATGTAGAGACACAATAGATCTTCTCTAGAGAACTTAACCAATCAAATTTAGCGACACAATAGATCTCGTCTAGAGAACCTAACCTATCAAATGTAGAGATACAATAGATTTTGCCAACAGAACCTACCCAATCAAATGTAAAGACACAACAGATTTTGTCTATAGAATCTGACCAATCAAATGTAGAGATACAATAGATTTCATCTAAAGAACCTAACCAATCAAATGTTCTTGTTCACTTACTGGGTTTACCAATTTATCAACAGCCAGGGTAGTGCTGGCTATCTCAATGAGCGAAACACAAGTGTCCCTTCACAAGTCATCTTAAGCATTTGTAATAAAGTGTACACTATAAACATACACATCTACCATTACACATCTATTGATATCATTAAACACAGTGTATGTTACCTGTGTATATCATCAGACACATGCGATTATCAGTACACATCTATTGATATCATTAAACACAGTGTATGCTACCTGTGTATATCATCAGACACATGTGCTTACCATAACACATCTATTGATATCATTAAACACAGTGTATGTTACCTGTGTATATCATCAGACACATGCGATTATCAGTACACATCTATTGATATCATTAAACACAGTGTATGCTACCTGTGTATATCATCAGACACATGTGCTTACCATAACACATCTATTGATATCATTAAACACAGTGTATGTTACCAGTGTATATCATCAGACACATGCGATTATCAGTACACATCTATTGATACCATTAAACACAGTGTATGTTACCTGTGTATATCACCAGACACATGTGCTTACCATAACACATCTATTGATATCATTAAACACAGTGTATGTTACCTGTGTATATCACCAGACGCATGCGATTATCAGTACACATCTATTGATACCATTAAACACAGTGTATGCTACCTGTGTATATCATCAGACACATGTGCTTACCATAACACATCTATTGATATCATTAAACACAGTGTATGTTACCTGTGTATATCACCAGACGCATGCGATTATCATAACACATCTATTGATACCATTAAACACAGTGTATGCTACCTGTGTATATCACCAGACACATGTGCTTACCATAACACATCTATTGATATCATTAAACACAGTGTATGCTACCTGTGTATATCACCAGACACATGTGCTTACCATAACACATCTATTGATACCATTAAACACAGTGTATGTTACCTGTGTATATCACCAGACGCATGCGATTATCATAACACATCTATTGATACCATTAAACACAGTGTATGCTACCTGTGTATATCACCAGACACATGCGCTTACCATAACACATCTATTGATATCATTAAACACAGTGTATGCTACCTGTGTATATCACCAGACACATGTGCTTACCATAACACATCTATTGATACCATTAAACACAGTGTATGTTACCTGTGTATATCACCAGACACATGTGCTTACCATAACACATCTATTGATACCATTAAACACAGTGTATGTTACCTGTGTATATCACCAGACACATGTGCTTACCATAACACATCTATTGATACCATTAAACACAGTGTATGTTACCTGTGTATATCACCAGACACATGTACTTACCATAACACATCTATTGATATCATTAAACACAGTGTATGTTACCTGTGTATATCACCAGACACATGTGCTTACCATAACACATCTATTGATATCATTAAACACAGTGTATGTTACCTATGTATATCACCAGACACATGTGCTTACCATAACACATCTATTTACATATGTATATCATTAAACAAATGTGTATATGATTACCAATCTTAACATTACACAACAGATGTTCTATCCCGACACTTCAACAAAACTTAGTGACTCAAAGTCTTACACAGATCAAATGTTTACTTAGTGTTAAATGTATTTTACCTTCAGACCAGCCTTGACTGCTGACACTGTAGGAATAAGTGTCAAAGTATCGACGAGAGGAGAAACCCTGGCTTACAAACAGAGTGAATCCCTGTGAGTGAATGCCCCCTGTTGCACCATAACGTGCCTCTGGCCTGGTGGACAACAATCTCTGACATTATATTTATTGATCCTAATAACTACCTATCAATTTTTAAAATTTTAATTTCTATATCAACACTATTTTCACTATAATTGTAAATGAATTTAATTTATTTTTCTTTTAAACAATTTTTCTTCGAGATTTGTATCAGCTGTAGCAATGTGAATTTAATAACCTGTATCTCAAATACTGAAACCCAGTTTACATATGATATTGAATAAACTCATAAACAATAACATAGGTTATGTTTAAAGTGATATTCCTGCCTTCGTATTTGATAGTTTTTCTTAAGTTATGCATGATTTATTACTATCCTGATTCCCCTGAACAACTTGTCATCTCTTGAAGCTAATACCGAGGTATTTACATACCTGAGATGATCTGATTGCTGAGCTGACAGTTCCTCCCAAGTCTCTGTTCTGAAACCAACCAAATAGCTGATGAATGCTGACACTATTTCTCATTTGAAGATTTTTCTGATTAATTATACACTATACGTAGTTAAGAAATTAAACTTTAGAAAAAATAACTAATACTACTTCAACTAGATTCCATGTGCTTAGAAACAGAAATTCATCTGTAAAAAAATATTGAAGGGATGTCTTAATTGGGGCATTACCATTTTTATTCTACATTAAGCCCAGGTAGCCAAAAAAACCTATGAGTGATATCATGGACATGAGCTTATTACAAGACAATGATAACTAATTGCTGGAGATTTCTACCCTAAAAATTGGTGGGCTTATTACAAGACAATGATAACTTATGGCCAGATATTTCTACTATAAACTTGGGTGGGCTTATTACAAGACAATGATAACTTATGGCCAGATATTTCTACTATAAACTTGGGTGGGCTTATTACAAGACAATAATAACTTATTGCTGGAGATTTCTACTATAAACTTGTGTGGGCTTATTACAAGACAATGATAACTTATTGCCGGATATTTCTACTATAAACTTGGGTGGGCTTATTACAAGACAATGATCTTATTGCCAGATATTTCTACTACAAACTTGGGTGGGCTTATTACAGGACAATGATAATTTATTGCCCGATAACATATCATAAACCACTAAGTACAAGAGAGATCACAGTCCTTCTACGTACATCAGACTGAAACGCCATATATCATTGTAGAACTGGCGGTTCAAGCCCTCTCCCATCGACACATAGAAATAGTCACCCTGCAGTCCACTCACAAAGCTGAACCGAGCTGCTGGGTGAACGGCGGTACTCACAGATCTCCATGTACCTGTCAGAGTCAAAGTATTTCTACCATTATTTCACACAATAAGTTTAAGAAATATTGAGCTACTATTTTAAGGATAATATCTCATTATTTTTTTCATTTATTATTAAAAAATCAATCAATGTTGCTTGCATAATTCTTTGAAGACATAAAAACATTATTCTATTTGATAATAAGGATTGTCAACAGTAGGAAGACAAATATGGATCTCTAATACTCTCCATTTAAATTTCAGTACTCTCAGTACTTTGATCCATTAAAAGCCTAACAAAGTTATTGTGGCATTCCAACCAAGTACCTTGAAAGTTTAGGTAGATAACAAATAGCTAATAACCTCATTGCGAAAGTTTACAGTCCTAATTAAGAACCTGATAATTATATTCTATAATCTTAATTCTGTACCTGATCACCAAAGTCTACCTCCCTAATTCTGTACCTGATCACCACAGTCTACCTCTCTAATTCTGCACCTGATCACCACAGTCTACCTCTCTAATTCTGCACCTGATCACCACAGTCTACCTCTCTAATTCTGTACCTGATCACCACAGTCTACCTGTCTAATTCTGTACCTGATCACCACAGTCTACCTCTCTAATTCTGTACCTGATCACCACAGTCTACCTCTCTAATTCTGCACCTGATCACCAAAGTCTACCTCTCTAATTCTGCACCTGATCACCAAAGTCTACCTCTCTAATTCTGCACCTGATCACCACAGTCTACCTCTCTAATTCTGTACCTGATCACCACAGTCTACCTCTCTAATTCTGCACCTGATCACCACAGTCTACCTCTCTAATTCTGCACCTGATCACCAAAGTCTACCTCTCTAATTCTGCACCTGATCACCACAGTCTACCTCTCTAATTCTGTACCTGATCACCACAGTCTACCTCTCTAATTCTGCACCTGATCACCACAGTCTACCTCTCTAATTCTGTACCTGATCACCACAGTCTACCTCTCTAATTCTGTACCTGATCACCACAGTCTACCTCTCTAATTCTGTACCTGATCACCACAGTCTACCTCTCTAATTCTGTACCTGATCACCAAAGTCTACCTCTCTAATTCTGCACCTGATCACCACAGTCTACCTCTCTAATTCTGTACCTGATCACAGTCTACCTCTCTAATTCTGTACCTGATCACCACAGTCTACCTCTCTAATTCTGTACCTGATCACCACAGTCTACCTCTCTAATTCTGTACCTGATCACCACAGTCTACATCTCTAATTCTGTACCTGATCACCACAGTCTACCTCTCTAATTCTGTGCCTGATCACCAAAGTCTACCTCTCTAATTCTGTACCTGATCACCACAGTCTACCTGTCTAATTCTGTACCTGATCACCACAGTCTACCTCTCTAATTCTGTACCTGATCACAGTCTACCATACTAATTCTGCACTACTTTCACAGGATATGAGATATGCTTTATAGTTACCAGAACTTATGTTGAATATCCATGTGTCATCAGTAGTCCATGGTCTGCCTCCAAAGAGTATCAGTTGATTGCGTGTTACATCGAACCCAAGACCAGCATCTCTTCGAGGATCTGGGGTCGAACTTGCAGTCGGTACTTCTTGCCACTCTAATTGGCCATCGATACAACTGAACAAGATTGACAGCAGTATGCAGCTAATCAACATACCTAAACCTGTAAGAAACAACACACGCTCACATGTACATGGTGTTTGGGGACATATCTAGATGGTGGGGACGAATCATTATACAGTAGTACTAACATTCTGTTACCAGGACTTATAATTCCTTAAAAAGCAAACATGATGCTAAGGGTTTTCATTTTCTATCTGGTGTTAATACACCTATATCATTCATATCACATTGACAGTTGTACAAACATCACAAATATCACAATGTACCCTTACAGTGTCAAACATCATTTTCTACTTGGTTTTATCATATCACATTGACAGCTGTACCCTTACAGTGTCAAACATCATTGTCTACCTGGTTTTTATTATATCACATTGACAGCTGTACCCTTACAGTGTCAAACATCATTTTCTACCTGGTTTTATTATATCACATTGACAGCTGTACCCTAACAGTGTCAAACATCATTTTCTACCTGGTTTTATTATATCACATTGTGTCAAACATCATTTTCTACCTGGTTTTATTATATCACATTGACAGCTGTACCCTAACAGTGTCAAACATCATTTTCTACCTGGTTTTATTATATCACATTGACAGCTGTACCCTAACAGTGTCATCATTTTCTATGGTTTTATTATATCACATTGACAGCTGTACCCTAACAGTTTTATTATATATCACATTGACAGCTGTACCCTAACAGTGTCAAACATCATTTTCTACCTGGTTTTATTATATCACATTGACAGCTGTACCCTAACAGTGTCAAACATCATTTTCTACCTGGTTTTATTATATCACATTGACAGCTGTACCCTAACAGTGTCAAACATCATTTTCACAGCTGTACCCTAACAGTCTACCTGGTTTTATTATATCACATTGACAGCTGTACCCTAACAGTGTCAAACATCATTTTCTACCTGGTTTTATTATATCACATTGACAGCTGTACCCTAACAGTGTCAAACATCATTTTCTACCTGGTTTTATCATATCACATTGTCAGCTGTACGCTAACAGTGTCAAACATCATTTTCTACCTGGTTTTATCATATCACATTGTCAGCTGTACGCTAACAGTGTCAAACATCATTTTTCATCTTATTTGACAGTGAACACAAAAATAATGCACAATTCCCAACAAAAGGGTTATTTCAACAGAAATTCAAAATATTGACAGTGTTTGAATTCCTTCCGTTGACTCATAATTACATATAAGCACATGTAATGATCCTATAAACATAAGCATAAATGGTCTAAATGAATACTGATGCATTAAACATGGGTCCAGGTATTCATTAGATATATAACACACATTTGGATCTTCCAGAAAGGCCTGATTTTAAAGTTAGATTTCCGAAGATGCTCAGTTCCAAGGAGATCACTGTTCACATTTCAGTTTGAAGACTTGCTTATATTTATTTAGATGATGTCTGCCAAGGTTTATTCAATGAGTGTGTAATAATTCAACAAAAAAATCCCCCAAAAAACACCTACAATACACTGAAATCCAGTGCATTGTTGCTAAGTTGTTTACAAACTGCCATTTTGAAATGTTCCTCAGGACCACATACACCACACTGTATATGTAGAGTTCAATAATATATATTTTATATTCACAACTAGGAAGGAAACAACATGGGAAATTAAATAACACTGTCACCTTCATCATATAAATATTCCTTAAATATATTACGCAGTTAATATACCTGGTGACTATTTTTAGATAACATTTGTATTAATTTGGCAAGTAAATATCTTAATATAATGACATATATCGGACCATTACTTGTTTGTATATGACAGATCAGTCCGTCAGTCATGGTCACGTGATAAGAACCGATATGATGCCAGCTTTAGTAGCCTGTTACACGGCGTATTATATCAGTAAATGACTGGCTTTACCGAGGATTGAAAATTAGTGGCTTAATGATTTAGTAACACATACCTGTAGCAATACTCGTCTGTTCTTACTGTACACCCGAACCGATATCTAATACACACAGGCATTGACAAAACCAGTTCGATCGTATACGGTACCGAAATCAATGAAGCAGAAAGTAAATATACATACAATGGCAGCTGATCATAGGGTCGCTTGCTTGAAGAGCGGTGATCTGTCAATATCATCGTAGAAAAGGGTTATAGGATGAGGGACGAGAGAGGGAAGACGACGATATGGAGAGGGTGGGGAAGGTGAGAAATTGGGAAGAATAATGAAGGGGAGAATGAAGGAAAATATAAGGAATGTCGAGATGAGTTGACGAAGGAGGGAGAGGGATTAGAAGAGACGATCGGGCAATTGTCTGTGAGTTACTATCATTGTGCCACCCGGCCACATTTAATTACCACAAAGTGTAAGAAATCTTCATCCCCTATTGTTTGTATCAAAAATGGTTCTGTTAGCATTAAAATCCAAGGCATAAAAGGAGGTAGATATACAAATATTTAACTAGCCCATGGTATCTGTCCGTATAAATCGACCCCCAAACCATGGCCAAACACTAGACAAAAGACACCTATAGCCGCGTCCTGGATAAATATATCACGGGTATTACGAGTATAAATTGATCGTTGGTGTACGATGATATCTGAAGGTAATAACTAATACACCGAACCACAGTTCTAATTAGCATGGGTTCCGGACATCTGTTAAGGTATTTTCTTCGTCTTCTTCTAATTATACATAATGTCACACCCAAGATACCAGTAGTTGCTGATTGTACTTTACATATTTATAATTTAAAGCGACACACTGGCTTTTTATTCCTTCCTGTTTACGTAAAATATTGACAGGCCGTGGCGGTTGTGTACATAATGCTCCAGGTGACATGTGCGGGGTTTTACCTAGAATCTGATATGGAGTTACGGTTATTTAACATGAATACATGCAATGATGTTATGCCTTTATCACTACATCTATTTTGTACGAACTTGGATGATAGTTTCAAAGTTAAACCCTATATAAACTTTGTTGAGGACGAAATGAGATTCAAATTGATTGAATCTCAGGCGGGCAGTATTTTCTATTGACTGAATCTCGGGCTGGCAGTATTTTCTGTTGACTGAATCTCGGGCTGGCAGTATTTTCTGCTGACTGAATCTCAGGCTGGTATTATTTTCGAAGGGTAAAATTTTCATACGAGTGTTACATGGTATACCCGAGGAACTAGATGTGTCCCTATCTTGTCTGCTTTTTATTTTCACGTGAGATTAAATCTATCGAAAAATCTACCATTACAGATGACTATTTTTAAAAAGCCAACATGTCAACATGTTTGTCATCCAAACTCAATTTCAATAGGGCAAAGTATAATAAAAGGAAATGTCCTGAAAAAGTACAAAGAGAACAAGACCAAATGTTTCCGAAGAGTAAGCACTTTCTGCTTCATCGACGACCGATGTCATATAACTTTTAGTCAACCAACTAAGTAATGCTAGGTGTTAATATGAGAAAAAGGTACCCAATAACTGAACCACCGGACAAACTAACAAGAATAAACACGTCCAGCTTCATATCACACAAAGATATATAATGCTATTTGTGAATAAAACCACTATGACGACTATAAAAGCTTCAGTGTTACGAATTTGTCCGTAAGCTGACGACTTCTTGCACGAAAATAGCGATAATTGGAAACCCTCCTCCCAATCTGATGAACGTGTTCCATCTCTTCGGTTTATGTCCCTTTCCTGCAACAACTTTATACATCTGCTAATTTCGTTCTTTATATGTCCGTTCCCGACATGCTAAATGTTTCATTCTTCTTCTTTCTGTTATATATATGTTTTACGTTTTATTTACACGTCTGGAAAACGATGTTCATCATCTAATTATGCACATTTATACTCAATGGAAAAAGTCCAAAAATCTTAAAAAAAAAAAAACAAACAAACAAAAATGCATACACATTAGCAGTTGCTTCAGTTGCAAGCTAATTTGGCTATGTTTATGAAGGTTTCTACCCTTCTCGTACATCTTGGGGAGTATTTTGTGAGCGACTAGTTCATGACTACTACCACAAGAGATGCCTTAGTAAGATCGAAATATCAACAGTGTTTAAACATCTTTTTATGTTCATGGCCCCAATCCTTTGTGAGCTTTAAGTGAAGAATTTTCAAGATATTTGTGGAAGTTATGAGAGCTAATGAAAACAATCTGGTCATCTGTAAATTTTGTAGAGAGCGCACTGGTAACACACTTGCTTGTTCGGTGTCCAGGTCTATTCACCAGGACAAGTTATTAGATTATCTCATAAACTTTCTGTGCGTTCAAGAATATGTTTCCTTTGACAATTTAGAAGACCATCCAAATCGAGCTTAATTCTCGGTTGCAACAACACTCGATAAAAGAAAGGTGTTTAACTGATGAGAATCATTGTGTATCATGTACATTATATGTTTAGTGAAATGAACAACTTAATGTGGAAAGCAAAAAGAATGTCAATCTCTGTTTGTCGGTCCGACAGTCTGTCTGTCTACTCGTAAGCGTAATCGTAAAAATGTCAAAGGTGAACAGACTCGTGAGGCGGATGTAAGGGGCGGTGCGCGGTTCGACCCCTTATTTTGGGAGATCAGTGTTCTATTTGGGAGTGCGAACACTCAACCATCCACCCACTCCCTAAAAATAAATATCAGTGCCTACTCCAGGTCCCTCCGTTGAAAAAATCAAACTTTCTTTTTTTTACATCCTTAATCATACACGTGAAGTAAACATACATACTCCCCTCGCTTCCGGAACTAATCAGTGATGTAAAAGCAATGTAATAGACACCAAGATCTCAAATACCCGAATAAAAAGCAAAGCTGTTAGTTTCTTAAATCACTAGATAATCGCATAACTTTGAAATGAAGTCGATAAAGCAAGAATGTCGCAAATTTATTTAAAGTAACAGTGACCTCAATTTTGACGCTTGAGCGGCAAACGCGTACAAGAGATTATTCTTGCGAGAAAGTGTATGAAGAAGATAGATGAAGTTGATTGTATGAGGTCGTTAAATATATATTTATAATGATAGCTACCTGTTTATACAAAAGATACACCAGTGAATGACATCTTTTAGAGTTAGATCAATTCGAACAAAACAATGTTTCATACGGCTGTGTCGTCCTTCTAGGACTCGTCAGTGATGCTAAGGGCATAAATTTTGACGCGTAGGAGGCGACTGAGGAAAATCCAAAGCGATAGAAAAAATATAATCTAGATAGGGAGGTGCACGAGCCCCACAATTCAGTCATTTTCGTACTTTCAAATATCAGATGGTTTTAGAACAATGTCAAGTACATGTGCCACTATTCGAATGAACTAAAACCTGGTAAACAGGTTAATGCAAACTTTGGGGACTAAAAGTCAACCAGCAGTGTCAACCACCTGCAATCTCGGAGATAGCACAATACACGCTATGTCTGGAATTTCATGACAATTAGATATTTATAAGTGGATAGGGTGATGACGTCGAATATCTATTTTATAGTAAGATACCTCAGTTTTGACAAAGGGAGGTTGAAATGCCAAATTGTACAGGGAAAGTGATTATCAGTAAGTCTATGAAGTTTCAGAACAATTATAAACAAGTGCGTACAAGATATATATATATATGCGCACATCCCTTTCTTCCCTCGTGGGTTGGGAATGATAACACTATAGCTGTCCTTACTCGAAGGGTTCCGGTTAAGTCAGCTTCACTATAGCTGTCCTTACTCGAAGGGTTCCGGTTAAGTCAGCTTCACTATAGCTGTCCTTACTCGAAGGGTTCCGGTTAAGTCAGCTTCACTATAGCTGTCCTTACTCGAAGGGTTTCGGTTAAGTCAGCTTCACTATAGCTGTCCTTGCTCGAAGGGTTCCGGTTAAGTCAGCTTCACTATAGCTGTCCTTACTCGAAAGATTCTCGAAAGATCTATCCGCGAATACATTATCGAAACTGAAGAAAAAAAGAAGCATTGTATTTTGTATCTTGTATAAGACTCTCATCTATTGGTTTGATTGACTTGTCTCATGTACATATATTTCCGTGATTAAGTAACCAAATAAATCGCACAAAACTAAAAAAAAAAGGTCATAACATATTTTAATACAATACGCATGCTCTTAAAATAAATCTTAATTTAGATTAAATTGCATTACATAAATTCCTTTTCAGGAAGCGGTGAACACAAAGTAATTTCGGTGGCCATATATCTATCGGGATTTAATCGATGCTCACCTTCAGAACTTTGTCTAATGTGAAAAAAATATGTATCACAGCCGTTCCCTGTTGTACACAAACATTCATAATTACACAAAAGCTATCCTCTATTACGTCACAATACACCACATATTTCCTACTTCAGATACGTCATAACTATTCTCCTACAGAACTCTGCTACACAATACACCACAGTTTTTTCCCGTTAGACTTCTAGACTTCTGTGAGATATACATACATTCTACACTACAACTCTCCAATGTCACAACTCCTAAATGCATATATAACGCCATATTGAGTCTTTGACCGACTTCTGTGTGGCACACATACATAAATACGCTATCGCTATTCTCGTGATGGCAGTATTTTTCACATGCTCATAGTCCTTTGTTTCAGACGACTCCCAGTAAGCGCTGATTGCCTGGTGATAGTTTCCGAGAATTTGATGACAGATCCCCACAATAGTGTGTACGATCCAGGATTTTCGTCCTTGTTGGTTACTTTTATACTGAATCTCCACCAAATGTCGCAATGCAGCATCTCGACCTCTAGTGTCTCCAAGCTCATGACGGCACAGAAAGGAGAGGAAAGAGTTGTAGGCATCTGGTGGAATGAGTACGTATTTGCCCCTGTAGGGTATTTCTAGAGAAAGATGAGGAGGGTACAAGTCTTTGTGTTGAAAAACGAGTTCCTCTGTGTATTTCTTTCGCAGTCTGTTGTAGGTATCTCCATTATCAGGTCTCAAATCACTCCGGCTACACACTGAAAGATTATGTACACTCTTGCACATTTCCAAGGCTTTGTTGAAATTCCCAATCAGAAAATAAAACGTTGCCAGGTGCAGCAGATCTGTGCCAAGCAAGGCTCCGTGAGTTATCCAGTGTTGGTGTTTCCTTAAACTCCTATATCTGGTCTTGTTATTTTTGATAGCACCTATGTTATCAGAATAAATCTGCACACACGAAAATCTGTGTAAGCATTTACAAAGATAGTTATATATCACGACTTCATCGAAATCTGACTGTGATTGCCATAATGCTTGAACTACATCCCTGATTGTCGTTTCTGTACAACTTTTATCTGAGACGCACATACTTGATAAATAGGTAGAAATATCCTTGTCATATTCGATAAGAGATTTCTGCATGGTTGTCGGCCGATGTGCAAGTCTTTCCATGACGGAGGCATTGCATAAATCGTCCCATATGGACGGAACAAAGAAGTCTCCAACTGACAGACATTTCCATTTCATTGCCCAATAGTTGTTCAAAACATCTAATAGTATCTGTTGTTTTTGTCCACGGATTTTCCGTTTGAACATGTTGTCCCTAGGAATGAAGAAATTGGAACAGAATCCTTCTTTGACACAAGTAATCAGTATGCTAATGCAAAACCAAAAGCAAAAAAACAAGTTTTTGTCCTGCCAAAAGATTTGGCTGGTATTCTCTAAAGCATGAAAAAGGACTGTTTTTAAAAAATATGAACACAACATATCCTCGTCTTCGAGTGCTTCTTTTAATGTACTTTTGATCTGTCTTAAGAAACACTTGAGCAGAGTATACACTTTCATCTGACAATGACTGAAGGAATGGATTAAAGATCTCTCTGCTTTCACAAATGATATTCTCCACTGTAAAAAAGTGTCGTCAGAACATTTATCTCCAGTCGGAACAAATTGGCAGCCACCGTTGACAATCTTGTCGATCAACGTTTGACATGGCCAACCGTACAGACGCGTGCGTGTAATCCATTCCTGAGCAACATTTGGCCAGTTTTTACTAGGAAAGCTAAATACATAATCACAACTCCCAAAGACCCCATGTGTTGTGCAGCTTGGTCCGGTGGATGAAATTTTCAAACCTGTAAGTGGTCCCATGATATCGATAAGTTTCTCTCTATACATGTCACTTGAAAGAAAATATGAGTCTTCAATTTTGACTATTGAATCGAATAGATGCTTTTCCATATCCTTTCCCTTGTGACCAACTTGTAAGTGAACATAACCGGGACGACAACCTGCCTCTTTTACATATAGAATTGTTTTATCTCCCATGTTTGGAGGAATACATTGATCAGGATATTTTACCTCAATCCGATTATTTACGAAAATCATGTCAAAATCTGCACCTGCCAATTTAAGACCCTCACTTTGACTTCCTACTATAGACATGGAATAATCATCCGGATGTAAACTCCCTAAGTGTTCTTTTAATAGCACACACCTTTTGATGAAATCCACATTTTCTGCTGTCTCTAAGTACCTGTCCTCAACAAGTAATGATAGAAGTAGGGACATTTTCTCACTATCCACGGACTCCATTTTCCTTCGGGACTAAATCTGTTTTTAGAAAAAAAAAAAAGGCATTCAAATTTATACTAGAGATGAACAAGCCATTTATTTCTTATTCTGAGACGCAACGTTAAATATCTTAACATGCTACGGCCACTGGTTATCATTGTGTTAGGAAATATGAACTAGGGAGAAACTTACGGCAGAATTTCAATTGTTTTATTAAATTGAAGTCAGATCAATTGATATTCCATAAGTGGATCTATGACAGAATGTTGCCTTTTAGAGATAGTGTACTAGTAACAAGCGTATGAATTTAGGAAGATTAACGTTTCAAATTTTCAGATATCAACTTACCTTCAGCGACATGTATTGATAGCGTTGTTCTTGGTGTTTGGAGAGATATGTCGTAGCTTTCGTGTAGAAGCCATTTCCAGTACCAAGCGAGAAGGACGTTGTCAATGTCGTTTGCCCATTGACAACATATCTTGTTTGTTTAAGAAAACAGGTTCATAAGAAGAATTCGCCTTTTAGTGTTTTCTTCGGAAGAATTTGCCTCTGTCGTGTGTTGATTTGTCAGTCTTGCACTACAAAAAGTTGCATTTTGTTGCTCAAAGAATCTTCATCTACAGATATTTTCTCTCTATATTCAGTCTAGAACGGACGAATACGAAATAGTGCGGCCTGCTCCAAGGGTAAACGACCAATACCTTCCACAGTCACTTTCAATACTTAATCTCCACACTTGAAATATCCCGTTACATCTTAACAGAATTGATTTTACCAGTTATGAAATATGAGGTCATTTTCTTCTTCCTGTTCATAAACCTGGTTTCATAAAATCATAAGAAGGAGAAAAAACCAGTTGATAAACGTCAGTTTCGTTCTCGTCTTCAATTTCTATCTCAGTCAGAATAAGTTTTAACTCCCTTTTAAACATACATTAAAAAAGACGCTCAAAAATTATTTGCAATAATAGAAAGAATAGGAAATTAATGATAATTAAATTTCCTTATTTCCGTTTGTTAAAAGTCACCACGATTTCTTACTTTCTATTATAACCTCTTTATCAATGAATTATTTCCTGATTGTGGTTTTCATTTTGTCCAAGTGGAGTCAAAGGTCTTCACTCTATACATAGCTGGTTACATCTCTTATCACGGAGAGAATGTAGTGTCATTGTGTTTACGATATCTGTAATGTCGTATTCTTTGTTCTTTTGATTTTTATCAGTTGGGTCCTATAGGCTTTAAACACAATCAGGCTAGTTCTTAGTTGAAAAGTGATATTAGTGTGTGTGTCCTTTGTACAAATTGATGTTTTTTGTTTTTTGAATTTGATTTTGTTTTGTTTTTTAGATGTTGGGAATCAGTATTTATAAGGAAGATAAGTGTGTTTTAACATTATACCTTTGCGTAATGATGGACAAGGGGAGGCTACTCGAAATAAATTAAATAATTTTAATGTTCATCTTGACGATTATTGCGAGCATATCTTCATATTTAGAGTATTAAACACTCCCATTTGTACGCAGTAATTTAACATCAACCCTTTTACGTTTTACTCGACCTCTATGTTAATACTTTTCTCCATACATTTTTACGGTCCTATTTTGACCCGCGGTACTAACGTAAAATAAGAAGGCCAGTGCTCGACCGGGAAGAACAGTGCTAAAACACTTATTTTCTTATGTTTCTTATTTTCGGTTCTCATTCCAGAAGGCGACCGACTTGTCCACTCATGATGCATCGTTACTATGTGCGTGGTTACTTTTCTACCTCTGATAAGAAAATCTCTCTGACAACGCGGTTGTAATCTGTATTCGGGAAAACTCCGAAATATTCGAGATTTCTATTACAATATCGGTATGGTGCTGTCATGGTCATAAATAATTGTGAGCCCTTCGCAAATTGGAGCGAACTGTTGAATTTGGTATCGAAGCGGGGTTTGTTGTTTTTGTTCATGTAAAAATATCTAAGCAGTCTGAGGTATATTTTTATTATCAGGCGATATATCATTTATGCTCATCGCCCTATAATATTTACAAAAGCGAAGGGAAACACTCTTGTTAACGTTACAGACTGGTCCTCAGAAATATATAGCAACTTTGACAGAAAATGTTACAGACTGGTTCCAAAAACAGATCCATTTCGGTTATGGATTGGTCCAATTAATGACTGACTGCAATGGAATTAAAATTAACTTGGATGCCTTAATACAATATATATACAGTACACTTGTTTTGGTTTTTAAATCGTTTGGTCGGGATCTACAATTAACAATGAAATTCCTTAAATGGAATGTATCGTTTAAATTTCTGGCCCAAGTCAATAGTGGGGAAATTTGTACATAATAAAATGCTGTTTCTAAAGTTAGATATCGGTCTTGACAGTAAAAAATGCACTTGGAAAGTACAAAAGTTTCCGCTTTAGAAAAGACAGTTACGTCAGCTACTGCACCTCATCCCATGTCATTTTACAGTTTTCATAAAGAAATAAAACAATGTTTATAGCTTCAACGGATGAAAACAAGATATCTGACTAATGTCACATTAAAACAATTATATTAGGAATCAGACCTGATCGACTCCTGTCACAAAACAATTGTCTCTGATACTTTCCTTGAAGATTCCAAATTACTAAGAGAAATTTCATGTCTGTCTTTTGAATTGTGAACATTCTGAAAAACGAAGATAATTTCAATGAATGTACCTAAAGAATGTAAAATAGTATTATTGACCTGAATCAGATGCATAAAATAATATCAATATCAATTGCTAGATAGAATAATGAAATCGGTAAGTGATTCGTCAAACAAACGGACGCATATACAAATAACAACCAGCAATTTCCTATTTTCTTTCAGTCTTTGTACTATTTCAAAGCAACAACACTTAGATTCCGTATACAGTACTCTATAAATCAATATAGCACACTTCCACATTTTAAATTTTCACACAAGGGAAGTTTTGACCTTGTCGTTTTCCGCTAGTACTGCAGGAACAGAATCTTGGAGAGACCGCTTTTCACTCAATATCCGATTTGCTTTAGAGTCGTTCATGATGTCTTCAATTAGCGAAATTGATATTCTTTTCTTATCGTACGGGCTTTTAACGTCCGGTTAAACATCGACACGTCCAATTCCTCCATTAGCGCGTCCTCGGCGATATGTACATTTGACGCAGATTCATCAAGAACTAGTTTTTGGTTACTGCAGAATGTCTGGTTTGGAATATTTTGTAAGTCCTCTGTTTAGATAGTCTTTCCTGCCGGTGATGGTGTTAAGCTCGAAAACTATTATTTTCAATCTTTCTGTTGCATGATTTGAGCATGTATGGTCAAACAAGTATTTGAAATTATCGCCTTCGAAATTGTAGTAATAGTAATGACATTTAACAGCCATCATGATACTACCTGATCAAACAGGGTATCTGTGAAGAAGAAGAAATACATTACATTATGTATGGTCTTGATACTTAAAGTGGTTGCATTGCGAGTCTTATCATTTAGCACCAATCAGTAACTGAAATGGTATTGTTTTTTGGAGTTTCTATGTATTTCTTAGGACCAGTCCGTAACCTTAACAAAATTGTTTTCCTTCGTTCTTGTGAATATTATATGGCGATGGGCTTAAAAGCGGATGTTATTGAGGTGTCTTGCTGACAATAGAAATACACCTTAGACTGCTTGGGTATTTCTATATGGGCAAAATATCACAGCTTCCCGCCGAATTAAACAATTTTATTAAGTTTGCGAAGGGATCACAATTATTTATGACTATGACAGCACCATACAAATATTGTAATAGAAATTTTGAGTATTTCTGAGTTTTCTCGAGGTACGTAACGAGAACACCTGTCTTTCGTTGCCGTCTAGGTATGCCATCTTGAAAAGACCATTCCTTTACAGGTACACAGCAGTGTAACGACTGCGTAGCAAACCCTGTTGCGCACGACAGGTGTCAAAATAAATGCTGGTTCCTGAAAAGTTTGCACGCTTTATTTTTTCGCATTCTGAACAAAATAAAACCAAACATCTTACTTCAAGGAAAAGTAATGCGTCAAAAGTGGATTTGACATATTCGCCAGGACAAATTAATATTGGTCCACATAGTCCTCCATAGAAATGCATATTGACAACATAAATATTTCACCTATCTCGTGCATTTCAACCATAATATTGATCTAGAAATTTCGTGGAATTTTTGTAGAAGAGGTTCAAATATCATAACATTAACGCCATCAAAGCAACATTGTAAATAATTGATATTTTTAATAGGTTCCAACATGTTGGATGACCACTATCACACAAGTGGCGTTTAACCAACTGCCGAAAGCATAGCAACGACTGTGTTTGAAATTTTCATGACATGTCTCTCCCAAGATGTTTTCTGACTTGTCGTAAGTTGCATTCTGATAAGATATATGTTGTAAAACATTTAGTTAGAAGTTTGAAACGTTTCTAAAATATTATTTGTGGTAAGTCCTAACAGTGAAAAAAAAAAAAAAACAGTGAAAAACTCATGATAGAGGCAATGCAACCTGTATTACTATTGATGTTATCTTGAAATCTATGATAGGGATATCTGTAAGCTGCCCAATTGTAGAACCTCAAGTTACTTCCCTCAGTGACTGTTGATTACTTGTATCTTCACTAACTTGTAAATACATTAGTACAGATAGTAGAATGATGACATAATAAACAAGTAAACACGGATTTCAACAATTTTAACATGAGAAGTTCTGAATTGATTGAAATTATTACGGATTCTAGATGTTTGTCTCTGGTTGTGCTTTATGTATTTCTAGACTTACTCGTTTTGATATGGAATGTGTTTTGTTGTAAATACTGGCTAATAGGCAGCCTTCATGGGCTTTCAGGTTATAGCTTCTTTTATTTCTTTAAATTTGCGCACTGAGGATTACTGGATATGCGAGATAGATGTGCGAACATTGATCCCAAGATGTATTTTATTTTAGAACCGATTTCTGAGAAATGGAAAAATCGCACAATCATCTCGAAAATATCTCTCTAGAATCTATTTTTTAGGACGCTTAGCATTGTCATAACACATCATCTGTCTCTGAACTTCTTCACCTTGAACAAACTCTAGAGACTGGCCATATTTCTATAGCCTTAATTAACCAATGTTTCAACAGTTTAATGAGGGATGGATATTATAACTTAATTCAAAGATGCAGGTTTATGACAATAAAGGGGAAGTTCTACGGTCGCCAGAGTGATCTCGCTGAGAAATATTCTCTTTCTTTATGCGATATGAAACTAAACGTGTTTGATACTCGTTAGTTTTGCTTGTTGGTTCCGTTGTTTTATATCTTGTTCTCATTTTAGAACGTGACATAACTTACTTTGATTGACCAAGGTTTACATGGCGGATGTCGTCAATGAAGCAGAATGCGCTTGCTCTTCCGAAACACCTGGACCTAAGAGTCTCCGTATAAGTTTTTTCTTTTGTTAATATTTTGACCTAGTTTTTTCACTTTGAACTTGGATTATGATTACATTGACATGTTGGTATTTTCTATTGTATTTTTTTAAAACTAGAGTATCAATGAAACTGATGAAGTGTCTTGTTCACCAAATTTCAATCTAGGGCAATATTTCTGTAATTAAAGTATTTTAGACACTGAATTTGGAATACACATCATCTCGGCATGGTTAATGCATACACCAAGTTTCAGTATCCTAATAAAAATGCAAACATTTATGCTTCGGACACGAAATTTTAACAAAGGGCAGTAACTCTATAACTGAGGGTTCGTTGGTCCTGAATTTGGAACACTGTAAATCTTCTTAGTATAGCCAACGTTTACACCAAGTTTCATGATCCTTGCTTAACTTTGGGGAAAGTTGTGCGCCGGACACAAAATGACTGAAGGAAGGAAGGACGGACGGAACAAACGGTGATAATCGGTCCATGTTCTACGCACTGAGTGTCTATTGTGCAGGGTGGTTGCAAGCAGTACTTACTAAGGTAAGGCAAATTAGTTAATCGTGTGACGTAAGAGTATATTAAGTCAGGGGCTATAACAATGCATAATCTATACACACTGTTAAGGTATTAACTAACAATGAAGGGACAACAATTAATCACCACCAGTTTAAAAATATAGGGCATTGTTCATCATATAGTCAAGATCATAATTCATTAGCACGCTCGCTCGCATACAGTGGCAATGTGAAATGATATGACAGATGTATAAGAAATATTCAAAATATGAAAAATCGAAAACCTTGTAAAAATGGTAGGACTTAAACTTTGCCATCTAAAATAAATCGTTTTAACAAAATGAAAATAAGTAACAAAAACAGAACAAGTCTCGCTTACTTATTGAAAAGTGAAAGATAAAAAAAATGCTACCAAATTGTTAGTCGAAAAGCAGAGAAAATCTATATCGTTTCTTTCCATGGAGTTCAATCTGATTGAAATACAGATCATCATTATACATATAAAATAGTATGTAATAATAATCTATATTTAAATCAGAATGTATAGCATTCTAATCTGCTGTATTCATGTCACGGACTACTTATCCACCCGTTAGGCGAATTTTTGTTGGTTCGAGTTATTCAACCGCTTCATCGACTGCACATATCGGCTTGGAGTCGATTGACCGACTACAAGCCGATATATTAGAGTCTATTGAACGACAGACTAATTTGTACTAGCTGTTTGTTTACGTGTACTCTTTAAATATCGCCGAGAGTATATAGAGAACTTTACTCACTGGACCTGGTACGAGTACTTTCCAGAGAATGGTGCGTGTTGTAGGATCAACAAGGCAGAGAAATATATATAACTTTGTAATACAAATGAACAATAATATACACCAAGGTCTGGAGGTTTACACCGACAGAAGAAATCAGTGACCACATACAGGTAAATAGTATATAGAAACATTATACATTACTTCTTAGAACACATTATTTATACACAGACTTGGTCAAACTGTAACAAAAAGAAAACAATAAGTTTTACATCTAAACTATGACGTTTTTAAAATACCTTTAATTATTTATATTTTAATTGTTAAGATTTCATCCTATATAAACTGTTATTTCCAATTACATAAAATAAATAAATTTAGCAAAGCAATGTTGATTATATAAAGAGGGACTATAGAGACTTTTAAGAAATAATGTAATGATTGTGAAATACAACCTAAAGATTGATAGTCAGTTTTTTTAGTGAATTACATATCATCTTTCAGATTGTGGTAAGAAATGTGATTTGTCCTTTTGTGAACACAACGGAATGTACGGCCATGGTCTTTAAAATCCTACCGTGAACTTTGTTTTCCCACAGTCTGTTACAGATCTGTTTAAAGGTCTACATTGTTTACTCGTACGTCGTTAGTTGTACACATCAGAATAGTACGGTGTAGACAGCTATACATAAATCAGATTTCTTCACTAGAGATACAGGTATAACTTCTTTTTCATATCATGATTTCAATACAACAGATCTTTTAGATTGGTTTTAAAAGTTTTTCTTTTTTTCTTTTCTTGCAGGAAAGAAATAATAATCGTAGATGTAACTTGATATTAACACGGATCCACTGAAGTTCCCTCACTATTCCAGGACATGTTATCATTATATTTATTATCATAGTAGATGTGCGATGTTACTAAGATCACGCCCTTCCTAAAACAGTTCGTGAGTATACCAGATTGATTCCGTCACGTCAATCTATGTAAGTGACAAAGGAAAACAAAGACAATGGTAGTACGTGTTCAGCCATGTTACTACCGCAGAAGGGGATCGGATTTTCAGTCGTTTTGTTTATACTGACTGTACTGCTTGTAGCACTCGTGTGTAAAGATATCCCATTATCTCCATTGTTCCGGCTGTTTCATCGTGACAACGACATACTGTTTAAACAAGCATCAGAATCTAACAACTTGAGACTTCAGAAAGCAACACGATACTTTAAATCAAAGAAACCTGCCGATTCATTGGAATTTTATAACAGAGAGTTGAAAGGTCAAGTGGACATTGCTATTGCCATAGTTACTGTCAAACGGAAGACCGAAAAGAATCTTACTATGGGGTACCTGATACAAACAGCAGCAGCACTGGATAAGATTGTGAAAAGTCAGACCACATTCTTGAATATTCATTTATTTCTTTGTAATACTGACACCACAGATTCAGATCATACTGAGGCAGAATCCATGTCGTTATACATTCCGATGGTTACAAAAAGCAGTCACCAATCAAATAAACGCAATAAACAAACAGACATGCGTAGAAAGGAAGCAAGAGATTATATATATTGTCTAGTTCAAGCTAGATCAATGGCACCAAAGTATGTATTGATGGTGGAAGACGACTCCATACCAACCGAAAATTTTCTTGATGTTATTCAACATTCCTTACAACAAATAGGTAATCGTAAGTTTGCCTACTTAAAACTGTTTTATCCTCTGAAGTGGCAAGGATTTGCATTTGAAATCTCACGACTTTTAGAGCTGTTGTGTTTCGGAGCCATAGGAGGATCCATCTCCCTGGTATTTCATTATTTTTGTCTTCTAAACAGACGAAGAAAATATTCACAAAATGTTCAATTTACTTTAGGTTTGTTGTTGACTATGGTTGTGGTTTACCTGCTTGGACGACAGAATATCATGACCTTGCGGACATTTTCACTCGACCTTTACTCCCTAAAACCATCACCGGCATGCTGTACACCTGCTATGTTATATCCTGTGGATACGATTCAAACACTCACAGATTTTCTCAATCATTCCCAGAAACACAAAAGTCGAGTACACCTCGACCTTCAAATCTACAATTTTACTCAGATATATAATTTACCTGGATATTTAATAGAACCAAATTTATTTCGACACATTGGAATGATTTCGTCCCTGTCATCGTCGATAAAACATCCAGAGGAGTTCCTATGACAGCTGAACAACAGGTAGACAGCCTGTCAGAGTCATCCTTCCGTTATTTGTATAACAGTTGATCAACCGACCGACTGTCAGAGTCATCGTTCCGTTTGTGTCACAGGTGATTAACAGACAGACTGTCAGAGTCATCGTTCCATTTGTGTAATATATATATATTTATTAAGAAACTGTTATGTATAATAATATAAATACAAAAAAATCAGAAAGATGTATTCATATTGATTTTTTGTATCGTTCCTATGATTTAGATTGAGAGAGTGGTAATACTTTCACAGTTGAAAATTCACTATGCTTACAAACCCTATCGATGTAGGAAAAGGATCTCTTTACTATTAATCTATATAATGTGGTATATTCTTTATAACATGAATACTATTTATTAACATATTTATAAATTAAATATCTTATATTATATTTGATGGTCACGCCCTGAATAAATGCCAATTCTTCATAAAAGTAAGTAAAATTCTGATTTCCTACATATAGTAAGCAAACACGGAAGTAAAATGAACGGAGCTAAGATTAGTCTTATATAAAGAGCTAACTAATGAATGATATGGAGGTGACATACGAATCGTTTGCCATTTTGTTGTTCCAATGAACCTACTGTACTTTTGATGCTCTCAGTTGTTCTTGTGTAGGCTCGCAGGTTTCTTCCAGTAGCTCCCTTATGTCGAAAACATATTGATAGGTTGTGTTCACCTTTGGATCGGGGACATCTTTCAAGCACGATTCAGTGTCATTTTGCTGTCTAATCGCTCGTCCATAGTACAGCTGAGTGATGAATAAACCTCCTAGTGGATCTCTGGGTAGGAAAATAACACTGCTTTCAGATACTTGTCCAAATTCATGGGATGCTCGCTACATATTCTGTGACAAATCTTCACCATTCCATTTCACGTCAGTTGGAAATAAAAACAGAAATCCTCTCCTTTCTATCTCAGATTTTAATAATCGTTCAAACAGATCGGGCTTTTTGACAAGAGAATTATGGATGATTATTAAATGTAACTTCATGATATGTTACTGTATGCTTTGTGTACATTTTCTACTCGGTTTTCCAAATCATAAATAACTCCAAATATTAAACGTAAACTTAATGTTATTTGATGATAAAAGCTATATTATGATTTTCTTTCATTTATTTAACTTATTTTATTCCGTAACATTAAATGGTATTCTTCGTTGATAATTACAGTCACTAGAAAACGTGAATAAAAGATCAAAGCAGTTGTTCATTGTAATATTTCATTCGGTATTGAAGCAACATTTTATAAAGTGTGAAATATAAACAACTAAGTGTATACAAAAATTCATATCTTTATTTTTACATGATGTAAATCATTTGTTGATTGCCTTTCTGAGCCACATCAGTTGATGCTACGCTGATAATAATTTTGGTCTATGTCCGCTGAGGTGTAATCTCTGCAAATCAATATATATATATTAATGTGATTCTCTATATATTTTGGTAGAAATTGAAAATTTTGTAAACCCAAATCCAAATATAAGATGAAATCAATTCCGGTTGATAGGAGTTATGCCCCTTGTGTTATAACCTCTGGATAAAATTGGTCGGACTGCTGGTCTTCTAGCTCGTAAATTAGAGGCATGGAGTCTGTTTCTGATTGTCTGGGATGAAATCCTTAGATTTGTAGCACGCTGAAACTGAAGATTCAAGACAGGAGCACTCAAAAACCGCTGACGTCGTGCCGTGATGCAAATGAATCTGTCCTGTCGGGCTGTCGTACAGCGTGGTCGTCCAGATCTGGGGCGTTGACGGACGTTATTTGTCTGTTGATAGCGATTCCATAGCCTACTAATCACGCTCTGAGAAACATGAAGCTGTGCCGCCACATTTCGTTGAGTTTGACCAGCTTGAAGGAGCCCTATAGCTCGCGCGGCTTCCATATCATTTAAATGTCTTCGCATGATTAGTTTTTCAAGTTTTCGTTACAAATTGATTAAATGTTTCCAAATTCAACTTTTTTTAGCTTAGAAGTAACAGAATCAAAACCTGCAAGATTCCTCTGTAGTAATAGACCAGTCAGTTTTTCACACCACCATAGTTAACTAG